TCTCCGATAAACATCTCGATCCCAAGCTTTTCGAAAAGGTTCGATTTTTATTTTCTCTGACCTCTCTGTTTCGTTTTCTCGATTCTTAAATTTTGTTTTTTTTCCCCTGTTTTTCTGCTGCAGCTGGAGGAAGATCTGCAACGAGCTAGATGCATGCTCGCCGATGGAGACACTTCCTCTTTCCTTCCCTTCAAACCTCAAGGTTTGTCTCTAATCAAATCTCAGATTCGATTTCACTGTTTGAATGCGTGTCGAAAATTGATGTTGTTATGATTGTGGAATTAGGGCGGTTTGTGAGAATGTTTTTGGGACCTGTGAATGTTCGAGCCACAAGGAAAGACATACAGCTTAAAGTTAAAGAAGAATACAATAGCTACAGAGTTAGTGTTGATTGGTTTCTTTCTCTCTCATTTATGTTCTGCTTTCACCAGTTATGTGTGAAATTGCTTATCTTTTTCCAATGGAAAAACAGGATAGGACGGCTCTTCTGTTTCTTGTTTTCCCTGCAATACTTTTGACACTGAGGTCTTATGTGTGGGATGGATGTTTGCCTGCTTTCCCTGTTCAGCTCTACGAGGTATATATATATATATATACAGTAATGGTTGATTTTGATTTGAATTGCTTAAGTATTGTTGTTATGTTTGAGATTCTTGTGTTAACATGTAAACTCGGATTTTGTTCAGGCTTGGCTTCTATTTCTTTATGCTGGTTTGGCTATGCGAGAGAACATTTTGAGAGCCAACGGGAGTGATATCCGTTCATGGTACTCTTATCCTATCCTTTCTCTGTTGGTTATGATTGTTTTGGCCTCTTAAGTTGTGGTTGGCTATTGTTATTCACTATTTTCTAGGTTTATGTATTTGTTATGCTATTGCTGAAAGTTACAGGATATAACATTGGGTAAATTAGATCGTTTTGAGAGTATTGTGTTATTCTACATCTTGATCTTATTCTTAGGTTCTAAAATAATATTAATTTGGCCTTCTGAAGTATTCTAGGCTGATGCGTTTGTTCATGATATTGCTGAAAGTCTCAGGATTTAACTTCGGATACATAAGTACATTGTTGCAAAGTGTCATGCTACATTTTGATCTTAGGTTCTAAATTCAGTAGGTTGATGCGTTTGTTTATGCTATTGTTGAAAGTGTCAGTAGATAACATCGGATACATAAATACAGTTTGCAAGTGTTATGCTACACCTTGATCTTAGGTTCTGAATTCATTAAGTTGCTCCTTCCTTAGAGAGCAGGGTTTGTTTTTCTTTATGGTCTTATCTCTTTCCGTTGGTTTGAGTATGTGTGCTGCTGACTCTCCTTGTTAGTGTGTTCGCTCTTTTATGACTCTATTTCACGATTTTTTGTTGTACTTCAAAATGTCTTATGTGTTGTATTGAATAGAAATATGGGAATGCTGTTATAGAGGTTAGCTTATTCTTGTTGTCAGGTAGAAATTGGATCTTTATATCATTTAGAGGATAACTTTAGCAGGTCCATGACCATGATCTGAAGTGAATCTTGTTACTTTAGACATGTGTAATTGTGTGTGATTCTGGTGATCATATCAACTGTGTTTTGGAGATGACTTAACCCTCTGGCCTGATATTATTTTACAGGTGGCTTTATCATCATTACTGTGCCATGGCTATGGCCCTTGTCAGTCTCACTTGGGAAATCAAAGGTCAACCAAACTGTGTTCAGAAGCAGGTAGTGGTTACATGCAGAGTAAAATCTAGCAAGTAAGTGTTTTATTGATCATTCTAAATCTTGTGCAGAAAGGAGTCCGTCTTTTCCTCCAATGGGCTATGATGCAAGGTGTTGCGATGCTTCTGCAAAACAGATATCAGCGCCAAAGATTGTACACTCGCATTGCACTAGGAAAGGTAAACCTTACTGTTTGCATTTTTCTCTGGTCCAGTTTATATCTGCCCCCATGAAATGGCTTGTAAAAATGTGCATTGTGGTTCATTTTCAGGCTAAGAGAATGGACGTTGTATGGGGAGAAACGGCTGGAGTAGATGGACAGTTGTGGCTATTATGTCCCATTTTGTTCACTTTACAGGTAACAGTTTAACTTTTGTTTGCACAATCAATTTCACAATGTGGTTATAATGAAGCAAAGCATCATTGAACTATATTTCCTGCAACATAGACCAAGGCACCAAGCTTGTGTGATATGTAGAAATTATTTACCAAACAAACCAAACTTCATCATTGTCCTCTCAGACTTGTAAAATGATCTTAACAATGAAAGATCTTATCTCACTCCTCACCAGTACAAAGGAAATTTCAGACATTTATACTAAGTGTATAAGGTTTGTTTATCATATTGTAACCAACTTGTTTCTGTTGACAAACTTAGGGCTTTGAAGCATACGTTGGACTGCAGTTGCTCAGGACAGCGTTAAGTGGGGTAGTTGCCGAATGGCAGGTATTGTAATCTCTTTTCTGGCAGCATTTATCAATACGATAAAAGAACATCAATCTTGATGTAGGCAATAGTTGAATAGATACCATATTGAAAACCTGTGAATCTCGAAAGCTCAGTGTCTTGTTTGTTCGTTTCCAAGCAAGTTTCTTATCATAAGCACGCGTGAAAGGGTTTTTATCACAATGGTTTTTCTGATGATAAACGTGAATGTTGGGGCAGGTGTTGATTTGTGGCATTCTTCTGGTTGTGATGGCCATTGGGAACTTCATAAACACAGTAGAGACATTGATGGTGAAGTCGAGGTTCAAGGCTAAGATGAAGAGAAGTAAAAGCAAAGCAGAACTTGACTAAAACTACATAACTTCATATAACTACAGCTTTATAGTTTCCAGCTTTTGGATCTTTCTTCTCCCCATTATTTATTTTACTCAGATAAATTTTGTTTTCTTGGGGCAAAAGTGACCTAAGGTTCTTGAAAAAGAAATGAAAAAGAAGTGAATGCCATATCTTTGTGTAAATTGAAGTGGGAGTTGATAGTTGATGACTTCATGGATTGAGTTGTGTTTTTGTACATCTTTCAACTAACATTTGTTGGGTTCTAATTATCAGATCCTCAAAAATGGTGTTGAAAAGATATTCGTATCTTTGTCTTTGTGCTTGCAACTTCACACTAAGTTTGAAAGGGGTAGCTTCCTTGTCAAGGTTCCTACTCAGTAACCTCCAGGACATTTTATTTTTGATTTACAAAAAAATTCCGGACTGTCCTTTCGAAAACATCCTATAAAATTGAAACGATAAACAAATTAATATTATCATTACCCCTGTGTAACGAGGACTATAAAAATTGTCCATATTTTTTTTCTACAAAAAAAAAACACAAATGGTTGTTTTAGTCCATCTTTTTTTGGTGGTTCACTAATACGTAATGAGCTACCGACCCGAATTTTTATATACCAAGGATTTAACTAGGTTTAGAGATATGATTAGTCTCTTCATTGGAAAGGGATAAAAAAAGCAAACAAAAGAGTAGAGAGCACTAGTGTTTTGTAGACAATAAAAGAGAGGCAAGCCTAATCAAAAAGTAAACTACATGTGAGTGACTTAAACACAGATCTTAAAACTTTTGAGTTAATAGTGATGAGATGAGATCACATGTGAAACTGTTGATTACATGTTGGGTTTGTTTTAGGTTTACCCACAATATACGTAATTAAACAAACAAAAAAGAGAGAGAGTATAGAAAGTCTAATTTAATAAAGAAAACAACACAAGCACATGGGTAGGACAGGCTCTTTGGTGTATTTTATACACAAGCATTATACATTTTGTAGTATTTGAATGTATAATCAGATACATATACATTTTTTTATAAAATTATATATAAAAAATGATTGCACGTTGGGGCAGCTGTGTAAGACACAAAGAGGTGAAAGCAAGTTGGCAATCAAAGTGGTAGTTACTCTTTTCTTACCTGTACCCATTTCCTCCATTATTACTCTCTCTCTATCAAAAGATACAGAATCTTTTCTTTTCTTTTATTTGTGATTTTAATCTTTTTTTTGGGTGTGATCATGCTGTCTCAGTCCATGTTTGTATATTCTTTCTATTCAAAAAATAACCAGCTTTTAATTTTTATTTTTCTTAATTTCTTGCAGTAAAAAAAAATCAATATTTTTGGAACAGTTTTTGAAGGTTATTTAAAAGCAAAAGAGAAAACAGAAGATTTAACAATGAGAGTGGCACCAGTCTTGTCGTTGTAAGTACAAAAGCTGCACATGCTTTTGATTATTAAGAAATAAGAACAAGAGAAAAAAAAAGGAGAAAGTTGAAACAAAAGAACAAAACTTTGAGTGACTCTGTTTAATTGATCGTGACACAAAATGAATAATGGCTTATCGGATTGTGTCTTTGTGGGCGCCGCAAAAAAAGGATAAAAACATAAAACACAGATTCTTTCTTCTCTTCTCCTCTCAAAAACTTTGGCTTTGAGACTTTGAGTGAGTTCCTCAAAACAAAAGTGAGTTTTGGGTCTTTAAGTAAAGGAATAAGCAAATCCTTTTCATCTATCAATCAAAATATGTTTCTTAAGTTATCTTTGACTGATAAACTGAATGATTCTTATTGAGTCAAGAAAGAAATAAAAAGGACTCTTTATTCCCCAATTAACCAATCAACAAATGTATGAAGAAGAAATGTAAAAAAAAAAAAAGTGTGAGACTTTGCTGATGAAATTACAACTCCAAAATAATCTAAAGACCTTTAGCTATAAGAGTTTTTTGTTCATTTGGGTGTAGGAAGTGTGATGAACAATGGTGTTGAAGAAGAAGAAAACAATGAACAGGGAAACAAACAAGAGCCAGTGATGAGAAAGGAAAGGAACAAAGGGAAAGAATGTTGAAGGGAAAAAAAAAAGAATTGTATTCACTGAAAAAAATCAAAGATTGATGAGACCTTGATTTTCAGTTTTTGGTGTCAGATGTGTGTGTTTTGTGTTTTGAGTTTTTTTTTGGGTGTATGTTTAGAAACTATGCACACATAAGTACATTTTCTTGGGACGGAGTGATACTGATTTACTGAACCATTGTCAAGAAAGGTGGCTCGGTATGGCCATTGCCTCCTCTGTTTGTAGGGCTCTGAAACGCAATCTCATAAGCCGCGGATTTCTCATCGTCGTCTAGCTCTTCTTGATCATCAAGCTCCTCTTCTTCTTCTTCCTCCATGTTATTATAATTGTGAGCTTCCTCAATCTTTTGATACTCACCTATCATTGATTCTTGTTGTTGTTGTTGTTGTTGCATCAGCTCTCTCATCACAAGGTCTTCTGGCTTCAATTCCAACAAATCAAGAATTTAGTTACTAATTCACATTTTTTAGAATGAAAAAAACAAAGTTTGTACCTTTTCAGCTCCTTGTGGACTTTCCTCTATAGGTTCTTCTTCCTCACCACTTGAAGCTGAACCAAGACTTTGATGAATGTTCACAACTCCTTCTTGCGGCTGCTTCACCGTCACAGAGACCGGGCTCTGTTTTGGTGCTGTTGATATTTGGTCTTGAGGTAGACCAGACGTGCTAGAACCACCACCACCACCACTACCACTACCGAGCACTTTGTTGCGGTAAAGAAGATCAAGACGGTGAAAATAAGGACATGTTTTAGCATCTTGGGGACGTTTCTTGTTGCTTTCTTTAACCTTCTTGTAGTACTTGTTTATGTTTTCCCATTTCTCTTTGCATCTCTTTGCGTTTCTGTTGTATCCCATTCTCTTCATCGAAGCTGAGATCTCTTCCCATAATAGTCCTTTTGGTACATTATCTTGATACCTTGGCTCCATTCCACTTCTCAGGTTTATCAGCGCTAAAATCTCCGCCTTTGGCCATCGCGATGATGACGGTGAAGATGATTGTTCTGAGCCCAAGACCATCTCTTGTTGTTGTTTTTGATCTTGCTGATGAGGTGGAGGTGGAGGAGGAGGATGAGGTGGAGGAAGAATCTGTTGCTGTGGAATCGCCATTATTGGTTGTAACTGAGGTTGTTCTGGACGTTTAGCGGCGGGTGGCGGCGGCTGTGGCGGTTGATACTGCGGCGGAGGCGGTTGTGATGATAATGAAGGAGGTAGCTGAATGGTGTGGCCGGTAATTTTTTGGATTAATGAAATGATTGCCGCGTCGCGAGACGCGGACGCTGCTCGTTCTTGAGACATGATCTCGTGTTCTCGAGCTAACCGAGACATCTCTTGGCGTTTCCAAGCTTCTTCTCGGTCGAGACGCTCTTGTTCTCTCTTCTCGAGCGCTTCAAGAAAGCTACGTTGCATCGCCGCTTGCTTCTGCATCACTTGTCTCACCAAACCTTCGAATAACTCCATCATCTTGCCGCCGCCACCGCTGCGGTTACCACGTTTGCGTTTGCGGCTGCTTGGACCCGCCTGATCAACGTCCATATCGTCTTCGTCATCGTCATCATCAGACCCCATTCCTGAAGCTGTTGACGAGCTGTGAGACGAGAATGTAACGCCGGCGAATGTGGGACCCATCGGAGGAAGAGGAGGAGGAGCTGGATTGGGTGTAAAGGAGACTGTGTGCGGTTGCGTTTGTGGTATAGGGAAGACTACTGAGAATTGAGAAGAAGAAGGAGGAGGAGGAGGAGGCGGTTGTTGGATGGGATTAGCGACGGAGAGAGGAGCGACGTCGAGGGAAGACGGAAGAGGAGGAGGAGGAGGAGTAGTGTTGAGAGCTTCGAGCTGAGAGAAGAATTTGTAAGCTTTACCGTCGTGGCGACCACCGCGCGTTTCTTTAGTGCGTTTGTAGTATTTCTGAACGTTTTCGAATTTCTCTTTGCATTTCTTGGAACTGCGTTTGTAACCAAGCTCCAATAGCTTCCTGCGTTTGTAAAAACCATTCAGACACCAAAATTCAGATACTGTTTTTTTTTTTTGTTGAAATAAAATATAAGAATTCATGGGCACTGTTCGATCGGAATTATTTTTTTTTTTTAAAGAAAAAAGAGTCATTGGGATTTACAAAATCGAAAACGTCCCAGAAACTCATGAGCCACTCTGTATAACAAACAGTTTATTTAATTTTCTTGGGGATGGTGAAGATGCTTGATCCCGAATATATTATTTATTTATATAAATATAACAGAAAATAAAATGAAATGATAAAAAAGAGTAAGCGTTGGAAACACATTCAAATGGATCTCTATCTGCTATTTTCTTGATTTGAGAAACACCATTGGTGCTGATTGAGAATTGAAGATGAAGAAGAAGAAGATATATAGAGAGAGAAGAAACCTGGAAACGTGTTCCCATAGAGGAGCTTTGAGAGTAGCGTCACGGAAAGTAGAATCCATATCGGATCGGATCCTGAGAAGAGCAAGCGTCTCTTCTCTCGGCCATCTATTTCCCGACGAAGAAGACGAGCTTCCTCCTCCTCCTAACCCTCCACCGTCATCCGCCGCGGCTGAGAATCTCATAAGCTCTTCCAAATTCGCCGGAGGTCTTGAGCTGATGGGTGAAGCTTCCTCCACCACTTCATTACCACCACCACCACCTCCTCCTCCTCCTCCTTGCTCCATCTCTTATCTCTTGATTCACCAATCTCGATCTCAATATAACCACACTTGCTCTCTCTCTTTCTCTCTCTCTCTCTTCTTTGAAGCTCACAGTTTCTTCATAAAACCATTGACGATGGAGAAAGAAAGAAAGAAGCAGCCCTTTTTTTAGTTTTTTTTTTACTGCAACTAGGAGTTGAGAAAGAGAGATGAGGATTACGAGGATGATGATGATAGATAGAGAGAATGAAAGCAAAGAGAAGTTAATAAAGCTGAGCCTCTTCTAACTTTGCAGCAAATAATTGTTAAACCCACTTTTCTTCACCCCCTTTCTTTTCTTATTTATTCTTTTTTTTTTTCTTTTTATGTATATATAAAAGGGTCCACATATTATTATTATCAACATTAAATTTTATGTGTATTATTATTATTATGATGATAAGGAAGGGAGGCTTTAAAAGTTAAATTTGGATCCGCAAACATCTCATTGCCAGTGTGATCAATCCGATTTAATTTTTTTTCTTTGAGGTAAAATAAAATTTGGCAAAATATAATAAACACAAAATCATGTGCCTCCCATGTTGTTGTCCTCTCCCACCATCATGTCTCTGGTGCTCACGTGGCGTTGTCTGATTGGTAGGGTATGTGACAATCAGATTTTCGAGAGGGGAAGGACAAAGTTGGAATTTATGAGTTTTTTTTTTACCCGATTTGAGCTGGACCAGCCTTGACATCTTTCCACCACTCTCTTTCCTCTCCAATTCAACAGTCTCTCTCTCCTTTTTTCTTATTTTGATTTTTGTTGTGTATTGTAGTTATAGAAACTGACCAAACAATAGTAATTTTCCATTGCTAATACAAATTTCTATTTGATTATAAATCATACATTATTCACAGTTTCACATTCGTGTAATTTGGGTTGGAACGGTAAATCCGCGGCTCAAACACTAGTTTCATTCAACAATGGAATTAGTACATTTTATACAGTAAAGTTGTCGTGAAGAAGGGAGTAATGAGCAGAAATTGAATAAGCTTCATATCTAAAATTAGCTGCAAACTGAAGACGTCGATGCAGACATATTCACACTGTCGACATTATACACACTCTTAAATAGCCTCTTCTCTCACCTACACAAAACAAAATCTTTTATAACTGTTTGTTACAACATTTCGTTTTCATTTACCAAATCACGCTACACTTATAATACACCGTTGGTTTTTCGTTATCTAAAAAAGGAAAATATTTTACAAAATCGTGAATGTTAAAAGATACCAATTGGGTTATACATATATTTATATAAAAAAATATTAAATAACCACGTAACTCGAAGAAGATGCTAATAATAATAAAATATATAAAGAGGAGAGAGGAGGAAGAAGAAGGTGGGCGGTGGAAGTGGAGAACTTTCTTGAATGGGAAAGAAAGAGAGAGCGGCGGAAACAGCTGTATTTCTTTCTTCTTCTTCCCCACTTTCACATGCTCTACTTAAAACTTAAACCCCCCTTTTTCACTTATTTATTACTTATTACATGTGATGTGTTCTCTTTTATTTCACTTAATCATATTCTAATTACTTTAAAAAAATTAAACCAAAGACAAGAATAATAATACATCAAAAGAGGTGGTAAGAACATGCTCGCGGAGTTCCTTCCTTGATTTCTCAATCTCTCTAACCGTCTTCCTTGTGTTCTCTTTTATTTCATTAGAGATCTTAGATCTTATGGCTTTTGATTTACATTAAAGTTAAAACTTAAGACCAAGAAAATTTATGGTAAATCCAAAACAACGTCTCTCTCTACCAATAGAAACTAACTACAAATCTGATCTTGTTAGGACGCAACTTGTCAAACTCATCTACTTTCCCAACTTGTGTAATACGAGGACTACCAAATAAAACAAGTCAACATCATTTTGACGAGTCAGAAAATCAGAATTCGTTAAAATGGTCCGGAGATATGTATATTGTAAATGGATAATTTTTCCGGGTCGAGATATCCACACCCACTAAAAATCCAGATTCCTCTCAATACAGAGATTCCAAAATGGCACAATCCTTTCATGAGTGGGCAGTAAATAAATACCTCTCAAAGTCAAAATAGCCAGAGAATTTTTACTTAGACGGTTACACCAACTCTTATAATTTTTTTAAAAAAACTAACTTTGTCACTGCAATAACTATCTGACCCCTTAAATAGACACAATGATGCAACTGCTCTCTCATCATAATGTCAATTCAGGGGTTTACGACAAATAACTAGCAAATCTGGGCTCACTTGCCAGTGTGTCAGAGAGTTCATGACAAGTCAACTCCAGACCATAACACTCTGATTTTAAACCCACAGTTTTAGAGAACACACACTCACACACACAAACACATCTTTTAACAAAAAAATCTATCCAACCAAAGACATTTCCTTAAATCCGCACTAAATCCACAACCTATGGACCACTTCTCACCCCTACTAGTGGATATCTTTTCCTTTATGACACAAACATAGTAAACCCACAAATATTATGTGGCTATGATTGTTATTGGCAATGTAATTGATAGGAGGGAAAAAAAAGATCCATTTTTTCACAGAAATAAAACAAGCTACTGAGATATAGATATGAAGTTTCAATGGTGTTGCTAAAGCTCGTATGTTGTACACAATGCACTCGTTTCCTCAACAAAAGAGTTTCTTGAAAGTGATAAGGAACAAAGAAAAGAGTGTCAATTTGGTCAGACAACAGTTAAAGTCGTGGATCTTACCTATGTACAAGCCACCGTATAAAGTTCAAACAACATGCTTAGATCAAGTATCCACCACAAGTCTTTCATTGGGAACTAACCGTGGAACCCAAAGTTATCTTTCCGCATTGACCAACTGTAAATCTGAGAGGCTCATTAGTAGTTGGAGTCGCTCTGCAACACAACCGTCTCGGCGCCTGATTCAAGCAGGTAAATCATCAATTTCAATTCATTAAGAGAAGGACAGAAACATTAAAGATAGACAAAAATAAACAAAACCTCACCAAGTGCCAGTTTTTGCTCAGAGGAAACCCTACGACCTGGATCTTCTCCACCTTCTGCAGAGGAGGAGAGCGTGGGAAACATAGAAGCTTCCTCTTCAAATCATCCTTCACCAAGGACCTCGTGTACGTCCCCAGTGTAGCATTGCCTTCTCGTCCAACCTCTTTCAAGAAGAAGAGTATAGGCTTCTTACAGAGAGATGAAACCGGAAGCTTTATGTCAAGATCAAACTCATTCGGCTGTTTTATCCCGTTCCAGGCAGAGAAGGTGAGCTCAGCTCGCTCGAGATCACGTGGCAAGAGTATATTCGGGAAGACTTGTACAACATAGCCAAGAGATATCGAAAACGTAAGCTTTTGAGTATGATCGTAGCAAATCGATCTCTGCAAAACACTCTTTGGGTCCAAACTCATCGCTCTTGTGAAGAGCTTCAAACTATCTAATGTCGATAAGCCCGGATAGAGAGGATTCACTGCTTCAACGTGATGGATTGAGACAAAGGGAGCAATGGGATGAGATGACAAAAGGCCATGAGCGTCTCCCTTAATATCCCACTGCCACAAAAATCTTGATGAGATTAAAGAATCAAAAGATCATAGAGAGAGAGGTGATGAAGAAGTAAGTACCTGGTGAAAGCCAGGCTCTTTGGATAACGGAACACCGAGCTCTGTGATGCAGGCGTGGAGGCGATCGTCGCTACCGTATAGCTTCGGGTATCGATCGAGACAATCGTCGTGGATACGAGAGAGAGCTTCCGCTAAAGGGTAGCTAATGGCGATGCCACCGCCTCCGAATCCCATGTTATGACTGAAGTACGAGTTGGCAGAGTGGCTCTCCGATGGGTTTCCGATGTATACCATCTCCGAAGGATCGTATTTGCTCAGAACGGAGAGAAGATTGTGGACGTTGAAGATGGTATCGTCGTCTCCGAGGATAAACCACCGGACATCAGGGAGAGAGAGGCGGAAAGATTCGATTGCGATTCGTGAGATTCGAAGTCCTGAAGGATGGCCGGTGGGATTGGTGTAACGGAATCGGGAAGAGTCCTCGGAGACGATGATCGGAGGAAGAGAATCGTCTCCTTCCTCTGGAGAAACCTGCTCTTCAAGCCAGACGTGGCCACGCATTTGAATTGGTCTCCACCATAGCCGAACAAGCTCCTTGCGGCGTTCCCAGAGCTGTGACGATCCAGCGATTCCAAACATCAGGTGATGCAGAGCGAGATCGAGCTTATCGGTTTCGTAGAGACTTCGATTTCCAGGTTGGAGAATTTCGTCGTCATGATCGAAGATTGGGAGAGCTGGAAGAGACGGCGGAGGAATTTCTGTGTGGAGATACGGAGGAGAAGGATTATGAGGATGATGGTGAAGCCGTCTGTTCCAGATATGGACGTCTTCCCAATCCTTAAGGAGATGCCAGCAACGGGAAGTGGCGGGCGAGAAGACGAGAGAGAGCCAAGCGACGGAGGCGAGGAGAAGAGCGGAGGTTGCGACAATTGCAGTTGCGAAGCGAGTGAGACGGCAGCGACGGATTCGAGGACGAGCGACGGGGGAAGAGCAGGGACGGTGAGAAGAATAGAGGTAAGGAATGAAAGAGAGCATGACGGTGAGGATTAAACGCATCGCCCCCAGCGCGCATTTCCGCCGCCGGGCGACGCAGAACGGCGACGGAACCAAGATTCCGTATGGGGTTTCGTGAAATTAGGGCTCAGGGTTCCGATCGCCACGAGGGAGGAGGAGGAGGAAGTCGGGCGTGCGATCCAGGTGTCCCCGTCTCTCTCTTCCTCTCTGTCGCCGCCGCTTTGATCTCGGGTTTGATTTTGATTTTCAAAAAATCGGGGGCGGATTTTGGTGAAGGAAAAGGTTTCGAGTCGTTACATTAAAATGGGCCAGATTCAGTTTAGGCTTATATTTAAATGGGTCTTATATAGGCCCAGTTAGCTAAATGCGAGATTCTTTATCGATAACGTCACAGGTGTCATTTTGACTATCAGAAAGCCCAACCACCGTCAGTGTCTTGTCAGATCCGTCTTGCGGTCTTATCATTTTTTTTTTTTTTTGTCAGCGCGGTCTTATCATTTTGTTTTCAACTTTTCATATTTATCATTTTTGTTTTTATTTTATGTAAAAAGAAAAACACAGTCGTTAAAAATGAAACGCATTTATCTCCAGAGCCTATAATGTTCCTATGATAAAACAGCTTTATAAAAATTGTAACTTTGTCAAGATATTCGGATAAAACCAAGAGTGAATTTGGTGTATAACAAGATTTGACCAATAGGTGGTGCTGTAATGGTTCATACCTGAGAATGAATTGTCTTGTTGGTTTGTGTTAGATTGATCACTCCATAGTTATTCAGATTCAACATTTAGCACCTGATCAGGATATGTAATTTCTAAAATAAAAGTTTAAATCACTATGTACGTCATATTTTTTCTATCACTTTAGTGAACTTCGGTGTACACACCTCAGACAAACTGAGTCCTATAAACCCGATTGCTCAGTAGATTTATATCATATGTGACAATAATTTTATCCAACGCACATATTGCAAATTTGCAATATATATGGTATACCACTATCTTATTCTTATAGGGAATTCAAACTTCAACGAAATATATCACATAGAGCACATAGCTTTACTCCTCTGTTCGTTGCTGTGTCGCATAATTTGTTTGTCATCGATCATGCACGAATCATGAATGTAAATGAAGTATAATACATGGGAAAATCATAGCATTGAATAGTTAAGATGGCATTAAACTAAAAGAAGCAAGAGAAAGGTGTCGGTGAGTGGTTGGGTGTATTGGAGGTCAATTCAAGAGAAATTTCGTGTATGTATGTACAAATACATTAGGCAGGTATAAAAGAAGAGCATCGTCCACGTTGTGTGTAGAAAACGACATTACATCTAACATAGAAAAACGAGTATTGAATTGAATACATGGGACAATGATTCTCCTGCACCGTTCCTTTGCCGTTGAATTGATGTATTAAACATCATTTAATATAGTACATTGTTTGTATTATATTAAATATATTAGAATTTGTTCGTGAGGATTGAAGAAAAAAATACTCGTATTGTAGGTAGCATATAATGTACCCATGCAATCTTATGTCAGTTCGGTTGTTGGTGCCTAATGCCCCTATTTACATTTTTGAATACCATGAGAAAAAGTTGCTTTAATTATGTTGACAAAAAAAAAAGTTGCTTTAGTTATGATTTACAAGATACTGTATATAGTATTCTATTAAACAAAGTTTCTTGTCAGCAATTAGTAAGTGCTAATTACCGACAGAATGAAACTCATTCCAGTTTTGTTGTTGCCCTAAAATACACTACCAAATCATGGGTAGCTTTACCGAATTTGTTGACCAGATTTCGTTGCTATAGCTAAATATAGTAATGGTTTATGGTTATGATGTTTCTTGCTAATATCTCACAACAAAATTTCATTGTTTGTGTATGACAAATCAACAACAACGCAATTTTAGTGATTATCTACAAATCTAGCTTTATCTTAAATTTTCATCTTTTGGATATCAAGATTTATGTGGTAGAAAGAAAAAAGATTTGTTTATCAAGATTTATGTGGTAGAAAGAAAAAAAAGATTTATGTGGTCTATTATAGATGAAGGCTTCGTCGATTGTTATGTCACATAACTTATGTGGTAAAACCAGTGAAACATCGTATATGTAAAACAACAAAAGGATCGATAAGGAATTGATTAGAGTACATCGCATTGCTGGTTACACGTGTGAGCTGATTTACACAACGATCGACAACATATATTATGGTCCCCCCAATCTTCAAACTTTCCAATTAATTTTGGTTTCTTGAAAAGCTTTCGTATTTGGCGGTGGCAGTGGCAACTTCGAAGACTGACCAAAAAGAACCGAGATGCATTCACTAGTCACTACCATACAATAAATGACATTTTCTTAGAAGTTAAAAACTTTAGTTATTACAATAGAGAATACTATACATCTTTGACAAAGTAAAGTTATTACAATGTGCATATTCGACACAATGTACATCTCTGAGCCACTCGGTCCGACTAGAAAACAGCCTCAGAATAGGCACTCACGTACAGACACCCATTTTTATATTGTTGTTACATATTGGAGTGAAATATGATTGATTTTGATAATTTTGCATTGGAGGAGAATCGATCACTATCCTAAACTAACAAGATATTAGATTAACATGATAATTGTTTTTCACATGGAAACCATTACACTACCACTACTTGGTTTAGAAACATAATCTCTTTTACTCTTAACTTTAATTTCTGGACATATTCCAAATTTAACAGCATATGTTAGAGGAGAAATTAGCACATTTCCCTGAGCCCGTCATCATTAGTAAAGTACAAAGCCCAATCCGATTTTAGGCCTAACATCTTCAAGAAAAAGGCAAGACTTGAAGAGAAAGGCACAATCCATGGAGAAATGTAAATAAATCTTCATGCCGACTTAAAGAATGGAGAAAGATCCAAAAACAAGAGGGATTTTCCATATCGCAAAAGAGGAAGTTTTCCATCTCGCCTGAAGGAGAATATTCATCATTCGGCCGACTTATCAACCTATATATTGAAGACCCCCCATTGGGGAGAGGGATCCGAAATCATCTAGAATCACTAGGCTTTCACATTAGCTTTTACTCTATCCTCTTGTTCACCATCAAATCTCGCTAGGCTTGTTAGCGAGATTGCTCTCTTGTAATCTTCTTGATAATCTAAGAGTCGAATTAAGCGTTCCAGTTTCCTAAACTCACATCTTAGATAGCCCGTCTTGACGAGTGCTATCTCGGATTCAACAATTGGCGCCCACCGTGGGGCTGGAAACGCTTCTCGCTATTCATCTCGAAGATATCTAGATTTTCACGAACTAGCAACGATGGGAACTCGAAAGAGAACACTCCCACCGGGAGCCCGTCTCCCTCAGAAGAAAACTTAAGCGACAGTCTACCAGCACGATAGACAAGTCGCTACCCGCTGAAGGTAGGGACAAGCCTGCTCCCTACAAGAAACCATCTTTCTCACCACAGAGATCCGTCTCGCCGCGAAGATCGACTTCGCCGCAACGATCTCCTCCGCCAAGAAAGGACGAGAGCCCCCCTCCGTCCGCACCACGCCGCTCGAGAAAATCTTCCTCGAGCGACAAACCCCGCAGCTCGAAGAAATCCTCCTCGAGCGAGAAGATCCTCAAACTCATGGAGAATCTCGTCAAGCCACTCGCCGACGGTTTCGAGTCAATGCGAGCACAGCAGAAAAAGACTCAGGAACAGGTGGAAGCCCTAGCACGAGAAGACGATGAAGATCCGTCAAGTCCCACTGACGGAACAACCCCGTCCCGCGCACTTCAGGCGACTTACCACCAAGCTCGAACGGGTGAATCGTCGCCTCGACGAGGTCGATTCGAAAGTTCATCGCGCCACCAGCTCAGCTCCGGAATTGACGAAAGCACTCGCCGACACCCGAAGAAGCCCGCTCACCCGCAGGCTCCGCCAGATTGAGCTACACGAAAGAGTTCGACTCAAAATCGACTCTTACACCGGCGAAGAAGACCCCAAGAAGTGGCTAACCGCGTTCAACCTCGCCATGAGGAGGGAGAAATACAAATCTTACGATGAAAGGGAGGCCAACTACTGTCAAGTATTCGTCGAGCACATGGCGAAAGATGCCTTGACCTGGTTCTCTAACCTCCCCGCCGAGTCGATCGATAACTTCGACGACCTAACCAATGCTTTTCTGAAGCATTACTCCATGCACATGACCCGAATCACTCGGAACATGTTCACCACAACGCAAACCCAAGGCGAACCATTGCGCAGCTTTATGGAAAGGTTCAAACAAGCAAATACTGGCGACATGCCCGATAGCGTCCCGCGTCCCGGAAGCACTCCGCAACGGCCTCTGGTACGACTCCAAGTTCAAGGAGGATTTGTCACTAAAACCCCCTGCGACTCTGGAGGACGCGTTCCACCGCTCTCGGAACTACATCTTCCTCGAGGAAGACCAGCGCTTCTACGCCGAGAAACATGGAGATAGGAGGGCAACCTCGACGAAACCCAGAGAGGAACCCATGGAGGCGCGAAGAAGACACGATCCGAAGAGGTCTCTCCTCACAGCGTTCGCAGCAGCCGACGACGAGTTCGAGCAAGAACACGCAGCGGCCGTTTCGATGCCACAAGACATCAACTCGCTCGGAGATGACAACGATACCAAAGCTTTCTGCAAGTTCCACGGGAGAACTGGCCACGCCACTGAAAACTGCAAACACCTAATGAGCAACCTCATGCGCATGTACCATCGAGGAGAAATCCCGCCAATGGACGGTGATAGGTCCCAAGGAAAAAGCTTCCCGCCGAAACCACCAAAATCTGGGCAGCAGGAGAAGCGCGGACGACAACCCCGTCCGAGGAAGGATGCAGAAAAGGCGGAAGCCCGCTTGGGAAAAGGAATCGTGATGACCACGACGACCTACCTCCGCCACCGAAGCGACAAGTCAGCATGATCATGGGAGGCTTCCTGGATAACGACGATTCCATATCGGCGATCAAGGAATACGAACGAAAGGCCGTCGCGGCACAACGCTACCCGTATATCCATAAAGGGATCCCTACCATCTCCTTTACGGATAAGGATGCGAGCGGGCTGGACATCCCTCACCTTGACCCACTCGTAATCACTCTACAGATCCACGATTGTGACGTCGCGAAGGTCCTGGTTGATACCGGGAGTACGGTGAACCTCATCTTTCTGGAAACACTGAACCGCATGGGGTGGAGGAAGGATCTATCAAACCTACATCCCGTCCCCTCACCGGTTTCACCGCCGAGCATGTTTACAGCTGTGGCACAGTCCGGCTCCCCGTTTATGTCGGCGGAATTTCAAAGCTCTTGAAGTTCATCGTCATGGACAAACCGGCCATCTATAACGCGATCCTCGGCACCCCATGGCTCCATGAAATGAAAGCTGTCATCTCGACGTTCCACCAATGCGTGAAGTTTCCGATACCCTCTGGAATTTTCACCTTACGTGGAGATCAAAGTGACGAGATCATGTTTCCTCGCGAGCGCAAGCTCCGCACCGCGTCGTCCTGTATGATAACCGAGCCAGTATCGGACGACGAGACCAACGAGTCCAACGCAATAAAACGAGCCGCCGCGACGCAGAATGCAGATCCCCCGATCCATCGGCAAAGGAACTCCGAGCCCGCCTGGAAATCCGACTTAAGGTCCAGCTTTAGCACTAAACACAAGGATCTCTCCGATCTATTCGAGATGGAGCAACTCGAGGACGAACCGCTACGAAGCTACCTGAACAGATTCAAGAGTGCGCTGCTCGACCTCAGGGACATTCCGGGAGCACCCCCAATCGCGGAACCGGTACTCGTCCAAGCCCTCGGAAACGGACTTCGATACGAATCCGGATTCTGGGAAGATATCCGCATCCGCCCCTCCCCAACTTTGAAGGACGCCTTCCTTCGCGCTGAGAATTACATCGCCTCGAGCAAGACATCCCGCAGCTACGGTTCGACCCCGAAGATCCTCGGTTCCGGCTAAGAAACAAGAGAAAGTCATCATCCTCTCGCCCGGAGAAGTCCACGCATAAAGCACCAAGGTGCCATCACGAATCTCTCCCTCGCCGAGACGACCCCTGTCTACGATGCGAGACCAGGAGAAACATGGAGAATCGCGCGAAGACTGATCGCCATGCACCCCCGCAATGCTCGTTCTCCGATCAGGAGATATTCGAGATCATTGCCGATATTCGAAGAACTCCCCTGACAAGCCGCCTATCCGAGGTACCACTGAAGAAGCGCGCTTCACTACACCTAAACTTCTACGACGGCCGAGAAGATCCCAAGCAGTGGATCACATCCTTCATGACGGCCATGAGAAGACAGAATATACATCGCCGGAAGAACAAAGCGCGCACTTCTGCCAAGCCCTCGCCGAACACTTGCGCGGCGACGCCCTAACATGGTTCAGCAACCTCTGTGCCGACTCCATCGACAGCTTCGACGATCTAGCAGCCGCTTTCCTAAAGCAACACCTCCGTTTCGCATTAGACGACCTCGTCTTTTGCAAAACCGATGATGATACGATCTATGGTCTCGGCAAATTCGGCTTCCGACTGGGAAGGACCATTCCGCATCGCGAAAGTCGTCAAACCAGGTATCTATCAGCTAGAAGACAACCTCGGCACCACGTCCGATCGCCTCTGGAGCTCGTCGGATCTGCGCAAGTTCCATGACTAGACGCGAAGCACCGCGCTAGCCAAAAAAAAAAGACATGTCCACGGCATGAACATTTGTAACGAACTACGAATGGCTTGATCCCGGCACGGGTACGTAGGCAGCCTTTCTCACCAAGGGCGCAGCTATAATACTTAATAAAATTTTAATTTTATTAAAACCTTTTCTCTCGACAAGCGCGCCTCATTCTGGCATAAGCTGAAACTTGTCGACACCCAGCACGCACCCGTTTGACGTCAAACCAAGTTATTGAGGCAAACTCAATAAGCACTTGCACTTTGCACCCTAAAAACATGGACTGATCACCCATTCATTAAGCCGAGAGCACGCACCTCGCACGGCTCTCAGTTCGTCGGACGAGCGAAAAACCGCTACCTCGTCACCCGCACGAAGCTTTGAAGTCGGAAGCATAAATCGAGTTTCTAGAGCTCGTCGCTGAAAGTAGGTTTAACATCCTAAGCACACAGACCTAATACGCGCCGGTCGGTGTCTCGAATGAGAAGTCATGACGAAACCCGAAAGCATCGCGTCCAGTCATGACGCACTAGCACCATCACGCGCACCATGTCGTGATACACTTAAAGGTAACGAGTCATCCCGATAATCGAATTTCCTACTCGGTGACGACCAAGTACTTAATTCATTTTATGCGGTTGACGACACCATCGTCCTTTATTAAAAGACATAACCAAAAGCCGGATTACTTTCGTTGCGCTGCGAACTAATCAATTATGTCTAAAAGCCGTGACCGCATCACCACGCAAGCACGCAAGCAAAAAAGAAAAAATCAATACTTAAAAAGTATGACATAAATCTGAAGCACAAATCCTAAAGCATACGGATAAAAACCTTCCCAGGCAATGTTATTACAACAAAAAGGCCGCAGCCAGAAAAGTCTTAAAACAAATAAAAATGGGGCCTAAGCAGACTTGGCCCCAGAAGTAGAGGGTCCCGCACCCGGATCCGCACCACCACCATCTCGACGAGAAGGAGATCCCGGCAGCACCAGCCGTTTAAGGCTACAAAAGCAGAGCACATAAGCAAATACACGTTACGCAAAGCACAACATAACGAAGAGAAGCAAAAATCTCACCTGTTAGGCGGAGCGAAGTCATCATCATCGATAACAACTTCGTCAATCGCATCCCCATCCGCGATGCTCTTCGCCAGCTTAGCCGCGAGCTTCTCCTCCACCGCGTCGAAGTTCAGATCCACTCCCCGAATCTTCTTCACAAAGTTGAGGAGAGCTTCGTCGACTTGCCTCCTCCCCACAGCGGCTTCAACCATGTCCCGCTGCGCGACGAACTCCGACAAGCGATGGAGCGAGGAGCATACCAGTCATTCACCGAGTCGAAGACCTGAGTCACAGCCGCCTCGACCGATCTCGACGAGACCGTCGGAGACGCTCCATCTCAGCAGCAGAAGCCTCTGCATCCCGACGCCTTCTCCTCCAGATCACTCACTTGAGCCCTCAGCTGTCTGCTACCTCCTGGAGTCCGAGAGTCTTCACTATCTCCTGTTCAGCGCCGCGACCTTCGACTCAAGCAAGTTTATCCTGCTGCAAATCGGCCACCATCGTATCGACATCTTTGGCCTTTCTCCTGCTCCCGCCGCAACCAACCTCGTCCTTAGCCCCGAAGAGCCGTCTCGTACTTCTGGATCAGCGCAGTAAACTTCCCGCCGGACATAACGTGATGCTGAGCCGCCTCGTCGAAATCATCTCTAAACTCCAAACCTTCGCGCGGAACGCCCCAAGTAGGATGAACCTTGGAAGACCAAGTCTTCCCTCCACAAGCATCCCGATCCTCCATGAGAGGACCAAACACCTACCACCGCATCTCAAACGAATGAGGATTGTAATCATCAGGTTCAGGCTTCGGTAACACGCCGTCATCTTGGCATGAGATTCGGTCAGGAGAACCGTGCGCTCCGAACGGCGAGAAACTGCCTCGTCGTCGGGACGTCAGCGATTCATCTCCCCGAGACCACCCTCGGATAAACGAAGGACCGTCATCGCGAGAAGTAAGGAACTCCTCCTCCCAAAACCGGCGAGGTACCGCCGCGGAGTCATCACGTCGTCATCACGTCGTGACGGAGCACTCTCTCGACGGGATGCATCATCATCACGGTCGAAGGAGGGACTCGAGCTCGACCACCCCTTCTGGAACCTTTTCCGGAGCCGAAGATGATGTCCTCCTCGCCGAAGCCCTGCGAAAAACATCAAAACTCAGCATCAAAAATAATCAGTCTTCGCAGTTATCTGGTGAACAGATAACTCACCTCGTACGCGACGCGATAGAAGAACTCCGGAGAGAAGGAGAAGGGGAATTCCTTGGGGATTCGACCCTCTTCTTCTTCGGGGATTGGACCCAATCGGGGAATTCTAAGTGATCCGTGACAGAGTCGAGTATGAGGGAAGGATGAGATACTTACTGGATATTGGAGTAGCGGGGACAGCAGGCTTGCTTCTCCCTTCTTTCCTCTCCTTCCTCTCTCTCTTCTCTCTCTCAAGCTTCTCCACGACCTCGGGCCAGATCCGATGACTAAGGTCCCTCAAAGCATTGAATTTATTTTTAAGGGCGGTGCTCGGCCTGGCTCGTCTTAGTGGATCTGCCAAGAAAAGGACGCAAAGATCAGTAAAAAGCATCTCAACAAAAGCAACAAGCTGAACAATTCCATCAATGTTCTACCCGGCGAAGAAACCCAATCGGTTTTGATCTGCTCGGATTTGAAATTCCCAACCGACGCCTTGCTAATCTTCACAAAGAAGAAGTAGCGCTTCCAGTCGGGAATCCTATCCCGATAATTGCCGAAGACGATTCCATGACGCATCGCGGTGTGGAAACGTTTGAAGTTCCCCTCCCATTTGGATCCGGCGCGAAGATCTGTGACGTTTTCAAAAAGATAGCGGTCGAACGTGATATTCGCGGCCTTCGCTAAAGCTTCCGTGAAAACCATGTGACGGAAAGACGCCGTGAGTCAGTTGACTAACGGCGACACCTCGTTCAGAGGCGAATTTCAACAACAGGAAAGGCAACGGAAATTTCATTCCGTACTCGGTAAAAAAGCATTCGTAAACGCATATCCATCCCGGCGGAGCATCATAAGGCCTCTCGTGCTCCTTCGGAATCCGGAACTCAATACAACCCGAAAAGCCAACTCTCTTCGTCAGCGCTGTAAGAATTTCGGGAGTCATCCACGTTCTGCCATCCGTTATGCGCAGCAGTTTGGATTCGGCATGCTCCGGCATCTTAATAATCTCAGGGATGCCCGTCAAGCGAGGACGGTCCGGAACCTCTTCGTCATCACGTTCCGAGTCAGCATCAGAATCGTCCGATGGGATTCCGTTGCGGTATCCCTCCTCAGAATCATAATCATCACAGGGGTCACACTCTACCCTCGCTTTCATCCTTTTTTCCGCCGCCTCTCGACGCTCGGCCTCGGCAGCAACTCTTATCGCCTCTTCCATCTCGGCTCTCTCGACCACTCTTTCGGCCTCCGCCGCGGCTCCGCTTCGGCAGCCTTCCTCCGGCGCGCCTCGGCCGCGTCAGCACGGATGGCCTCGCCAAGGAGTCTGTCGGGATTGCCGGATGACCCCCGACGTTTGGTCTTGTCGTCATCATCCATGGCGATACCCTTCCCCTTTCTATCTTGCGAATCCATCCCGATTACGCGGAAAATTCGGAAATTCGAAGATTGGAGTAACCAAACTCGACGGAGCAGAACCCTAAGATCAGAAGACGAAATCGAGCACAACCTAACTAGATCCGAGCAATTCGTATTCCCTAGTCCTAAATCCCGGAGAATCGATTCGAGAAATCAATCGAGAAGATTTGAAGTCGGATTAGCGGAAGTTACCTTTGATTCGTCGGGACGGTTGAGTGAGAAGAAGAAAAGAAGCAAAAATGAATAAAGGAAATTCGAACGGTCTCTTAATAGAGATCGCGCGACTTCCAAGGGACACAACTGCCCTTATGAATTTTTTATTCATTTCTTTCCCGCTCAATGGAAAAGCATTAATGGGCTTGGGCCTCCGCGCGATTTAATCGACTATCGGACTCAGCCCACGCAATTGCAAACAGTCCGCTTGGGCAGTGACGTGGCAAAATCGCCCAGTCACAGCTGAAAACCGAACCCGTCATAACATTCGAACCAAGAAAGCATTTTTGGTCGCGGCAAAAATCATTCGAAGCACATTACTCGTGAATTAGATGACGTCAACGTACTCTTTTTCCTTTTTATGGTTTTTGTCCCAATTGGGTTTTTCCGTACCAAGGTTTTAATGAGGCGGCACGAATCTACATTCAGCATGCACCTAGGCACTAAGATCCGATTGAAGTGATGTATTTTACTAATGATTCTCAAGCTCGTCCTCTATTCATGAAGCTCGCCGAGATCAAACTACATTTGACCTGCCGAGCTGGCGGGGGGACTTATTGTTAGAGGAGAAATTAGCACATTTCCCTGAGCCCGTCATCATTAGTAAAGTACAAAGCCCAATCCGATTTTAGGCCTAACATCTTCAAGAAAAAGGCAAGACTTGAAGAGAAAGGCACAATCCATGGAGAAATGTAAATAAATCTTCATGCCGACTTAAAGAATGGAGAAAGATCCAAAAACAAGAGGGATTTTCCATATCGCAAAAGAGGAAGTTTTCCATCTCGCCTGAAGGAGAATATTCATCATTCGGCCGACTTATCAACCTATATATTGAAGACCCCCCATTGGGGAGAGGGATCCGAAATCATCTAGAATCACTAGGCTTTCACATTAGCTTTTACTCTATCCTCTTGTTCACCATCATAATCTCGCTAGGCTTGTTAGCGAGATTGCTCTCTTGTAACTTCTTGATAATCTAAGAGTCGAATTAAGCGTTCCAGTTTCCTAAACTCACATCTAAGATAGCCCGTCTTGACGAGTGCTATCTCGAATTCAACAGCATACTTTTTTTGCCTTTAAATTTAACAGCAAACAGCATACTTCACTTTTTAATGTTCATATGCAATTTCAAAGACTTCCATAACCAATTTCCAAATGGAAATTTGGGACGGGAAATAACTCTGAACAAAACAAACTGTGTCCACTTTTCAAATAATGTCCATAATCTTATGGCTTATTAAACCTTTTTTGGTCAGTATTGAAATGCTTAAAGAGTATTAAACTATTAATGATGAATAATTTAACAGAAAATAACAAAACCAAAAAATTGTATTTAGGGAAGGCAAGGAGTGAGTAGTAGTGGTTATAACGTCAGTGCAGCTTCAGAGGAAGGCTTCTTCTCCACCACAATAATCAATTCACAAAATGGTCAAACTCTTCCTTTCTTCTTAATCCAAAAAAACCTTTTGTACCACTCCTCTTCTCCTCCTTCTTCTTTAAATCAAAATCCACCAAACACAGACATTCCTAACCAGATCTTCACTTCTCCGATTCCCCTGTTCCTTCTTTGTCGGCAGTTACAAAACCCTCTTGAGTTTCCCAGAAACCCACCATTATTACCACCTCCTTAAAATCAGAGAAACCTCACTCAAAATTCTCACCACTCTCTCTGTTCCAAAATGTCTTGTTTCTTAACTTGCGTCCGTTTCGACGACTCAATCACGACGACCACCACCACCGACAACAAACAACCCACGATTACAGGATCTGTCTCTGTCTCCGGTGTGACCTGTTACACCTGGGACGATGTCGAATCTCTCACTTCCAATTTCTCTAGACTCATCGGCTCCGGCGGCTACAGCAGCATCTACTTAGCTCGTTTGTCCGGCTCAACCAAAGCCGCTCTCAAAGTTCATGCCGGTAGCCACCGTCTCTACCAAGTCTTTAGATCCGAGCTCGAAATCTTGCTCCGTCTTCAACATCCTCACATTGTTAAACTCCTCGGTTACTTCGACGATTCAGGTTCCAATCATTAATCCTCAATTTTGCTCCTTTATTGTTAATCATGAAAAAAGTCAAACACTTTAAAAGAATAAAGCTTTGAGATTTATAAATGCAAAAGTTGTTCTGATTCTTGTCTTGCTTGTCTTTAAAGTTTCACTTTTTACACTCAATGAATTGGCTTTTCTTTGTGAACAAGTAAAAAAATCTAATCTTGCTCTTGTTTTTTTGTTAATCTTTTCAGAAGAAAGTGGTGCGCTTTTACTAGAATACCTTCCTCAAGGGAACCTCCAAGAGAAGCTAAACCGCAACAGCAAACAAGTGTTACCATGGAGAAACCGAACCGCGATTGCGTTTCAGGTTGCGCAAGCCATCGAACACATTCACGAGAAATGCATCCCTCAGATTGTGCACGGAGACATCAAATCCTCAAACATACTCCTTGACAAGCATTTCAACAGCAAGCTCTGCGATTTCGGATCAGCCAAAGTCGGTTTTTCGTCAATGGTTCAGCCTTGTACAACGACGTCAACGTCTTCGCCTCGGTCCAAGCAAGTGACGATGATTGGCTCTCCAGGGTACACTGATCCTCACTACTTGAGAACAGGGATTGCTTCCAAGAAGATGGACATGTATGGGTTTGGAGTTGTGCTTCTTGAGTTGGTTTCGGGTAAAGAAGCTGTTAGTGCTGAGAGAGGTGAGATGCTTGTGCATGCAGCAGCTCCGTTGCTTGATTCGAGTGCAGAGATTGGAGAAGAGAAAGTGAGACAGTTCTTGGATCCGAGGTTGTTTAAGGACAGTAGTCTTGATTTGGAAGAGGTTAAGACAATGCTCTGTGTGGCTGCTTTCTGTCTTCGCAGCGCGCCTTCTCTCAGACCATCAGCTTCTCAAGTAGTCCAAACTCTTGTCAAGAAGATCCCGTCTCTGTCTTATCTCGGTTGTGGTAAAGAAGAGTGATTTACAAGATGGTGATGTATAGGTAGTACTAGTGATTGTGTTGTAGTCTAGTAGCTTTTATAAGATTTGAGTTTTCGTTTTGTATAGGAGATTCTGCAAAAAACCCAAAAAGAAAGAAGGAAGATTTCAAATCCTTCTCTTCTGCTTTGTGGTGTTGTATAGTGAAACAACAAACAACAACAACAATTCGTGTAAAAATTGGATTTTGTAAACGTTACTGTGTGATGTGTACTACAAAGGATTGAATGATTACAAAAAGTTGCAATTTTTGGATTGAAATTACATTCCGATAAACTGGGTCAGGGCCTTGAATAGAGAAGAAACTGAAAAAGCTGATCTTTTTACAAAAACCCATTAGATACGAAAGAAAAGTGAGCCCTTTAAACCCAATTATTGTTCTGTTTGTTCATATTTGATCTCTTTCTCTTCGTTGTTGAAGACATTCGGCGAAGCAATGGCGTCTTTTGCGCTAACGTTACATATTCCGTCGGTGGTGTCAGTGAGGAACACTAAACTCGGACGGAGTGTCAGTGACGGGCCTGAAGGCGGCCGGAATTGGTCTGGACTTGCAAAGTTGTCGGAGAAATCGAAGAGTAGACGAGGTTATGGTCTCGTCTGCAAGGCAGAGCTCTCAGAGCTAGCTCCAGTCGTCTCTGCTGGTTATGGTGTTCTTCTTCTAGGAGGCGGTCTCTTCGCTTGTAAGTTACTGATCTCATGATTCAGACGTTTTATTTGGATTTTCTTTGGCCCACTTCACTAAATTTTTTGATCTTTCTGTCCCCAAAATGTGAAGATAGCAAATCTGGAAGCAAAGGTTCTCTCTTTGGGGGTTTGACTGGTTCTGTCCTTATGGCATCTGTAAGATCTTGCTCTCTCTCTTCTCATTGTTAGTTTCCAGTTGCTGTATAGCTTGTAAAACCTTAACTTGTCCTCTGAGTAGGAAGGTAGTGAGGAACTAATTGCACTGTTGAAGTCAACAACCTTTGTTCCAGCTTATTGTGATTCTCCTTCAAGCTCTTGTTTCAGTTCTCTTGAGAAAAATAGTGTTTTTGTCTCTTTAGGGAGGCTTAAGAACCTATTAGCATATCCAAGTTCCTTCAAATTATGTGGTTGGATTTTAAATCGCAGTCGTTTTTTGATTCTCTTCTATGCCTTTTACCTTGTGAAATGAGATCCCCTAATATTTGAAGGTCTGATCAATATCTACCTACTAATATGTTACAGCTGCATAAACCCTTCTGTTTGTATGTTAGCCTTATCTTCGTGATTGTGTTCGTCTACAGTTTGTCTTTTACAAAATATTTGTTGTTTCCTGTAGAGTAAAGTTTTTCCATCTTCTTGTTCATCTGTTGAAATGATTACAAACTTGTTAACTGAGCCATTCCAATGTTTGAAATATATATGTAGGCATACTTCCTTACGAAATCACCAGAGACAAGAGTCCTCGGTGATATCATAGGTCTCGGCTCTGCCTTCCTCTTCGCTTCTGTCTTCGGTGAGCTTTCTCTTTCTATAGATATCAACTGTGTAACGAAGCTCTTCTCATCACACTAGGATTTTCTCTTCTTTCTACAACCTTCTTGCAGGAGTTCGTTTAGCATCTTCCCGGAAACCAGTCCCATCAGGGCCGCTTCTACTTCTTTCCATCGCCATCTTGTCCTTCTTCGTAATGGCGTACATGCACGACAGTTTACCAGCTATTCCCATACCTGATCCACTACCTCTATCTTAGCCTAGACGTGAGACCATGGAGGCTTTTAACCAGTTAGGAAAGCTCTCAAGACTACGAATCAAAGAACAAGTTATGCTTTTTGCCCACACACACCAATAAAATTGCAAAGCTTTGTAACGCTAATGTGGAAATGATAATGTTTGTTTTGTGGGTTGCTGCTTAATCGAACATGCTCAAAGTTTGTAGCGTTTTGATCTTGAATGTTCCGTGCTGAATAAGAGATTTGGCTACTGATGAACAAATATATTGAATTTGTTTGATCTAACGAACTACAAGTTTCTGAAACTTAAAAAGCCAGCTTTGTGGGATTTACTATAAACAGAGTTCTTGAGTCCTACTAACTAGCTTGAATCTCTTGAGGTGAAGGAGTCTCATCATAGACTAGTTTCTCGACTGGATTCAACTCAGCCCACTTAGCTGCATCTGCGTATCCCTGCTCAAACAACCTTTCCAATATCTCGTCTTCTGCTGGCTCCAGTGCCCAATTCAATAGCTAAGTGTATCAGAGAAATACCAAGGTTAAGACAGACACTTGCTCTCAAAAGAGAATTTACAAGAAACTGAAACACTTACTTGTCTGGCTGTTGCTCTGTTTAGAGGGTTGCAATCTGGGCTGATCCCTATACCCTCTAGCTTGAAGCTACTTGCGGAAAAAGCACAAACTCGAACCTGTGAAAGATTGATACAGAAAAGTCCATTAGGCGCCTCCAAGGAACATCTTCATAAGTCAGATGAAAATGAACAGAAGAAGCATCTTCATCATGCACATACTGTTTTAGCAGCAGCTGTGGGTGGCATAAACAATGTCAAGCCTCCATCAACACAGAGCCGGTTACGGAACATCGTTGCAGGCCTTGGTGCAAGATATCTGCATTTGTTCTTAAACTATACTTGTTAAAAGATTTTGTCTTCCAGAGCAACTGGAAAGTTTCAAAAGCTAGAGAGTGATACTTACCCTGGAATAAAGGCAGACGTAAAAACTGCATTGATAAGGTCGCTTTTGGAGTCGAACTGATCCACCAGTAAACCTCTAGGTCTCCAGAAAACCTGTGTGATCGCAACTACGAAACACAGTAGAAAGATCAGTAAAGTCAGACCCAAAAACAAGCCCTTGGCAAAAGGAAACCAAAATTGAGCAAAGAGGATGTTGTTCACACCACGAACTCTGCCATTTGACCTTATATGAATATCATCCGGCAGTAACTTCTCCATAGAATCTCTGAGGACAGCCTAAAACCACATGAAACTTGGGATGAACAACTATAAAATGTACCTTAGAGTGATTTGATTCAAATCCAAGAACATAGAACAATCTAAAGCAAAGTCTTAACATGGAGCAATCTAAAGCAAGGTCGATGATTTGATTAATATTCAAGAACATCAACACCTAGAGACTTATACAGCTCCATTAGTCATTACCCCAAGACGAAAAGCAGTGCCATTGCGTCGACAATCATCAGCAAGAACCTTGGTAGCTTCAAGGGCTTCTCTCATAGACGATCCTGAGGTAATCACAGCACAGACTATAGCACCAGCAGAAGCTCCTGCCAAAGGAGTAGTCTCCTGAATTTCAAAAACAACACAAAACCATCTTCTCTCACAATTCAACACACCAAAACCTTTCTTTATAATGGTTTATATAAAGTTCATGAGCACACACACAGACCTTGATGTAACCCTTTTCGATAAGCAACTGAGCAACACCAAGATGATAAGGAAACAAAAGACCAGCAGCGGAGAAGCTAAACCCAGGGCTTGTAATGACTCTCCTCTCTTTCTCCGCCTCTACGTCTTTAACCCTCTGTTCCCATATCATCGCTGGCTCAATCTCATCCTCAATCTCCGTCGCTATTCTATCTCCGTCGTCAATCGGCGGCCGCGGAGAAGGAGACCTCCGTTGATTAGACTTTTTCAAAAGCCTCGCCGCGATTCCGATGAACATTTCGCCGGTTGCGACAGCGAACGATCTCTTCTCGGGGGTTGAAGAAAACTTTTGGTTTCCGGCGGACCCATCGGAAGGAGAAGAAGAAGAGCATGATAACCTAAAGGCGAGGATTTTCGAAGGAAGGTTGTAGCTTTTACTTGTACGGAGCGAGATGAAAGGTCTGGGAAGAAGAGAAGTCGACATTGGAGATAAAGGATCACACTTGAGATAATTTGGGGGGTTTTTTTTTTCTCAAGTTGGGGATTTTGATTCACACGATCATCGCAGCTTTCACAGAACAGTCATGAGGAATGAGAGAGATTGTGTGGGTTTCGTGGCGAAATTGTTTGCTAGGGATTGGAGACAACAATTTTATAGGATTTCTTATCGTCTCTCTCGAAATCAAATGTTAGACAGTCAAACACCGTACTCTGTAATTTCTCCGTTTCTGGGAGAGAAAATCTAGCAAGGAAATTTTTTTAGGGCAGAAGAGGTAAAGTGGTTGTGATTTAATTTCGGTTTCAACAACCACCATTTATATACCAAAATTATTAAAGTCATACCAGTCCAATCGACGAGCTACTTTTTTTTCTGGACTGGTGGGACTAGACCGTGACCGGAGCGTATCAGATTGACTATCACTATTCATTAAACTAGGTTCATTAGAACCATTCACTGATTAATCTACTCAATTTGTAGGTTTCATTTACACTTTTTTTTTAAGGTTGAGGTCAAATTTGCAAAAGGACTTTAATTCGCAATTTTTTTTGGCAAAACATATTTTAAAATTCCGTCACAAATAAAGAAAGTCACAAATAAAAAAAGTGGTTACATTACGGGTGACTTTGAAAACAATATATAATCTACATAATTATTTAGACGATTTTTTTAGCGTTATTTGCTTAGTTTGATTCTTTTAAACCAACTCCAAGAGGCATTTGGGCATGTCATACAATAGTCTGACTAACTTGAAAAACAAAACCACCACCTCACTATAGTCACTATAGTGAATGGTCAAGATGTACAATATATGGACATTATCAAAATATTGTCTAGTCTTACTCTATTAGCGATATAATTAGCTCTAAATCATCATGTCCTAATGATTATTGTACTAATTTGGACCAACACTGTTTTTGGAAATGATATAGATAAGATAAGTTTTCTCAACTACTTGTTTAATTTTAACTATAAAATGTAGAATACATCGGAAGTTTTTTAAAGAAAGCATATAATGTAGCATGCATTTGGTAGTTTTTGAAACAAAGAGGTCTTAAATTAAAACATAAAGTGTAGCCTTACATTACCCATGCCATAACTTATAATTGGTGGTAAATATTTTGGATGAATGTCCCATCTGCAAATCTGGCTCAATCCCTAATTAATTTACTTGATAGAACCAACCCAAAAACTTGATCTCCCACTTCAAACTCCTCCATAAAATTTTGATAATGGTGGGTATAATAGTCCCACTAATTGATAATGACATATGAGTAACTCTACCACATCACATAAAATTCAATGCTTCTCTCTAAACACCGTGTTTCTTAGCAAACCTTTTTCATTGAGTTGATATCTCCATTCATTGACCAACAGCAAAAAAAAAAAAAAAAAAACCATTTGTCTATTGGTTACTTAGATCAATGAATCAAGGAATTAAACAGATAGAATGCTTGATAGTTACACAAAACCATATAAATTAGAAAATATCGCAAGGTCAAATCTACAATTGGCCTATTGTCCATTTCCCACTGCATTGCATTAATATCGACCTCCATAGATGCTTTGTTTTCTTAATCGAATAAAATTTACTAAGAGTAGTCATCTCAATTAGATTCATATAAATTGCTGACCGAATATCCCATATGAACACAAATTTGGACCGTATAATCAGAATTGGATATGGATTTTTTTTTTCTTTGACAAAAACCCTTGCTTACGGAACAATCAAGTTCAACACGGATTCGTTATTAATATTATGATAATGATAATATATTTCTAAATTTATCGGGATCGTTCCTTGTATAGGCTATAGACCACAGAGATCAATCGCATTCACGCGAATGTATCACACACGCTGTAACACAAGGCGCGTAGATACGGCTTTAAATGCTTTATAGCGGCGAGTCTTGATTTTCACGATAGCTTTTTGAGCATCTCCGGCGGCGTTGTCACCGGCCGTCAACTTCCACATCATCGTACTCATAACCTTTTGAATATTTAATAGTAATCTTTGGTTGACAATTACGTGTGTGTGTATCTTTCTCTGGCTTAATTAGTCTCTATCTCTATATATATAAACCAAGAACAAGAAGAGTGCTTGAGAAAAAAAAAAAGAAAAAGGCAGATCATTATAATTTAAAAAGCATTGATCATCATAAACCGGGAAATGAGCTCGACAAACGGAGGTGTACCGCCCGGTTTTCGGTTTCACCCAACAGACGAAGAACTTCTTCATTACTACTTGAAGAAGAAGATTTCTTATGAAAAGTTCGAGATGGAAGTCATCAAGGAGGTTGATTTGAACAAGATTGAGCCGTGGGATTTACAAGGTACGTTCTTTAATCAACAAACATACTATTATGAATCATTTTAGATATTATAATAAAGCGTTAATTTTGTTTTGTATTTTTCTTTTGGCAGATAGATGCAGAATAGGATCAACGCCGCAAAACGAGTGGTATTTTTTCAGCCACAAGGACAGAAAATACCCGACAGGTTCAAGGACGAACCGTGCGACTCACTCAGGTTTCTGGAAGGCGACGGGACGTGACAAATGCATAAGAAACTGTTACAAGAAGATAGGCATGAGGAAGACTCTTGTCTTCTATAAAGGAAGAGCTCCTCATGGCCAAAAGACCGATTGGATCATGCACGAGTACCGTATTGAAGACACTGACGATGAACCTAGTGTACGTATCTCTTATTTTCGTACTACCTTCATTTCATAATAACTCTTGTTGTATATATGGCTTTATTTAATTAGAGAGCTACGTACGTACGTACCTTTCCATTTCACAAAAAATGTCTTCTGTTTCATGATAAGTGATGTTTAATTAAGAAAATAAACTTGTTTCATTTTAAGCGATTAAAATTATGAAAGCCTGTCCATTTTGTATTGAATGACCCCAATCTACATATGCAGGAAGATGGATGGGTTGTTTGTAGAGTGTTCAAGAAGAAAAATCTATTCAAAGTAGGGAATGATGTTGGCTCAAGCATAAACAACAATAGGCTTGAAGCTCGTAGCTTCATCCGCAGAGAAAGTCCTTACCACGGAATCACAACCTTTGAGCTTAACAAGCCTGGAGAGATTGGTCTTCATCAATACCAACCACCAATGTTTCAGTCTCAAGCTATATTGACTTCCTCTCATCACAACAAGCCTAATTCAACTGGCTACCATGACTACTCCTTGGTTCTTCTTCCAAGGGAAAGTACTGAGAGTGAGGGAGTTCAGTACCAGCAAGCTTGTGAGCCATCAGGGCTTGAGGTTGGCACGTGCAAAACAGTAGGTGAGTGGGGAATGGTGCCTTGCCACGTGGGGAATCATGAAGATTCGTCTAGAGCTATGAGGTTTGAAGATGAAGGTAACAACAATTCATCCTCGGTCCAGCCACCTTCGAATTTGCTTTCTTTGCGCGGTGAAAGTGGATTTCTCGGGTTATTCTAAAGAGATGTCAATTATGTTATATTACTATAAATCTTTATGCATGTATGTTTGTAACTGGAAGTAAATTGCTTCACTGACGAAGTTAATAAGAATTGTACGTTTTAAGTTTTAACTAGTTGATGTTTTTCTCTGTTATGTATGAATTCAAAAGGATATTGTATATGACTCAGTCCATTGCTTTAGGCTTTAGCTAGAGATCATCTTTTATTTAAAAGTGTAAAGAGAGTAGAAGAAAAATATTATATACTAATGATCATTGCAATTTCAAGGAAAGTCTAATAGAACAAGTGTCTCTGGGTGATTAAAGATTCGTGAGATTAGGCACACATATTTTTCAAAAACAATCGGAAAAAATTATTATTTATTCACAAAGAAATCGTGGAATTTGCATGTATTTGATAGAGTAACTATTTTCGTTTAATGATGACCACGACCAAATTTCGGAGATATGAATCAGTTGAAGAATTTTGTTTCCTAACAACTGGTGTAAAGTTAAAAAAAAAAAAAAAACATGAATTATAAGAAATCAAAAATTCAATTCTAAAATGATAAGTAAATTGAATTGAATCAGAAGAAGTCCGGTTTAGAAACCCGGTTTGATCAATAAAATAAAAAAGACTTTGATAGTGGTTTCTTTTTGGGTGCCGTCTTTGTTGTCTGTCAAATCTTCCTTATCCGGTCGTCGGTGAGGCAGTGAGAAGATGGCCGGAGTGTGCGTACCGTTGGGTTTCTCACGAAGCTGTTTGTCATACCAACACGGCGAAGCTTGTCGCCTTCTTTTCCCAATCCGCCGGCGTCGTCCGGTTTTCTCCACCGTCGTCTCCCTCGCTCTTCCGGAGTCCTCGTCTATGATCGTCGACGATAATCTCGGCGCATTTCTCGAGGTCTGCTTCACTGTACAATCACCTCTCTGTTCCCACACCTCAATTTGAGTACACGCCTAAACCCTTGTGCGTCTTTGCAGATTCTTCCCCGAGATCTGCGTCACCGTCTCCTTAACGATTCCCGAAGAAACCAGCTCGTAGAGGTTTGTTACTTCCTCTCGTCAAATCACAATTCTAAAATCCTCAAAATTGAATAAGAAATGAGGATTTTGATGAATCTCTCGATTAGGTGATTATGGATTTGGGAAGACCACCTGAAGCACGTTATCTCGGAGAACCTGGAGGCCAATATCTTAGGAACATCGAGGTAAAATTTGTCTCATTCTTCTTCAAATCTTGTGTGCGTGTGTCTCTCTTTAAATCTCAATCCTTGTATCCATGAAAACACTAGCTTAGGTATCCATGGAAGAGTTAGAGGATGCTCAAGAGCTTGTAGGTGAATTCGGAGCTGATAACAGAGCTGGAATTGAAGGTACATTGCACAGGATATCTGCAATTCGCAACCGAAAAGGCTTCGTTGTAGGTCTGACTTGCCGTGTTGGGAGAGCTGTGAGTGGTCACATTGACATGCTCTATGATCTTCTTCACTATGGCAAAAGCATCTTGTTCGTTGGACGGTAAAGCTTCTTGCTTCTCTCACAATATACTCTCCATTTTCACATCTTTGAAGTTTGAATGATGATTTGATTCGTCTTCATAGGCCTGGTGTTGGCAAGACGACTGTTTTGCGAGAGATGGCTCGTGTCTTATCTGATGAATTCCAGAAAAGAGTGGTGTGTGTGGAATCAAAAGCCTTTCTCTTTATTCTCTTAGCATCCCTGAATGGTTCTGCATTTAGAATGTGTGACGTGTGTTTTAGGTGATAATTGATACAAGCAATGAGATTGGAGGAGATGGTGACATTCCACACTCGGCTATCGGAGGTGCGCGTAGGATGCAAGTGCCGAAGCCGTCTCTGCAGCATAAAGTGATGATTGAGGCAGTAGAGAACCATATGCCTCAAGTGATCATTGTTGATGAGATCGGCACGGAAGCTGAAGCGCTTGCCTGCCGCACGATTGCTGAAAGGGGAGTGATGCTGATTGGCACTGCTCATGGAGAGCAGCTACAGAACATTATCAAGAATCCTACTCTTTCAGACTTGGTAAGATCACTTTACTTTGTCTGGAATGTTGTTGTGTTGTCTCTTCAATGTTCTTTTGTCTTTGTCATTGTTTGGTTTTTTAGATTGGGGGAATTGAGACGGTGACTCTCGGAGATGAGGAAGCGAGGGCGAGAAGGAGCCAGAAGAGCATTCTTGAGAGGAAAGCTCCACCGACTTTTTATTTCTTGATAGAGATGCGAGAGAGAGATTATTGGATTGCTCATCAGGTATTTGCCTTTCTTGTACTGGTTTTACAAATCTGTTCTTGCCTCTTTAGTCACTGTTTTCTTGGTATTCAACATCTTGCTTTGATTACACTTGTGCAGACTGAGAAGAGTGTTGATATGTTGCTTCGCGGAAGGAACCCTATGGTTGAGGTACGCGATATCTTTAATTTGAGGGTTTACTTTACATTATAAGTAAAAGGTACTGATTTGAATATGTATAGACTATAACTTATGGTTTTCAATTTTTTTTTCAGGTAAGGAGAAGAGATGATGAGTTTAAAGTAGTGATAGAAAGATGGAAGTCATATGAAGGACAAGGCATCTGAGTTTTTCCCTTTTAATACACTGCCACAAAATCTATGTCTTTCTTTATGAACGAAGATGTTTGAAGTAGAAGTGTAATATGTTGTTGTAGCTTGTAATTTCTGTGATTAACAAGTACATGTTGGATGTAAAAAATCAATAGAATGAAACAACACTTGGCTGCATCTGATCAAAGTAGAAGTGCATGCAAGGATTTTCTTTCCCATAACATGCAAAGTTTACAGATCAATATAGATGTGAGTTGTTTCTTTTCTTTTTTGCTAACATTTAATGCAATAGAGTTAAGTTTATTGACGATTTTTTGGATTTGGAATCGTTCGTTGTACTAAGAATAAAATTATTTATGAGTCAATAATAAGGCGAGGGAAACACGATGGTCAGTGAAAACCAGGTGCTCCCATGAAGACACTTGCAGTAATCCAGGATCTACGAAAAGACAAAATTGCCACTTATCCGGTTTGTTCGCAAGAGGATATAACTGTAATTACCAGATTAATTCATCTCACATGAACTTGGGAAAACCAGTGGAGAAAGAATCTGGTTTTGCACACTAACCAGCGGCTGATTTTGATTTTGTCATCTTCTCTGTTATATAACAGACCTCTTCAGAACTCATAATCTTCATCAGCAAAATTTCACAAACGCAATAATTCTCCATTTGCAGATAACCAAAGAAAAGGAAGAGAGAAAGAAAGATGAGTTCAACGAGCAGATCATGGTTAGCAGCAGCAAGCATCGAAGCAGTGGAAGCGTCGAAAGACCAATTAGGGGTGTGCCGTTGGAACTATTTGATCCGGTCGGTGAACCAACGCATAAGGAACAATGTGAGATGTGCTTCTCATCAGTCCAACAGATTCTTTTCGTCGTCCACCGATGAGAAGGCGAAGCAAGCTGAAGAGTCTCTCAGGACAGTTATGTACTTGAGCTGCTGGGGTCCTAACTGTTGAACACAAGTTACGAGTTTCTTCGCCGTAATGGAATCCGACAGATTCAGTTTTTTCCTCAATTACAAGAACCCTAAAAATTGAAGGAAATTCAAATTACTAATGTTTTTGAATGTAATTTTATGGCGGATTCGAATTGTAGAGGCGAAATGATATTTGTACAAAACGTGGATGAATATATATAATTTTTTTTTGTGTGAAAGAAATACTTCTTAGTACTTTGCTTTTATTTGAAATGAATCTTCAGTGCCTTAACCAATTTGTCAACATTCAAATCCTATGTATACATGAAACAATCTTTTCACTGCTCCCAACATTTAGCCATATGATTATGCAATTTCTCCATCTTCTGTAACAGCAAATCTTAGTGCCACTTTTATTTGTATTGTGAGTTTCGAACGTAGATTTGAATCACATCATCTCTTGAGTCTCCACTACTCCATTTTCTGTCAGAACATAATGAGTAAATTAAGTTTTCAATACAGACTTTTTTTTCTTATCGAATGACAAAACTCTGTGATCTTTTACTCCCAAGAATACTATTTATTGGGATCAAAGGTCTAATTTACCATCATCAATGTAAACAAGCCATGTAGTTACATCTTTTGCCGTTACTTTTTTACCAAAAAAATCTGTTGCCGTTTATGTTTTCAATTTTCATTAAAGAAAACAGTTGAACGTGGGTGGAACTCGTGGTCCAACTTCCAAATCGACTACATAACCAGTTGCGGTAATAAAACTGAAACCGTGGCCGATCCAAGATGTGCGAAAACCCAATGTTGCCCCTAATCCAATCTGTCCTAACTCTCCTATGCCGAGAAGTCTTGTCTAGACAGAAAGGTAATTTCAAGATGATTTTAGACACGTAAACCGGCAGAAACCGAGAAAACCAGCAGCTTTAAGCATCTGGTTTTTTGCAATTTAGCGGCAGTTTTTGTCTGTTTCTGTTCTTAATTCTTATATAATAAACCCGTCGATCCCAATTATCTTTCATCGGAAAATTCACAAACTTCAAAGCTAAAAAAAACAATCAAACAAACAAAGCCAATTTGAGATGAGTTCTACGAGCAAGGCATGGACGGTGGCGGCAACCATCGGAGTAGTGGAGGCATTGAAAGACCAATTAGGTGTTTGCCGGTGGAACTACGTCCTCCGTTCGATGAATCAGCATCTCCGGAATAACGTCAGACCCGTTTCTCAGACCAAGAGGCTCTCTTCCTCTTCATCGTCCGCTGCTTCCGCAGCCGTTACCTCCGGTAAGGTGAAGCAGGCGGAGGAATCGCTCCGGACGGTCATGTACTTGAGCTGTTGGGGTCCCAATTGATATGCAGACGAATCGAGGTCTCAACAAATTCAAATCGGAGAAATCTGGAAACTTTAGTCGTCGGCATGAATTTTGAAGTCTGCTTATGGCTCGATGTGGTTCAAGACTCACAATTCATAAGAGTAGACGCAAAAAGGAGTCTCATTTTTGAAAAGATGGTTGAATGTATTGTATATATGATTGGTACCATTATCATCATACTTGTACTTAACGTAACAATGTATTTGATCCTTAAATGGCTATTAAATTAAGTGATTAAACTCAAAACATTTCGAGATTAGGGATCCATTGTCATTCTAGTTAATGAAGCTGATCTAAATTATGACAAAAATAACTTTACCGAATCATCATCACACAAGACGAACATGTTAAATTATGATATACCAATTGATTAATCTTATGTTTTGATCCAAAGAGTGATAAGGTAAAGAAAAGATTGTGATCCATGGGCTTAAATTTAATCGTGGCCTGTATTAGACTGAGTTTTAGATCGTGTTTACTGCATCAGCTAAATTGGTTGGAACAGAGTGCTCTGATTTCATTTTAGTGATAATGAGTTTGGAGACATGCTTGTGAACTTATACACTTAAGAAGAATGGTTTTTGATTAGAGTAGGTGAATGATGAGGTTGCGTTTTGAAATTCTACCTAATGGAAAGAGGGAGTGGTTATTTGTCTTATGCATGATAAGCTCATGCTGATTGGGGATAAAGGTTAGATATATAATTTACTACAAAATGTAACAAAAGAAATAAAGAATCAAAATTTGAACATTTTTTTCATTGATCATTTAAATTCTTCGATATTAGGATTTTTAGTGAAACGAAATCACATATGAAGTTGATGCGATGCATGCGTGTATATGTCAAATGACAAATGCTTTATCTTCACAAATGTATTTGATGTATGCATGGATGATGGCTTAGTCAAGAAGTTGACTTGGATGCCGATCGGTTTATGCCTTTAAAACAAAAATCGAACCGATCTAGCCAAACCTCGGTTCGGTTCGGAATAAAAGTCCTAGGTCGTGACTCTTTTTTTCATATAAAGTTTTTAACATCTCTCTCTAGTGTCCCCCGATCAGCAAATATACACCGACGACAATGAATCCCATCCCAAATGATATCTGTTTGGAGATATTCTCGAGATTACCTGCGAAGTCAGTCGGGAGATTTCGCTGCGTGTCGAAGCTATGGGATTCCATGCTTCAACATCCATATTTCACGAAGTTGTTCTTGTCCAGATCCCCGGCTCGTCCACGTCTCTTATTCGCCATCCATGGATTTGGAGAACGTGAGTTTTTCTTCTTCTCATTGCCTCTGCATCAGATTCGGTATGACAATTCATCATCTCCTGTAATAGCCGCTGATTTTCATATGAAGCTCCCTGGAGATATGTGTACAGAAACGTGGTGTTATGCATCTGGTTTGATGTATTTCCCTAATATGTGGAACGCAAAGAAGGGTGAAGATAGAGTGAATGTGATATGTAACCCTAGCACAAGACTGTGTGCGGACTTGCCTGAAATGAGAATGGACAAAGACTCGAGAAGCTTTTTAGGGTTTGATCCGATCGACAAGCAATTCAAGGTATTGTTCCTGGCTCATCCATCTTGTGATGATGATCACAGAATTCTGACATTAGGAACTGGAAATTCGAGTTGGAGGAAGATCAACTGTCCATTACCCCATACGCCTTCCTCCAAAAGGAAAGGGATATGCATCAATGGTGTTCTGTATTACTTAGCTCATGCTAGTAAGATTGTGTGCTTTGATGTTAGGTCTGAGAAGTTCAAGTTTATTGATGGAAAATCAAATGGTGTTCGGTTTACTAAATTGGTAAACTATAAAGGTAAGTTAGGTGTGATCATTAAGTACGCGACCTTTGCTGACACTAAATTCACAACATGTGCCATTGAGTTGCGTATGTGGGTTCTAGAAGATGTGGAGAAACAGGAATGGTCGGAACATGCCTTCACTTTAAAGGGTGATGAAATCGTTGGTTTCTGCGATGATTACGACGTTGGAGTGACTGCTTATGGTGATATTGTTTTGCTGTCTTCTCACCATCCATGTGGATCGTTTTGCGTTTTCTTCTTCAATCCGGAAAGGAACAGTCTCCAAAGAGTTGAGTTCCGAGGTAAACATGAAGCGTTACACCGTTGTAATAATATAGTTTACGCCTTTGAAAACCATGAAGAGGATCTTGAGTTTAATGTTATGGAGACAACATATGCTGCAACATCATCTAACCCTCAACTTCGTGGTACGTTTGAGAGCATGAACAAATTTGATGCGCTGTGTCTTTCGGATGATGATTAGTTTGCACGTGTTATCAAAACCTGATTGCTTCCCACCTTCCCCCAAGTCGGCTAAGAGCTTCTTGTCCGTGAGAAAAGGCCATATGGTCTAGCTATTTTGGCTGTGATGCAACTTTTTCATCTACATGTTTCGTTGTGACTTGTTGGTTGTAATTGGCCGATTTATTTATAACGATAAAAGTTTAGATTGTTCTTTATAAGACCTCTATATTTTCAGAGATTTAGAATCATATCTCATAAGGGTTTCAAAGTTACAAACATTATCTACCCCTCTTCTTTTCTTGTAAAGTCTTCATTCAGAATCTTTGTATTGAAAATGGTTTTGGTTAGAGGTTTTCTCGGCTGCAAAGAAGGATTCTTGGTGGGTCTGTAGCAGAAACGAGGAAAAAAAACATCAGCAGCCAAAATGTTTTCTTGCAGCGTACGTCAGAGAGAGAACCAGCAGAAGAAGAAAATAGCTCTTCACCTCCTATCCGAGTTTCTTGATTTGTCGTCGGTACCTGATCATGGACAAATTTTAAAGCTTATCCTGAAAACAACCAAACGTTAAAAAATGAATTCGTGGAGCAACTAAAGTAGGACGAGGCTTTTTATATACGCATTGCAACGGAACATAACTTTGCACCTTCTAAAAGGTGAAATCGTTTAAGGATCTCTACTCAAAAATTTCAGCGAATGGTTCACATCCATCAACATATTCAGTGTCTTCAGTAACATGTTCAACACCCGAAGGCAATATATGCACTCTTCTCCAACAACCTTCACACATGTAATGTACATGATACAGTGCTGGGATATCATCAAGGATTAGGTCAAAGAAAGACCTGTCTTAGGCTCTTAGTGACTTATAAGCCAAGAAAGTTTTAAACATCAAACCTGCTTTCGTTAGTTCATGGCAGAACCGCAGAAGCAAAAGTATTAGGTCAAGTCGATCGGTTTCAGTTTTTTAGCGGTTTGAACCTGAATTTCTTTTGTTTTTTTATATTTATTTTTGAGAAACCGACATAAAACAAAGACTGCTTATCGGTTATGTCTTTGAACAAAAATCGAACCGAATTACCCAAACCTCGGTTCGGTTCGGAATAAACGCCGCCCTAGGTCTTAATATAAAGTTTTAGCATCTCTCTTTTGGTGTACAACGACGACAATGAACTCCATCCCTATTGATCTCAGTTTCGATATATTCTCGAGATTGTCTTCGAAGTCTATCGCAAGGTGTCGCTGCGTGTCGAAGCAATGGGATTCCATGCTTCAACGTCCAGACTTCAAAGAGCTGTTCTTGACCAGGTCCAGGTTTCGTCCACGTATTTTATTCGCCCTCTGTGAATCTGGAGAACGTGATGAGTTATTATTCTTCTCGTCGCCACAGCATCAGATTCCGTATGAGAATTCATCACTCGAAGTAGCACCCGATTTTCATATGAAGCTCCCAGGAAAAGGGGATGAAGAAGACATATGGGGCTATGCCTCTGGTTTGATGTATTTCCCTAATATGTGGAACGCAAAGAAGGGTGAAGATAGAGTGAATGTGATCTGTAACCCTAGCACAGGACTGTGTGTGGATTTGCCTAAGCTGGACTTGCCCAAACTGAGAACGGACGTACACTCCACAAGCTATTTAGGGTTTGATCCGATCGACAAGCAATTCAAGGTATTGTTTATCACTAAATCATCTAGTGATCATAGAATTCTGACATTAGGAACGGGAAAAATGAGTTGGAGGGAGATCAAATGCTCATTGACTCATATCATCCCTCAAGGAAAAGGGATATGTATCAACGGCGTTTTGTATTACTTGGGTCGACATTGTGGTTATGGATCTTATATGATAGTTTGCTTTGATGTTCGGTCAGAGAAATTCAAGTTTGTTGACGGAGGATATATTTTTTGTTATGATACTAAATTGGTAAACTATAAGGGTAAATTAGGTGTGATCGTTGAGTACTGGAGTTATGATGACGCTAGTGTTGATGAAACGGTTACCCTTGATTTGAGTATATGGGTTCTAGATGATATCGAGAAACAGGAATGGTCGGAACATGAATTCACTTTGCGGGATGATTATTTCTTCCATAACCATAATGTCTCCGTAGTTGGACTGACGGCTGATGGTGAAATTGTTTTGTTGTCTCTTGAGCATAATTTTGGAGCGTTTTATGTTCTTTTCTTCAATCCCGAAGGAAACACTCTCCAGAGTGTTAGATTCCGAGCTAAACATGAAGGGTTAAGCAGTGGTTCAAATACAGTTTACGCCTTTCTGAACCATGAAGAAGATCTTGAGTTTAATATCAGGAAGACAACATATGCGGCAACATCATCTAACGCTCAACTTCGTGGTAGGTTTGAGAGCAATAACATATTTAATGCTCTGTGTCTTTCAGATAATGATTAATGTGCAGGTGTCATCAAAACCTGATTGCTTCGCCCAAGTCGGTTAAAGTTTTTTTTCTCTCTGGTTTTACTCAGTGAGCTCTCATATTGTATTAGAACCATTGGGCATTGGCTGAAGTTGTCTTCATACTATTTGTAAAATAGAGTCTATCTTGTTTGGCTTTGATGTGACTTTTTCATTTACAAGTTTCGTTGTGAGCTAATTATGATAATGTTCATTTTTTTTTTTGATACCTGAAGAGTTTCTTGGTGATAATGCTTTAATTTCATGGACAAGCAAGTAAGAAATCAGCTATCATCCATTCTATTAGAATATTAGAAGAAGGAATACATATGTTCCTCTATGTAAATTAGGCAACAATATGATCAACGATATTAGGACGGCATGGAACTTTGGTTCTCTACAAGACCTTAAGTTCTAATTTAGTTCTCCTATATATTATCATCGCTCTCAATAGACCGCTCAGCTTAGTTTACACTCTCAGTTTTAAAGTTGCACTTTGATGTATTAAAGACTTTTTGAGTTGAAAGAACTTATACATTCAATTAATAAAAAAAACCCCTAGACTGTGTTGTTGTTAAAAAAAAAAAGTACTTTCATTCCAAATAAACACAAACCCTAGTCTGTGTTGAGAGTGTTAAGTTCTATCCCGCTGGCAAAAAAAAAAGTTTTATCTCATGCTAATATGTTTATTTGTGTTAGTACATGTGCCCCCACGTACTCTAATCTGATACCATGCAATGTCTTTGATTGGCCATGTAACTCTTGCGTCCTTCTTAAGTTATTGACGTATATAAATAAAATTTATGAGTTTTACATCTGTTACTGTGACTTTTCATTTACAGATTACGTGTGAGCTTTATCACTCTGCTGACTTTGCAATGGTTCTTTCCAGTTATCATGTTCGTGTCCTACTTGGGGAGTAAAGTGCTAATGTTTTAAACTAAATTGCGTTTTGATAAAAAAAACTTTTTTGATCGGTTTCAGGTTTTAATCGGTTTGAACCTCACGAAAACCCCAAATAAACCAAACACTGCTGATCGGTTATGTCTTTAAACAAAACTCGAACCGAATTACCCAAACCTCGGTTCGGTTCGGAATAAACGCCGCCCTAGGTCTTAATATAAAGTTTTAACATCTCTCTTTTGGTGTCTCCGATCAGCAAATGTACAACGACGACAATGAACTCCATCCCTATTGATATCAGTTTCGAGATATTCTCGAGATTGTGTGCGAAGTCAATCGCAAGGTGTCGCTGCGTGTCAAAGCTATGGGATTCAATGCTTCAACGTCCAGATTTCAAGGAGTTGTTCTTGACCAGGTCCTCGTTTCGTCCACGTTTATTATTCGCCCTCGGTGGATTTGGAGAACGTGATGAGTTTTTATTCTTCTCGTCGCCACATCATCAGATTCCTTCTGAGAAGTCATCTCCTGAGATATCAGCCGATTTCCAGATGAAGCTCCCAGGAAAAATGTCTCCAGACATGTGGAGTTATGCCTCTGGTTTGATGTATTTCCCTAATATGTGGAACGCAAAGAAGGGTGAAGATAGAGTGAATGTGATCTGTAACCCTAGCACAGGACTGTGTGTGGATTTGCCTCAACTGGACTTGCCCCAACTGAGAACGGACAGCCACTCGAGAAGCTTTTTAGGGTTTGATCCGATTGACAAGCAATTCAAGGTACTGTTCATGGCTTATCCATCTAGAGTCCTGACATTAGGACCGGGAAAAATGAGTTGGAGGGAGATCAAATGCTCGTTGACTCATAGTATCTCTCGTGGCAGAGGGATATGTATCAATGGCGTTTTGTATTACTTAGCGGTACGAGATGATAATAGGTCTTATGTGATAGTTTGCTTTGATGTTCGGTCAGAGAAATTCAAGTTTGTTGACGGAAAAGAATTTGTTTGGTGGCATCAATTGGTAAACTATAAGGGTAAATTAGGTGTGATCAATAAACACTGGAGGTGGGATGACAATAGTATTGTAGGGAGTACCATTAATCTGAGTATGTGGATTCTAAATGATCTCGAGAAACAGGAATGGTCGGAACATGCCTACACTATGAGGGGTGGTGAAATCCGCTTTGATTCCGACGTTGGAGTGACTGTTAACGGTGAAATCGTTTTGTTGTCTCCTCATCATTACCGTGGAAGGTTTTGTGTTTTCTTCTTCAATCCCGAAACGCACACTCTCCAAAGTGTTGGATTCCGAGGTCAACATGAAGCGTTAGCCAATCCTAGAGATAGAACTGTTTACGCCTTTGTAAACCATGAAGAGGATCTTGAGTTTAATTTTATGAAGACAACATATGCTGCAACATCAGTTAACCCTCAACTTCGTACTAGGTTTGAGAGCATTAACAAATTTGATGCGCTGTGTCTTTCAGATGATGACTAATTTGCACGTGTCATATGGTATGGTATTGGTATGAGATCCGTGGCTGAAGTTGTCTTTGTAATATTTATAAAGCTAGTTTCGCTTTGATATGACTTTTTTGAAACTTTTTCATGTGAGCTCTATCATTTATTTTAAGTCAGTTCTTCAGAGATTCAGAATCATAATTTAAGGTTTTCATTGTTGCAAACATTATCTACTACTTTTCATTTAGCGTAGAGTCTTCCTTAGGAGTCATTAATATGGAGAGTGAATTATTCTCGTATGCCTTAACATCAACAAAGATGATGTCATATATATTTCCCAGTTACAGACTTACAGTTATCAAGTGTTGTTACAAATTGCAACAATAGCTTTTAAGAGACTAGCTAGCCAGCTAGGTCTTTCGTTTGAACATACTTGGGTCTTAATCAGTTGATCGGTTACAGGGCCCTTTGAGAAGCTTATTCAAGGAATCAATATAGCCCTTTTAAACGTTATGAGACTACTTCAGAGAAGAAACGAAAGTGAGAAAATTGAAATATGATCCTCGTTTTCATTCATGGTAATAGCAAGAATGGCTACATATCTTAGAAGTGAGTACATGGCATAGTGTATAGTGATCTTGGAGCATAATTTGGATCCATAGGTCTAGACTGGGCAGGAGGATGCAATTAAACAGCAATCATGTGAGCTCCTTCGTAAAAGTTGCACGACGGCATTAATTCAAATGGAGTCAAAGCCATAAGATTAAGAAATGGAAAAAAGTATATAAAAATATACTAAAGAGCAATATACTAAAGAGCAATGGAGAATGATAAAAAGTATATATATATATATATATCTTTCTGTCCCAATGCAGTGTTTGCTATTGGCTTACAATTGTATTGTGTCCCTCCGCAAGTCAACACTTGCAAAATGGAGAATTAGTAGAAGAAAAACTCTTTGCTATGACGTGTGTTCAGGTGAACTTTGATTATGGATCTCTAATTTTGGGTTTGATTTTCTGAGTATTTTAATAGAAATTTTAGGGATTTTATTTATCCACTTTAGTTTAGTGATAAAATGAAATTTAGGCTTAACTGTTTAGGACTTTGACTTTAGTTTGTGAGACTGTGACTGTTGGCTTTTTGGCTACAGAGAATTTGGCTGTTAAAACTGTGATTGTTACTTTTAAAGTTTCTAAAAACCATATTGGTAACAAAAGCTGTGAAAGCTGTCACTGCTATTTTTCAATATCATAAAAAAAAAGTTTTTATCTTGTATATAAATATTGATGATAAAGAAATTTTATTTATTTATGTTATTATTTTTAGTATAATTACCTTAAATATATTATTAGCATTTAAAATATCTTGTAAATCATTATTTTATTTTGTTATCTAATAATAATAATTAGTTATAAAATATAAGAAAATCAGTGTTCAAGAATGCATTAGGCGCTAAGCGGGCGGTAAGCCAATGCCTAGCGCCTATAACGCCTAATCGGGGTCTAGGCGATTGCTAGGCGTCTTTAAACTTTACAAAATAAACTTATATATTATACATATCTTTCGCTACGGTTTATGACCACCTAGCGCCTAGGCACTGCCTAGGTGGCCGCCTAGATTGCCTTTTAGAACACTGAAGAAAATAGATTTTAAAAGAATGAGAAAAAACAATAGTAATTATTTAGTCAAATTTTAATAGTAAAAAAATAGTTATTGTATATTAAAATTAAGTTTTGATGTCTTGGGGGAAAGAAGAAAAAATAAAAGTAATTAAAAAGAAAATAAAAGAATGCTTTCGTACAAGAAGAAGAACAAAAACAAATCCTATCCTAAAGCCTCTTAAAGTGTTTTCCGTGACTATTAGAAAAAGAGAAGTTTAAAGAGTAAAAAATGTCTAGCAGTTGAGCTTAGGAAAGCAAAAACCTGATTAGCAAAAAAATTAACTTTCAAAGACTTATAAAATTGGCCCACCAAATGTCAGGGACGGCTCTGATTGTATAATGTATATGATACAGTGCTGGGATATGACATCCAAGTCAACGAAAGAACTCTTTAGTTATAAGCCAAGAAGCTTTTAAACATGGCACTCTTTAGTTTGCAGGATGAGTCAACGAAATTATAAAATTGGCCCACCAAATGTCAGGGACGGCTCTGATTGTATAATGTATATGATACAGTGCTGGGATATGACATCCAAGTCAACGAAAGAACTCTTTAGTTATAAGCCAAGAAGCTTTTAAACATGGCACTCTTTAGTTTGCAGGATGAGTCAACGAAAAGGGACAGGTTTGAAAGGGTTACCCTTGATTTGAGTATGTGGGTTCTAAATGATATCGAGAAACAGGAATGGTCGGAGCATGACTACACTTTGCAGGATGATTGTTTCTTCCGTTACCGCAGTGTCTCTGTAGTTGGAGGGACTGCTAATGGTGAAATTGTTTTGTTGTCTCGTTGGCATTCGTTTGGAGACTTTTCTGTTCTCTTCTTCAATCCAGAAAGGAACACTCTCCAACGTGTTAGATTCCGAGGTAAACATGAAGCTTTGTTAAGCGGTCGTTCAAATAGAGTTTACGCCTTTGTTAACCATGAAGAAGATCTTGAGTTTAATATAGGGAAGACAACATATGCGGCAACATCATCTAATCCTCAACTTCGTGGTAGGTTTTAGAGCAATAACATATTTGATGCTCTGTGTCTTTCAGATGATGATTAACTTGTAGGTGTCATCAATACCTGATTGTTTCGCTCAAGTCGGCTAAATGTATTTCTCTTACAAGTATTAGATCCGTGGTTGAAGTTGTTTTCATACTATATATATATATATATATATATATATATATATAATAGAGTCTATCTAGTTTGGCTTTGATGTGACTTATTCATTTACAAGTTTCGTTGTGAGCTCTATATCATTTTGTTTGGTTTTGGAGACAATCACTAATAATCAACAACGTCGTCAGTGACAAGATTATCTTGCACACTGTTTGTATCTCAAAAGTTCGGTTTCTCCCTAGACACCGATTTATTCCATTCGTGTTATCTGATCTTAGCTTTTTGATCACCTTGTCTCGTCTCTCTCTCGCATCTCTGTTTCCATTCATAATTATACAATAAAACCATCAAGAAAAGCTAAAAATATTGAAATGGTTTTGGAAAGAGGTTTCTTGGCCGCCAAGAAGGAAGGAGGAAAGAAACTTCAGCACCCAAAACGGTTTCTTGCAAACGTATGCCAGAGAGAGAACCAGAAGAAGAGGAAAATAGCTCTTGACCGCCAATCCAAGTTTCTTGATTAGTACCTGATCCTAGACAAAATTAAAAAGCTTATCCTGAGAACAACAAAACAAACCAAATGACACATGGAGCAACTAAAGTAGGCCAAGGCTTTAAATATACATTGCAACAGAAACTTAACTTTACACCATATAAAAGGTGAAATCGTTTATAAGAACCAAAGCTATGTCGTTCTAGTTACTGAAACTAATCAAAGTAAGTGAGTAATGAGGTTGCGTTTCTACTATGTTCCTTAACACAAAGCAACTAAACGTTATTCTCTTCTCTGGAATTACCAGATAACCAATTTCTCGGTTTAGCACCGTTAGGGCTTAACCATACACAACAACAACAAACCATCTAAACTCTTTTCCATAACAAAATGCAAAGTAATGTTTTATCCTCAACTGCGTTTTCATAAAACTAATGTTGGCTACTTGGCTTTCTGGTTTCCAATGTAATGTTTGTGTAAAATGACTTATGCCATCAAATATATATGTTTATCTTTCTGCCCCTATACAATGTTGGTATTGGCTTACATTTGTATTTTTATTCCCCGCCGCAAGTCAACATTAAAAAATCTTTGAGCCAAACCGTAGTGAAGCAAGAAGATGTGGTTACTTACTAGCATACGAAGTTAAGAAGTTCCTCTATAATGTGGAACTATCTTGGTCCAAAATTGCTTCTGCAAACAACTTCAATTCCTTCATACTCTTATGTGGTTTATGAGTGACAATTTATTTTTCATAAGGGGACCAATATCCACATCCATAAAATATTGCCTGCGATATGTAACCCTAGCACAAGATAATATGCTGTCTTACCTGAACTGAGAACCGACATAACGTACTAAAGCTTTTTAGGGTTTGATCCGATTGACAAACAATTCAAGGTATCGTTGATGGATGAATATTATAAATTCTTTGATCATAAATTCTGACACTGGGACATGGAGAAATAAGGTGGAGGATATGTATCAATGGGGTTTTTTTATTATTTTAGTCGACAAACTGATGATGTAACCTCTTATGCGATAGTTTATTTTGATGTTCGGTCGGAGCATTTCAATTTGTTTATTTCTTTTTGGGTTTTGTCTGCAGGTTGAAGAAACTTTGAATTAAGTCGAAGCAGTTTTGGTTTTGTAGGATTTGAATTAAGTCCCAAAAGATGAGATACATAAGTTACATGATATAGTGCTCGAATATCATCAAGAATTAGGTATACGAAAGACATGTCTTAGTTACGTATACACCAAGAAAGTTTTAAACATCAAGCTTTCTTTCGTTATTTCATGGCAGATGAAGACATGTCTTAGTTACTTATACACCAAGAAAGGTTTACGTATTGTGTTTTGTATAGTCTGAGCCGGAAAAATGGTATGGTTCTATTAGGTCAAATCAATCGGTTCCTGTTTTTAATCGGTTTACTTTAGTTAAACCCAACAAAATAACAAAGGATGCGGATCGGTTTATGACTTTAAACAAAATCGAATCGATTGATCCAAATCTCGATCGGTTCGGTCCGGAATAAATGCCCTAGGTCGTAACTCCGTCGAGTCTTTTCATATAAAAGTTTTTAAGATCTCTTTCTAGTCTCTTCGATGAGCAAAATATACAACGACGCCGACAATGAGTTCAATCCCGATTGATCTCATTGTCGAGATATTCTTGAGATTGCCTTCAAAGTCAGTAGCTAGGTTTCGTTGTGTGTCAAAGCAATGGGGTTCCATACTTTACCGTCCAGATTTTACGGAGTTGTTCTTGACCAGGTCATCGGCTCTTCCACGTCTCTTATTCGTCGTCAAATTCGACCGGGGTGACTTCCACTTGTTCTCGTCGCTTCAGCCTCAGAATCCATATGGAAAGCAGTCGTCTCTTTTAGTAACCGCCGATTTTCGTATGAAGTTCAATAGATACTTGTTTCTGAGCTTATGTCAGTATGCCTCCGGTTTGATCTATTTCCTTCATGAGCGGACCAAGATCCGTGATAAGTGGCGCTCACACGAGGAAAGGGATGTATTGCATGCGATTTGTAACCCTAGCACAGGACAGTATGCTGTCTTGCCTGAACTGAAAAGGGACAGATGTACGGATTTCTTTTTAGGGTTTGATCCGATTGACAAACAATTCAAGGTATTGTCCATTGTTGCATATCGATTTAGTGATAATAGAATTCTAACATTGGGACCTGAAGAATTGAGGTGGAGGAAGATCCATAGTCCATTAACCCATAGGCCTTTGAGTCAAGGGATATGCATCGATGGGGTTTTGTATTACTTAAGTCGCCGAACTGATGATGACACGTCTTATGCGGTAGTTTGTTTTGATGTTCGATCAGAGAATTTCAAGTTTCTTGACGAAGAAGTATTCCCTTCTTCTTGCCCTATATTGATAAATTATAAGGGTAAATTAGGTCTATTTTTTCGAAAGTATGACGTCGCCGATGCCATCAAGTTGTGTTTGTGGGTTCTAGATGATGTCGAGAAACATGAATGGTCTAAATATGCATTCTACATTTCGGGGGATGATGATAACAAAATCGATGATTGCCAAAATGTTAACGTTGTTGGAGTGGCAGCTACTACAGGTGAGATTGTGTTGGCGGAGAAACCTTCTTGTATATCTAAACCGTTCTATGTTTTCTACTTCAATCCCGAAAAGAACACTCTCCAACGTGTTGAAATCCAAGGTCTTGGTTTTGGTTTGGGAAAATTCTGTTATGAAGATCGTTATTTTGTTGAAGTCTTTGTAGACTATGCAGAGGATCTTAATGTTAACGATGCAAAGATATTCAAGCCAAGCCAGGGACTTGATATCATTTGGAAAAGGCCAATACCACAACATCCGGAAGAGGTAAGAGACCAAAGGGACATGAGCTAGCAGAGAGAGAGAGAGACAGTAGGGAAGATGAAGATAGAGAAGACGATCGTTGGAGTAGGTGAAAGCAAATAGAAATCAAGTTTCTTTTCTTTCTATTTCATCTCTTTCAATAATAATATCTCCTCATGGTTATGTCATGGTGGAGAATACCGGTAATAACATGTTTGATTCCTCATCTACAATAACGGCGTCGATTCTTTCATCTCCCTTCTTAGCATCTGGAATCTGAGGAATCAAATGAAATACAAGTTTGAAAGACAAGACTTATATAGTAGCTTAACAAACTTCTGCGGTAACTGAAGTACCTCAAACATGGCTTCGGTAAGAATGCTTTCAAGCAAGGCTCTTCGCTTGTACATAAAATCATTCCACTGTTTTCTTGTTATCTGATCACTTTAGCTTTTTCATTCGCCTTATCTCGCCTCTCATACATCTGCGTTTCCATTCATCAATCATACAATAAAACATTTGGCTTCTCATATAAAACGATGAATAAATTGAAAATGGTGTTTTGGTAAGAGGTTTCTTGGCTGCAAAGAAGGATTCCTGGTAGCTCTTATAGCAGTAACGAGGAAAGAAACTTGAGCACGAAAAGGGTTGCTTGCAGCGTACGTCACAGAGAGAACTACAAGAAGAAAATAGCTCTTGATCTCCAATCCCAATTCCTTGATCATGGACATTACTAAATGAATTCATGGAGCAGCTTAAGTAGGAGTATAGGACAAGGCTCTTTATATACAGATTGCAACGAGAGCTCAACTTCTAAGAAGACAACTGAAGCACAACTGGACTGAAATAAATATGATCAATTATAATTTTTTATTGATATACCTAAGAGTTTCCAGGTGAAAATGATTACATCCCCAAAAGGTGAGTATGAAGTAAAATCATTAACAACAAAGCACTGCATGCATCTCGAATTCTCGATCATCAAGAGGTAATTCTGCAACCCTAGAAGACGATTATTTCGGAAACACTCCAATCAGTGAAAAATAAAAAGCATTATAAAAACAATCATCGTACAGAAATCAATAAAAATCTATAGAAAAAAATTTGATACACTTAGGAAAGCTTATTGAATTGATGATTTGAGAGGATTTTTTTTTTTTTTTTTTGAATCACCTTTTATTGGATTTAGTATTTGGAAAAATCATCTAAAATCCAAGGTTATTGGATTGATTATTATTTATATAAAATCTTTATAATCCCACCTTGTTGGAAAATTAGAGTTTTAACAAAAAAAAATCTATTTTTTAAGCGATTTGTGATTTGTGAGATATTTTTAAATAAAAAATAAACAGATTCAAAGACCACCTTATGAAATGAAATTTGAAGAAATAAAAAATTATATTACCATTTCCCTTCTTTCTTGTCATTCACGACACTGCAGAATTTTATGATACTGATAATAATAAAAAAAAAAAATCTTTGTTAATTTCACAAGAACTGTTTAAGATTATCTTCATGTCATGTCTTTGGAAAGAGTCCATTAGAATAGTTTTAATCTTGTTTCGTGAAAGTAAGAGATCATCATTCATGGTTCCAAGAAAAAAAATGTTGTAATTTAAAACAAATGATGTGTAACTATTGAAATAAAAAATATTTTTTTTTAAAAAGAGAAACCATCTCAATCAATCATCAATTAAAATCTCTTGAAATTCATATCTAAATCATATCTTTGAATTTATATCAGTGGTCAAATCTTAAAATCCTTTAAAAATTGGGCTGTTTTCACTTTTAGTTCAAAAATTGAGGTCAAATGCAAAAGTAGTTCACTCTTTTTTCCTTCCTTGTTTATCCTCACATATTTATGATAATAACGAAAATGCCATTACTTTCGTCCTTGAAGTCTAACCGTGAAGTCTAATACGAAAATAAAAAGTCCAAAGAAACCTCATCTTCTTCATTTATTCACGAAAATGCCATCACCATCAATTCGTCCAACAACCATTCTCAACCGAAATCAAGCTTTGAATGCATTATTTACTCTTCAAACATATATATAAACTCATTATATCATCTCATAAACTTGTATTCGTCAATTTCTTCTCAATTTTCACCCCAAGAACACACATTTTCATCTTTTCAAAGTTTATGTTCTTAGATCTTCCCATTTTTGGTGTGGGAGATCATTATAACGGTTGGGGAAGTTTGCTGAAGCTCTAAATCGAAGTTCTAGGCCGTCAACAAAACTTAAGATCACGGCAAGGTAAAATTCCGGTAGATCTGAGTGAATTTCATATTTTTGCAGGTCCTTAGACTTCATAGCGAAGTCTAACAAACTAGTTTTGCAATTAGTTTTCAAAAAATTTAGAGAGTAGACTTCACAATGAAGTCTACCCATATTCCTTTGAAAACAAAAAAATATGGTGTAAGCTTCAGAATGAAGTCTACTCGAAACAGATTAGTTTTGCAATTGACAGAATAAAAACTTTTTATGAAAGTCTATCTGTGAAGTCTGCTTCAATAAAAGACTAGTTTTGCAAACTTTAAGTAGTTTGTTTTATCGTGAAGTCTACCCCTAAAGTCTATTAATGTTGTATTAGGCTTTATTCAAAGTCTAATATCGCGTTAGACTTCATTGTGAAGTCTAATAAAGGGTTAGACTTCATTTCGAAGCCTAATTCTTGATAGACTTCTTGGTGAAGTCTAATAGTCAACGTTTATCGGAGTAGACTTCACGATGAAGTCTATTTTCCAAATTCAAAAATTCGATCAATTGCAAAACTAATCTCTATGAAGTCTAATTCCGGTTGTAGACTTCACGGGTAGACTTCATTTTCGAGTTAGACTTCATTTTTAGCCTATTCACGATAATGAAGTCTATTTGAAAAGTCAAAGCTTGGTCAATTGCAAAACTAGTCTTTTTTTTCCGGTAGACTTCATGTGTAGACTTCATAAAAAAATTGTAATTTGAAAAATTGCAAAACTAGTCTATTAGACTTCACGGGGAAGTCTACTTGGTAGACTTCCTCGTGAAGTCTACTATTTAATGTTTATTTGAAAACGCTTTTTTGGAAAATATATAACGAATTTTTAAGATTTTCTTGAACAATTAGTTGATTTAGTCTGTTTAGTTGCTTGTGTGTTAGTTTGACATGCTTATTCGTTATATATTTCGTTAAAACGGTTTTCTTGTTTGGTTAGCATATTATACATTACTAGGTAGACTTCGTCGTGAAGTCTATCGTGAAGTCTACACATGAAGTCTACTATAATATGTTTTTTTTCAAACGCATTTTTGAAAAATGTATAACAAATTTTAAGATTTTCTGGAAACATTATTTGTATTAGTCTATTTAGTTGTTTATGTGTTAGTTTGACATGTTTATTCGTTATATACAAAGTGAAAATGGTTTTTATGTTTGATTAGCACTTAAACATTACCAAGTAGACTTTTCTGTGAAGCCTACTACTGAAATTTATATAAGAAGTTTAACTATATGATTGAATTTGGTCCGTTTTAGCTAAGTAAAATGCATCTAAAATGTTTGAATTTGAGTTTTTACTATAAATCTGTAAAGTCTACTAAAGTTTACTAAAGAATCTTCCTCTCAATTTAAAGTTGATCCATTTTAGCTTAGAAGTTTATGACAAGTTTATGAAATATGGTCGTGCATTATTTTTGTATAAGCCAAAATGGTAAGTGATAGATAACAACAAAAAACTTTATGCATAAGTCAAGTGGTTTATATCTAACAACTTGTTTATAACTGTAATGCGACAAGAACTCTTTGGATAATATAATAAAATTGTACCAAAACTTGTATCAGAAAATAGTAACAAAACGCATATGATCCCATAAAAAAATTGACATCGATTTCTGCTTCCTAAACCAGCCAAAAAAATCCACAAAGTCCAGCCTGAAGTCCATTTTCCTGTATCAGCTCACTGTCTCGAGTGACCTCAACAATTTACACATCTCTTTGCTGCCTCTTCTACTAACGCCTTTTGTTCAGCATTCTTCTTTCTCCTTCTTTTCGTCCTCATCTTCTTTTCTTCTCTCCAAGTTCCTGAGAAAAAACCCCCAATATCATGAGGCCAGAACAATGTTAGGAGAAAAGCAAGAAACAAGATATGTGATCATAAAAATTAAAATGAAGTGAAATCAAGATCGCACACACAAAGACCTAAATCAGTTTCACTAGGGAAGAAATCAAAATCTGATACAAGATGGAGAAACAAACCCTTATTCTAAGAGGATTAGCAACACCTCTCAAAGCTTAATGCAGGCTTTGACTAAGCTTTGTAGTAAAATCGAAAACCTGCAATTTTCTGGAAACAGAAAACAGAGATTTTTTATCATCTTTGGAACAAATTTGCAGATGGACTATACCTCGGATTTGACAACGGAAAGAATATCTGAAAAGCTGGATTCGAGATCTTCAAAACCGTAGGTAGATCGACTACTGGTTCCTTACTTATTGCCAGGAAATCGCTTCACAAAACCTGACTAGAAAAGAAGATTTTAAATCTTAAAACTGCTTTGACTTCTCAAAAAACAAATGGACGTATCTCTCAAAATATATCTCTGATTACCGTGATCTTGGATGTTCTGGAAAGATGAGAAGGAGATCTTTCCAACGGTACCAAGATGAGAAGGAGATCTTCGTGTGATCTTCACGAATCGTTCGTAACTCTCCCTGAAAAAACTTATATATGTGAGGAAAAGGGTCTCTCTTAAAGCAAAAACAATTCACAATATTTGACTTTCCCAAGAAAAATCATTCACTTACCATCTACAACTCGTCTGTATCAAAACAAGAACTTTGAGAAACCTAAAAAATTCAAATCCAGAGGTTAGCAGAATCATCAAGCAGAATCATGTCAGAAACAATAAATTATCTTACAAACTAGAGATATGAACACAGAGGAAGAAGAAAACAGAGGACTTACTACTACGAAAACAGGAAGAGATTTTGTGGTCTTTTATTCTTCTCCTTCCTCTTTGTCTTCTCCCTAGACTCCTCCATCATCTCCTGCATATACAGAATTCAAAATTACTTGTTAGGAGAAAAGCAAGAAACAAGTTATTTGATAAGAAAAATAAAAATGAAGTGACATCAAGAATATTAAGCAGTATATGATTAAGAGACCTCCGCCATCACGTTCATCGATCTGTTATGAAGAGAAAAACATGGTTTATCAGGTGAGAATGGTGAAAGATAAGAGAGAGGAGACGGTGGTGAATGGCGAGTGAGAGGCGGAAAAGGTTAACGGTGAGTAGCTTTGCTCAGGCGAGCAGAAGCGCGTAGATCCATTGGAGCAGAGAGAGAGCTGCCATTCGCTCAGGCGGTAAGAAACGGCGACGGTTGACGGCGAGTGGCTTCGCTCAAGCGAGAAAAGCGGCGGAGGTTCACGGAGAGATGACGAGAGAGAGAGAGACCAGCGAGAGAGAGACGCCGCTGAGTTACAGATTTTTCTTCCACAAAATTAGGTTATTTCTATATGTATCTAGGTCAATTTTCGGGTTAGGTGAAAAAAAAATTCGGTTAGTGAAAAAATTTCCGGTTAAATAGACTTTATTATGAAGTTTAGGAAAGAAGTCTATTCCCAAAGTCTCCTAAACCGACATATTGTATCAAAATTTTGTTTCAATATATTTTGTTTCCCGCTAATTTCCCCTAAAATATTTCGTTTCCCGCTCACAATTTTATGAATAACATACTTCATAGCAAAGTCTAACAATGAAGTCTACGGATGAAGTCTAACTTACCCTAAACCCTAAATCAAATTTTTTAGATCAAAAGTATAGAAAACATCAGTTATATATACATAATCACAATTTACATTATAAACTATGAATTCATTAACTTTAAATCGTTAATCAAACCGCAAACAATTTTTTTTGTCAAAATTCTCTAAACCCTAACAATGACACTCATATACCCTATACATTATACCTCAAACACTAAGCTTGATGATTGGTTTACTCATGAAATTTATAAATTAATTCATTTCCATAAAATTTTATTTTACATAGATAGGATTTGTCTTCATTTAGATTATTTATAATTTTTGAATCCTAAACGGACAACGGCAACACGGCGGCAAGCCACGGTGGCGGAAGGGTTCAAATGAAGATTCCACTGTGAGTATAACGACAGTAGAGGGAAACAGACACAGACACGTATATCACTGATATATGAATATGACTTACAGAAGTATACTTCGGAGGAGGAAGGGGAAAAGGCGGCGGCGACGATAGTGGGTCTGTCTTTCTTCTTCGACGGCGACGGTGGGCGGAGAGAACATGCAATCGCCTATCCGACAAAGAGAGAGAACGGAACGGACTTGGGTTTGCGAAAGTGAAATGTGAAAGTGAAACCCTGATTTTGGGTTTCTCACTTTCGATTATGGCCGGTTAACTTTGGTTAAACCCAATTACAACAAACATTAGAATTTCCTCGACCGGTTCTAAGCAAAAACCGGAATTGATGTACAAAGTCTACTCGTGAAGTCTACAAATTGAACTTTTAATGAGAAATTTATTCGCCCAAAATATTTCGTTTCCCGCCCAAAATATTTCGTTTCCCGCTCGTTTTTTGAATAATAGACTTCATAGCAAAGTCTAACTATGAAGTCTACCGATGAAGTCTGACTTACCCTAAACCCTAAATCGAATTTTTGAGATCAAAGCTATAGAAAACATCAATTATGAATATATAATCACAATTTACATTATAAACTATAAATTCATTAGCTTTAAATCGTTAAACAAACCGCAAACAATTTTTTATGTCAAAATTCTCTAAACCCTAACAATCATACTCATAAACCACTATACATTGTACCTCAAACACTAAGCTTGATGATTGGTTTACTCATGAAACTTATAAACTGATTAATTTCCATGAAAATTTTATTTTACATAGATAGGATTTGTCTTCATTTAGATTATTTATAATTTTTTTAAGCCTAAATATTTTTTATAGATTTTAAACTTTAAATTTAAGATTTTGTTATTTGGTAGACTTCTTCAGTAGACTTCACACAATATTTTTTGGATTATACCATAATTTGTATTACCGATTTTAAATTGATCAATTTATATGCAAATTTATTTTTCATGGATAGTACTTGTCTTTTTTAATTATGTGTAAATACCTTCATCAAAATATTTTTAAAAGATTTCAAACTTTAAATTTACGATTTTGCTATATATTAGACTTCGGGAATAGACTTCACGCAGTTTATAGGTTACAAACATAATTTCTCTTACTTGAGTTAAATGGAGTCATTTTTATGCAAGTTTATTTTTCTTGGATGCCAAATGTTCTAATCTTATTTATGTATAATTTTTTTGATCAAAACAATTTCCTATAATTTTATAAATTAAATTTGAGTTGTGTTTAGGAATTAGACTTTATGAATAGACTAACATGCGTAGACTTCATGAATAGACTTTAAACAGGGTAAAACAGACATTGTGGCTAGCGTTTTTTTCTTTGTTCATAAGGGCTTGTTTGTAATTCTACATGCCCAGAAGACTAGTTTTGCTCTAAATGCAATATAGGGTCTAGTTTTGCATTTCAAATCAAATTGTGCACTATATTTGGCAATTCCCCTTAAAATTCTATAAATCATTTTATGTTGGGCCTTAGGTTAGCACCCGACCTTCAATAGGTTCAATCCTTTTTTTTTTTTTTTTTGGTTCTAAATATAAAGTTTGTACAAATACATTCTCTTTCCGTCCGATTACCAGCAAATTAAACGATGATGAGTTCCATCCCGAATGATCTCATCACCGAGATATTCTTGAGATTGCCTTCAAAGTCAGTAGCTAGGTTTCGTTGCGTGTCGAAGCAATGGGGTTTCATACTTTTCCGTCCATATTTCACCGAGTTGTTCTTGACCCGGTCATCGGCTTGTCCACGTCTCTTATTCGCCGTCAAATTCGATACGGGTGACTGGCACTTGTTCTCGTCGCTTCAGCCTCTGAATCCATACGGAAAGCAGTCGTCTCTTTTAGTAACCGCCGATTTTCGTATGAAATTCAACAGAGACTTGTTGATGGGCTTCTGTCGGTATGGCTCCGGTTTGTTCTATTTCCGTCATGAGCGGACCAAGATCCGTAGTAGTTTGAGCTCAAACGAGGAATGGGATGTATTGTATGCAATATGTAACCCTAGCACAGGACAGTATGCTGTCTTACCTAAACTAAGAAGAAGGGACAAGTATTTGAATAGCTTTCTAGGGTTTGATCCGATCGACAAACAATTCAAGGTACTGTCCATTGCATACCGATTTAGAGATAGTAGAATTCTAACATTGGGACCTGGAAAATTGAGCTGGAGGAAGATCCATTGTCCCTTCGCCCATAGGCCTTTGTGTCAAGGGATATGCATCGATGGGGTTTTGTATTACTTAAGTGTCCGCAGTGATGATGACATGTCTTATGGGATAGTTTGTTTTGATGTTCGGTCGGAGAATTTCAAGTTTCTTGACAACGAAGCATTCCCTTATTCTTGCCCTATATTGATAAACTATAAGGGTAAATTAGGTTTGTTTTTTCGGAACTATGACATCGCCGATGCCATTAAGTTGTGTTTGTGGGTTTTAGATGATGTCGAGAAACATGAATGGTGTAAATATGCATTCTACATGTCCGGGGATGATAATGAAATCGATGATTGCCAAAATCTTTACATTGTTGGAGTGACAGCTACTACAGGTGAGATTGTGTTGGCGGAGAAAGATACTTCTAGATATAAACCCTTCTATGTTTTCTACTTCAGTCCCGAAAGGAAAACTCTCCACCGTGTTGAAATCCAAGGTTTTGGAGAATTCTGTGATGAGGATCGTCATAGTGTTCAAGTCTTTCTAGACCATGCCGAGGATCTTAACGTTAACGACTCAAAGATATTCAAGACAAGCCAAGGACTTGATATCATTTGGAAAAGGCACATGGACATGAGTCATGAAGATAAAGACGACGATCATTAGAGTGATTATGAGAGAAGGAGCTAGTAAGTGAAAGCAGATGGGCACGTTTTATGTTCGTTAGTTATTATTAGAGAGGTCTTTTGCGAATCAAATCTAGCTTTGTTAATGTAATGAATTCATACAGAACTACTTTAACGGAGATGCATGTTTACTTTTCTGATTAATCAAATTTTGGTTGTTTTCTTTTTTTTTCTTTTCTTAATCCCATCTCTGTTTTAATAAGATTCTCACTTCATGGTGATGAATATAATGAGGATATAGAGAATAGCATGAACAAACATAAGAAGAAAAAATAACATTTTTATTTGAAACAGGGAGAGTTACAAAGTTTTGTGTTTACACAGTGAGAGAGATACACTTATATATTCTTCTTTCTATGTAATAACTGTAAGCTAAACAATTTTATTGTACAAAAGCGAGTAAGTATCCTCTTGCACTTTTATGAATTCTGCTTCTTTACAAACAATCAAGAAATTTTCCTCATGTTAACAAAACGTTCCCTCTCTCTTTCTCTTTACACGCTCATTGCTCTCGCTGAGCCTAATCTTTCGCGAACCTGCAAAACACCCATCAGGTTTTACTCATGGCATAGACCAAAGTGCAGACACAAGTAAGGAAACAGATGAGACTTGTGTTCGTCGGACACAACTACTTGCTCTTATAGTCTTATTCAACAGACTAATGATATCACTGAGAATAAATGATCTTTACAGTGATCATACCGTTGGTTCTGTAGCATCTGTCGACTTGTTCTAACTGAGGTAACGCTCAAAACCACCATCTCCTCTAAGTATTTTTGATGTGCATCGATTAGAAGTTTCTGAGCCTGTAATTCCACATCTACAATAACAGCGTCATTCTTTCATCTCCCTTCTTAGCATCTGGAATCTGACGAAACAATTGAAACAGAAGGGTGAAGGCAACTAGGCAAGAGTTATTTTGTTGAAGTACCTCAAACATGGCTTCGGTAAGAATGCGTTCAAGTAAGGCTCTTAGTCCCCTCGCACCTGTATTCTTCACCATAGCTAGCTTTGAAATCATCCCGAGAGCTTTCTCAGTAAAATGCAGCTTCACCTGTGATTTTGCAAACAGGTCTTGCAGGTTGCGGGACAACAAACTTAAATTTGAATAAATTAATTTACTGGCTGCAAAGAACGATGAAAGATACGTGAGCCTCAGAGCACGTACAACGGAGACTTCGGTTAAGTTTCTTTTATTTTTTTTTTTAATTTTTTTTTTCTTAAAAAGTGATTTTCGAAAAAATAAAAATAAATAAATAAATACAATGAAATTGTGACACGTGGAGAGACGTTTCAGAGAAACACCTCTTGGGCCGCTTCCGGGAGAGACGTTTCTGGAGCTTGGGCTTGTCACATGTGTATTTCTTTTGATTTGTTATTTATTTTTGGGCTAAAGAAACTCATTGAGCCTCACATGAAAAAAGGAAATAGCTCACATGGTGTCCATTTTCAAAACTACACATTTTTCTTGTGTAAAAGAACTATAAACCTTAAAATATTAACCTTAAACCCTGAAATCTAATCTTGAACCATAAAATCTAAATCCTAAACCACCAAATCTAAACTCTAATAAGGATAAGTGAATCCAAAAATATATACTAAAATTAGGATAAAATGTATTTTTGAAAATTGTCATAAGAGGTGTAGTTTTGAAAATTTACACCTCAAGAGGTGTATTTGTTAAAAAAATTCATTCCTGCATCATGGACAAATTAAAAAGCTTATCCTGAAAACAACAAAAACATTAAGAATTTAACTTATCGAGTAGCTAAAGTAGGACAAGGCTTTTTAAATACACATTGCAACGAGAGCTCAACTTATTAGAACACAACTGAAGCACAACCGGAGTGAAATAAAAATATGATCATGGTAATTTTGCTTATTGATATAGCTAAAGAGTTTCTTGGTGAAAATGATTAATTTCATCCCCAAAAAGGTGAGTATGAAGCAAAATCATTAACAACAAAGTACTGCAAGCATCTCGATCATCAGGAGGAAATGATGCAACTCTAGAAGACGTTTATCAGGAAAACGCTCTAATCATTTAAACAATTAAAAAGCATTATAAAAACAACCATCGTAGAGAAATCAATAAAATCTATAGAAAATTTATTTGATCAACACTAAATACAAATCAAGTTGGGCCTTAAATAGGCTCAGTACACACCGACCTTAGTATAAAGTTTTAACATACAGTATATCTCTCTTTCCGTCCGATTACCAGCAAACTAAACGATGATGAGTTCCATCCCGAATGATCTCATTATCGAGATATTCTTGAGATTGCCTTCAAAATCAGTAGCTAGGTTTCGTTGCGTGTCGAAGCAATGGGGTTCCATACTTTGCCGTCCATATTTCACCGAGTTGTTCTTGACCCGATCATTGGCTCGTCCACGTCTCTTATTCGTCGTCAAGTTCGATAAGGGTGACTTCCACTTGTTCTCGTCGCCTCAGCCTCATAATCCATATGGAAAGCAGTCGTCTCTTTTAGTAACCGCCGATTTTCGTATGAACTTGAGTAGATACTTGTTAATGGACTTCCGTCAGTATGCCTCCGGTTTGATCTATTTCCTTGATGATGGGTGGTGGAGCTCAAACGACGAAACGGATGCATTCCATGCGATATGTAACCCTAGCACAGGACAGTATGCTGTCTTACCAAACCTAAGAAGAAGGGACAAGTATTTGTATAGCTTTTTAGGGTTTGATCCGATCGACAAACAATTTAAGGTATTGTCCATATTTCCATATCGATTTAGTGATAGTAGAATTCTAACACTGGGACCTGGAAAATTGAGGTGGAGGAAGATCCATCGTCCCTTAACCCATAGGCCTTTGGGTCAAGGGATATGCATCGATGGGGTTTTGTACTACATAAGTCGCCTAAGTGATGACTTCACGTCTTATTTCATAGTTTGTTTTGATGTTCGGTCGGAGAATTTCAAGTTTCTTGACGACGAAGACTTCCCCTATTCTGGGCCTAAATTGATAAACTATAAGGGTAAGTTAGGTTTGTTTTTTCGGAACTATGACATCGCCGATGCCATCGAGTTGTGTTTGTGGGTTTTAGATGATGTCGAAAAAAATGAGTGGTGTAAATACGCATTCTACATTTCGGGGGATGATAAAATCGCTGGTTTTCTTGATGTTTACGTTATTGGAGTGACGGCTACTACAGGTGAGATTGTGTTGGCGGAGAAAAATACATGTAGATGTAAACCCTTCTATGTTTTCTACTTCAGTCCCGAAAGGAAAACTCTCCAACGTGTTGAGATCCAAGGTTTTGGACAATCCTGTGATAAGAATCATCATAGTGTTCAAGTCTTTCTAGACCATGCAGAGGATCTTAATCTTAACGATGCAAAGATATTCAAGCAAAGCCAAGGGCTCGATATCATTTGGAAAAGGCCAATAGCACAATATCCGGAAGAGTGAAGAGACAAAAGGCACATGGACATGAGTCATGAGGTAACCCAGAGAGAGAAACGAAAGAGAGACAAGTACGAAAAATGAAGTTAAAGACGACGAACATTAGAGTGATAATGAGAGAATGAGCTAGTAGGTGAATATGTTCGTTAGTTATTAATATTATCAAAGAGGTCTTCTGCGAATCAAGTCTAGCTTTGTTAATGTAATGAATTTGATTAATCAAATTTTGTTGGTCTGTTTTTTTCTTTTCTGTTATAATTTCATCTCTTTTAATAAGATCCTCTCTTCATGGTGATGAATATAATGAGCATGAACAAACAGAAGGAAAAAAAACAAACATTTTTATTTGAAACAGAGAGTTACAAAGTTTTGTGTTTACAAAGTTTTGTGTTCTTCTTTCTATGTAATAACTGTAAGCTAAACAATTTTATTGTACAAAAGCGAGTAAGTACCCTCTTGCACTTTTATGAATGCTGCTGCTTCTTTACAAACAATCAAGAAATTTTCCACATGTTAAAAATACCTTCCTCTCTCTTTCTCTTTACACGCTCATTGCTCTCCCCGAGCTTAATCTTTCGTCAACCTGCAAAACACCCATCAGGTTTCAGTGCAGACACAAGTAAAGAAACAGATGAGACTTGTGCTGGTAAGACACATAATTACTTGTTCTTATCCAACAGACTAATGTTATCACTGAGACTAAATTATCTTTACAGTGATCATACCGTTGTTTCTGTAGCATCGCTCGACTTGTTCTCGCTGAGGTAACGCTCGAAAGCACCATCTCCTCTAAGTATCTTTGCTGTGCATCCACGAGAAGCTTCTGCCCCTGTTGATTCCTCATCTACAATAACCGCGTCGATTCTTTCATCTCCCTTCTTTGCATCTGGAATCTAAGATAACAAAATGAAGAGAGTTAAGATCATAGTAGCTGAACAAAGCTAAACATTCTTTTGCGGTAGCTCAAGTTACCTCAAACATGGCCTCGGTAAGAATGCTTTCAAGCAAGGCTCTTAGTCCCCTCGCACCTGTGTTCTTCACCATCGCTAGCTTCGAAATCATCCCGAGTGCTCTCTCAGTAAAATGCAGCTTTACCTGATATTGTGCAAACAGATCTTGCAGGTTCAGGGACCAAAACTTATATACATGCAAGTCTTGGCAAGTGTTTTTCAAGGGAGCTTACGTCATTCATGCTAAATAGTTTCTTGTACTGTTTCCCTAGAGCATTTTTGGGTTCAACAAGCACCTGCAGGGAAAAAAAAACAAGGTAAAGATGAAGAAGCATCATGAGCAGCTACTTAAATATGACAAGGGTAAAAAAATCAAGATCTTGCTCTGATTTCACTAGCTGAGATGAAGTGGCATCATGAGCAATCAAAGAAATGCCACTATGAAAAATGTTAGATTACCCGAATGAGCTGGTCTTCTGCTAGAGCTGACAAACTAACTAATATGGGAAAGCGTCCTACAAACTCCGGTATGAGGCCATACGCTGTCAGGTCCGCACCCTCAACCTGAAATGCAGCCGCCATTCCAGAAACTGAGAACTCTCTCTCTTTCAAGGAGTGACAAGTGTTCACATAGGGAAACAGAGTGGTCAATATAAGTATTTACCGTTTCTAGCAAAGATGAAGTTATTGCGCCACTAGTCACTCCGCCGGTAGCCATGTTGGCACGGACAGGAGCTCCAAAACCAATTGATGAATCTTGTCGTCTGGCAAAACAGTAGAGATGATGATCAAAGTCGATAACAGAAACGACTAATGTATTGTAACAAATATGAAGCATAATGAGATTTACCTATCTACAATGGTCTTCTCAAGGTCAACAAATGCTCCTCCACAGATAAAGAGGATATCTTTTGTGTCTATCTGTACATCGTAGAACATCCAGCAACGGAGTAATATGAGCAAACAACACTATTACATGCGTAATAAAACTATACGGTTGTCTTCTAGCTCTAAACCTGTATATGGTCACCCCGTGGATGCTTCCTTGCTCCTTTCCCTGGAACATTTACAATCTGGACAAAAAAGAAGAAGATCCAACTATCAATACAGAAGCAACGCACGATTCCAGAACCATTCCATTCGTTAGCAAAAGCCTCAGAAGTAGGTAAATGCAAATGTGTAATTGGGTTGGTTATTATGTGATGTCTCATACGTTAAGTGTCATAACAATAACCTTCCCATTCTCTCATGTGGTATATTGCAAAGACCTTTCAATTAGGATCACTCTAAAGACTACACTATAACTTGCTATGCAAGTGCCTCATGTTCTAGTGAAGTATGATTCCAGTACATGCTTGAACGGGTAAGAAAGGAATCCACTTACAGTGCCTTCCAGTAATTTCAAAAGCGCCTGTTGGACACCTTCCCCAGAAACATCCCGGCTAATGTTTAAACTCTCAGCCTGCAGAACAGAGAATCCAGCAAGCATAAAGCCCAAATATCTTTTTCTTATCGAGTTTAGGAGTTTATCATTGTCTTGCGAAACTGACCTTCTTCGTAATCTTATCAACTTCGTCGATGTAGACTATTCCCTGCTGTGCTGCTTGCACGTTGAACTCAGCCACCTACAAGTCACAAAGGAGGAATCTTCAGAGCACAAGTGGACGGAAAAGTTAAGTAGTTGAATGTTAAGCGCGACAGAATAAGAAGTTGTACCGTTAGTAGCTTATGAAGGATTGATTCTACATCATCACCAACATAGCCAGCCTGTAAAGACACCGGAAGATCTCCAACTCAAGAATGGAAAGGCTGAGAATCATGAACTTATATGGATATAGATGATCATAATCTTACCTGAGTCAGTGTAGTTGCATCAGCAATGACAAAAGGAACATTTACAAGCCGAGCTAAAGTCTTTGCGAGTAACGTCTTCCCTATTATTGTTCAAGAATCATATTAAGTAATAATGTCAGAGTCGGTAGGGAGAGTGATGCGAACGGCAAGTAAAGAGTAGAAGATGATCAGAAAAACAAAAGTTCCCTACATACCAGAGCCAGTAGGCCCCATCAGGAGAACATTGCTCTTATCTAATTCTACATTATCGTCATCATCAATTGCTTGTGCTGCTGACCTAGTTTTCAAGGTCCACAATGTCAGTTTTCCAACACACAAGCCTCGACTGAATCAATGTACAAGGACGAAACTAAGCCAATGGATGAGAGAGAGAGAGAGAACCAACCCTTTCTTCATAGAGGTATGATATATTCTCTTGTAATGGTTATACACAGCGACAGAGAGCACCTAAGATCAAAGTCAAGACCTTTATGTCGTAAGTAAACGAATCAATGGCATGAGAGATGATCAGTAAATTCCGATGTTGAAGTGAAAAGTCAGAACCTTTTTGGCGCGGCTTTGGCCAATGACGAACTTGTCAAGCCAATTGCAAATCTCTTTCGGAGTAGGAAAGTCTCTGCCAAGGCCAGCTCCGCCCCATCGGCTACTAACGTCGTTGGCCGCATCGGGTAACGGAGAAGTTTCAATTTTGACGGCTCCGTTAGAGGCAGGAGCGATATTGCTGTTTGAGGAAGGAGGAGCATTCAAAGGAGGAGGAGGTGGAGACCAATCCTCCGGTGGCTCAGCTCCGTAAGATCTAAGCGTGTCCCAGAAGGAAGATCTGAGCTTGTTTCTGTAATTGGAGCTGAGATTGTTGCTTCCGCCGAATCCTTGATTTGTGTCTTTCGAATGTTGTTTCCTGATGGATGATTTCGAAGTATTGGTGGTGGTGGTGGTGGAATTTGGGGATTGAACACGGCCGATCTCGATGAATGTGCCTTGAAGAGGAGAGACGCCGCGAGGATTGAATCCGTAAGCGGTTTTGCAAGTCGGACAGAAATTGACAGATTGGAAATTGGTTTTGTCTCCGGCGGCGGAATCGGAATCATCATCGGGACGGCGAAGAAGACTAGAAGAAGGAAACTGACGATTCGAGAAGATCAGATCCATTTGCTTCGAGCAACGAGGACAATTAGGCTCGGCTCTCAACTTCCGACGCGTGGTCGGCACCGGAAAATCATCTCCTCCGGCTCCTCCTCCTCCGCCGTTGCTGCCGCCACCAACACCGCCTTGCTCCGATTTGAATCGTTCCTGAAGACGACGGCGATGCGGAGACGATCCCAATTCCAGAGAATAGAGATGATGAGTCGGAACAGGTGAAACAGAGCGGGCATGCAAAGCCAAGGATTTGAGATTCCTCCATCTCCAAATTCCAGACATTTGATTACAATATGATGTGTATGTAAAATGTTATGTATGTGTGTATATAATAAAATCAAAAACAAAACAGAGGATTAGGATAAGCAGCACGAAAACCCAGATATGGAAAAGAGAGACTTTAGATCGGAATCAGAGAGATATGTCTGCATCAGCTTCGATGATGTTTTTTGTGTTTGTATATATACGTTATGTGTGTATCTGTAAAAGGAAAGCAATTCTGGGAAATTAATGAAGGAAGCGTTTAGGTTAGAATTAGAGATCGGACGGAGAAACCTTAAATCCGTCAATTTGGAGAAGAAGAGAGGACGATAAAAGCGGAAAGTGAAGAAAACGATAGACTCGGAGAGAAAAAAGACGAAGCACACACCATTATCCATCTCTCTCTCTCTCTCATCACGTTTGGTGGAAGAGCACATGGGGACACGTGTAAACCCAAATCACTGATCTCCACGCGCCGTCACGCATGGCGGAGGAGGAAGTAGCGACATCCGGCGGCGGATCGGAATTGAATCAATTCGTCTCCGGCGTGATTTCCAAGTCGACCCATTTGAATCATTTGAAGCAAGTTCAGTCCTTTCTCATCGTCGCTGGGCTAAGTCATTCACATTTCCTCTGTTTCAAGCTTCTTCGTTTCTGCACTCTTCGTCTCTCCAATCTCTCTTACGCTCGCTTTATCTTCGACCGCTTCTCCTCCCCCAATACACATCTATACGCCGCCGTTTTGACAGCTTACTCTTCCTCTCTACCTCTCCATGCTTCCTCTGCTTTCTCCTTTTTCCGTCTCATGATCAACCGCTCTGTTCCTCGTCCTAATCACTTCATCTACCCGCTTGTTCTCAAATCCACACCACATCTCTCCTCACCTTTCTCAACTCCATTGGTGCATTCACACTTGTTAAAGTCCGGGTTTCATCACTACGTCGTCGTGCAAACCGCTCTGCTTCACTCTTACGCCTCCTCTGTTTCTCACATCCATCTTGCAAGACAACTGTTCGACGAAATGTCTGAGAGAAACGTAGTCTCGTGGACTGCTCTGCTTTCTGGGTATGCGAAGTCTGGTGATATCTCTAACGCTGTTGCTCTATTCGAAGAGATGCCTGAGCGTGATGTTCCTTCCTGGAACGCGATTCTTGCTGCTTGTACACAGAACGGTCACTTCGTGGAAGCGATTTCTCTGTTTAGAAGGATGATCAATGAGCCTCGTGTTGGTGTTCGTCCTAATGAGGTAACTTTGGTTTGTGTCCTCTCCGCTTGTGCTCAAACCGGTACGCTCCAGCTGGCTAAAGGGATCCACGCCTTTGCGTACCGTCGTGCTCTGTCTTCTGATGTGTTCGTTTCGAATTCTTTGGTTGATTTGTATGGGAAATGTGGAAACTTGGAGGAAGCAAGCTCTGTTTTCAAGATGACGAACAAGAAAAGTTTAACAGCTTGGAACTCCATGATCAATTGCTTTGCCCTCCATGGTAGAAGTGAAGAAGCTATAGCAGTGTTTGAAGAAATGATAAAGTTGAACAGTAACGAGATAAAACCGGATCACATTACCTTCATTGGTCTTCTCAATGCATGTACTCATGGAGGTTTGGTATCGAAAGGCCGAGATTATTTCGATCTCATGACAGATAAATTTGGTATTGAGCCAAGGATTGAGCACTATGGCTGCCTAATTGATCTTCTAGGGCGAGCAGGTCGGTTTGATGAAGCGTTGGAAGTTATTTCCGGGATGAAGATGAAACCAGATGAGGCTATTTGGGGCTCATTGCTCAATGCTTGTAAGAAATATGGTAATTTGGATTTGGCTGAAGTTGCTGTGAAAAACCTGGTTGCTTTGAATCCAAACAATGGAGGTTATGTAGCTATGATGGCAAATTTGTACGGAGAGATGGGTAATTGGGAAGCGGCAAGAGGAGCTAGGAAGATGATCAAGCACCAAAAGGCTTATAAAACACCAGGCTGTAGTTGGATTGAGATCGATAGCGAGGTCCATCAGTTCTATTCTCTTGATGAATCGCATCCGAAGACTGAGGAGATTTATATGATACTTGACAGTTTGGTTTCTGTCTGACACTTCTTGAGAAAATGTAGTTTTCCATAACACTTCTTTATGTAGTTTTATTGGGACTGATCGATAAACAAGCACGCAATATAGTGTTATATATGATTTATTGCATTTAGAAACATATTACAGAGATTTTACAGGCATCAAGCTCAAATCTGGATTCGACCACAGTTGTTTTTGTGATTAAGCAGAACTGACTTTGCCGGTTTGATCCTCTTCAAACGCAATGTCAACAACTCTTGGACCCTTGACTTTATCTTGTGCAACCTTGTTAATGGTAATGGTAAGTACACCGTTCTCAAGCTTGGCCTTAACAGAGTCCAAGTCCACATTATCAGGCATTCTAAATTGTCTCCAGAACTTGCCGTGAGATCTCTCCACTCTGTGCCAGTGATCATCTTCTTTCTCTACCTCTCTTTTCCTCTCGCCGCTTACTCTCACAACTCGATTTTCCTCCACTTCTATCTTCACCTCATCTTTCTTCATCCCGGGAACATCGAGCATGATCACATGGTGTTCTGGTGTTTCTTTCCAGTCCACTCTCGCTGGAGACAGAGCCAAGAAGCTTTGATCCCTCTCGAGACCTAATGGGATTTGCTCCAAGACTCTGAAAGGATCCGGAAACCGATCTCGCAAGAGATCAGAAAGTAGACTGCTCGGTGTATCGAATGCAGATGGCAAGGACCCTTCACTTGTTCTAATGTTTCCTAGGAACAGAGTTGATAAGAAAAGACCGAACAAAGCAAGAGAGATTTGCTTCATCTTTGGTTAGTACTTGCTTTTCTTAGTTTTTGTATACTCTTACTAGTGATATATACTCTTACTAGTGATGATGACCTTAATGTTGGTTCTCTTCTCTATGAGGGGTTAGGAGCAAGTCTATGCTGAATATATAGGCATCTTATGAAGTGAAAAAAATGCTACAGATTCTCGAACACTCTTGCGTTTTCCTTCTATTTATGACTTTAAGAGAAATTGAGAATGTTCTAGGTTTTGTCCTCTAGTGAAGTTGTTTTCACGTAAGCTGGTATTAAGACTTTGAGGGATATCTGTAACGTTCTAGACACTTCATGTCCTAAATACATGATGGTAACTGGTATTTTGTAAAAGACCCAAGCCAAATTTGGGCTCATGATTATAGTTTGTGAGCAGGCCCTATTATAATGAGAAGTATTAATGTACACCACGCTCCATTTTAAACTTTTGAGTTTGATTGATCTTGATAATCTAATCCTTGTTCTACTGTCTTGTTCTGCATTGTGTGGTCCAAGCAATACTATTAAAAGACAAGCTTTGTTGATGTATTTGCATTAAACTATCATACAAAATCCGACAAAAACCCTTGTATTCATTGGTATTATGTAAGTTGACAACAATAGTATATTATGTAACCTGAACTCGAGACAATCTCTCTGAGCATCTATGCCATGAATGATCAACATTCATATGCTTTCTCTGTTGGGTTGTCTGATTCTTCACAATCTTCACTGTCAAAAACAACCCAAACCATGCTGATTTTCGTCTCCACTGGAAATGAGAAAGGACTGGTAGATGAAAAACCGTCGCAATGCTTTTCTTGTTTTCGTTCATGGCCGTTGATAGGATCTCTTAAGTTGGAGGAGACAGAGAAACCTACCACAGAACCTGGAGAAGCATTATGGCTTGAGCATTCCTCTAGCGCTACTATGTGATCCATTGTAATAGCTTGCACAGATGGGTAACCCAAGCTCCTCATCCCAGAAAATCCTCTACATTTCTCATACAGGACGCGAAGATCTTGAATCTGCTGTGAAGCTTTCCTCAACATCTCGCAAGCTAAATCTCTTGCGGGTCTCGAGAGATCAAAGAGCATGCTAACCAGCGCTGCGATCCCATCGGAATACGTCATGTAGACTTGGAAACTCTCTTTCAAGATGTTTCCTGTAGCTGCTTGGACCAGGTTATCAATAGGCCAGGCATCGACCGGTGAACACTTCAACACCTTTGAAATAAACTCTTGGCACTTTGGTAAGATGTGGAACACCAGATCCATGGATTTCTCTTTGTAACGGCTAAACTTTGTACCACCAGACATTACCGGTTCGAGCTTACCAGCTTGGTTGATGATCCATCCGACTCTTTCTTGAAGATAAGCTACATAGTTCTGCAGAAAGGCAAATGATTGATGATCCTGGCTCATCATGAACCAACAGCAACCTATTTGGAGATGACCAGATGTGTGAGCGATATGGAGTTGCTGCTCGATACAGCGGCTGCTACCACGCAAGAGACGGTGGATGAGAAACAGAGTTTTACCCGCGACTAAGCAGTCTCTTGTCTTGGCTAGACGGCGTGAGATCTGTTCAGCAAGAAAAGGAATCGCTCCGGGAGTGTTGGAGACGAGGAAGAGTATCTCGTGCATGGTTTTATCATCAACAGGACAATCATCATGGCTTGTAGCTCGAACCACTGCAACTTCAATATCAAAAAAGCCTTTTTCGTTGTAGTTTTGTACAATAGCTCTGCCAATAGATGCATGATCCTTGGCGTGGCCAAGAACCTGCCGAAACCTGGCAGATAAATCAAGCCTCATTGAATATCAAGCTACAGACTAAATGAGTAAATGACACTATTGGATGTTGGAAAGCTTATTAGAACTGTTTCTGTACTGAAGCCTATATATACATGATGATACAATTTAGACACGAGGGTCAAGAGGAGAAAGTTGCCAATAAAAGAAATAAAAACACCTAACAAAATGGTGGTGAGAGGAATCAGATCTTTTCTCTCAACTTAAAGTAAAGAATTATCCTTGCAAATATTTTTATACAGTGACGAAAGTCAAAGTCACTTTAGGGAGATGCTGTAAAAGAGCTTTATGACTAAAATAGAACATCAACAAACATATCTGCTTTCTTTTTGAGAGCAGAGTGACTATGGCTTCAACATGAGAATTTTTACCAAAGCTTATCTTCATTCGCTATAAAAGATCGAAGAAATTTGCATATACTAATCTTAGAATCTTAAGACTCATACCAGAGCTAAAACGGAAGGTAAATAGTCGCTGTTCACTCGATGAGAAGTCAACGAATCTTGCTCTCTGGAGCTGTCGAGCACACCTTCAGAATTCAGATCCATGTTTAAATATACAAGGAGTGAGTCAGAAAGCACCCACGAGACTCTAACTCTTGGGGTTTTTCTGGATAAAAATGAATAAACAAATTTTTCTCAAAGAGTCAACTCCATAAAAGTGATTTCTTTTCCTATGTGGGGAAGAAGAGAACCTCATTCTACAAGAATCTGATTCTTTTGCTATTTTCAATGTCCATTATACCTGAGAACATTCCCGCAGGCAGTGACCGGTTTTTCCTCATTTGCTTGCTTCATTGACCGAAATGTTTAGCGTGTTATAGACACGTGTAAGTGCATTCACTGTAGCTGATACCAGAAAAGGAAAGCAAAAAAAAGACAGATGCATACTAAGCAGTAAGCCCCAGTAGCTCAGGCACTGGTGTTGTTAATCAACGAGAGGCAACTCTACATTGTTCTATCACAATTCACAAAGTAGTTTGTATATCTTCCAAAGGGAGATACACTCAGTGCCAGTAATTATCAGTTGAAACCGAAGCTTGCATGTGCTTCATCATGTAAGGTACAAGCCCTTGTAGAAATTCGTTGATCTCTGATATGCAAGATAATACTAGATTGCCACTTCCACTTACACCACCAACGAGATTGATTATATTAAACAGAGTAGGAAAAAATATAATCCAAAATGGTTCCAAATTCCAACTCTATTAGCTTCCAACATAATAACAAAAAATTATCATCAACATTTGAACAGCCTATAGTACATCATCTCAAATACGTGACTGTTTTTGTGATGTTAGAAGAACAAATGTTAACACTGAACTCAACATTTCACCTTTGTTTTGTATACAAAATATGTTGCATGAACCAGTATTCACTGTGCTGCAGTAGCTACCAAATACAATACTTCAAAGGCGCCCAAACATCATTTTTCCCAATGCCTACATCCCAACTATTTGAGAGGCTTCATTCCCTGAGAAATAGTTCTTCACTTTAGAAACTAGTTCGTATATTAAAAGGTTTCAATAATAATGGTCATATACCAAACTAAGCAGCAGCTACTGAAACCAAACCTATAAGACAATGGTGTAACCACCAACTATGAATAACTAAGTAGCTGTAGAAGAAAGTAGGACCTTTCAGTGCAAAAAAGAGAAACATTTTGCGCTACGAACTACCTTATTGACATAATAATGATGATAACATAGTATTTGGATTGGTATAAGAATAAAACAGTACCTTGTCTGCTCTCATGCTATTAACTGCCATACGAAGACCATCATGGGAGAGTATTAAACGAGATAAGCCACCAGTGCTCAAACTGAACAATCAAATAGTAAGATTACTCAAACTAAGGCAAAAACAAATACGGTGAATTACAGATTCAAGAAGAAATTCTAACCCCAGAACTTTAGCAGAATCTGCAATAGAACCGTCAGAAGCAGAGATAACGTCAAGCAAAGCTTGCATTCCCTGTAAAAAAACGAGAAATGTGATACTTGTGTCAAAAAGAAATGTGAATGGAAAGAGCTAAATCGAGAAAGAGAGTCATACAGGTACAAATTTAGCATTGTTGGGACCAATTTGTGAACCAGAAGAAGTTCTGATGGTGGATTTCGGCGGTAGAATCTGAAGAAGCTCTGGAGGAGGAGAGTACGCAGCAAGGTCCACTTTGTTCCTCACTGGAAAAGTAATCAAATCAATTTTGAGAAGTAAGTTACAGTTACGAAGGATGAAATGAAGGAGAAGAAGGAATTGAGACCTTTGATGGCGAGGAGAGTGCGAAGCCGGTTCAGAGCAGAAGCACGATTCTTGTGCTGCGAACGGTCCTCGACGGCCTGAGCTACGATTCCGGTAGGGAGATGTTTAATTCGGACGGCGGAGTCGCGCTTGTTCCGGTGCTGTCCTCCGGGCCCTGAGACTCTGAATGTCTCAAATCTGCATTGCTTCATCAACTCTTCATCGGTAAACTTCAAGTAATTGGGACTCTGGACCTCCGAAACGACGGTACCGGAATCGTAAACGCCACCTGCATCGCTATTTCCACTACCGCCTTCGCCGCCGGCGTCGGACGATGAATAACGGATAATCGATCGTAGCCGGGTGCTGAATCCATCGGATATAACAGTCCTGCGATAGTAAGTAACTGAAGACGGATACGACGGAGACGGAACACTGCGACGGAGGAAAATTGGGAATCTGGCGTGAAAGAGAGCGGCTACGGCCATGATCGCCATGACAGAGCGAAATCACCGCCGACGAGATTGGTTTCGGAAGGGGATGACGTCTCGAAGTCTCGGCCCGGTCCATTAGAAAGTAATTATTGGGCCTAGCTCATTTAAATTGTTTTAATTAAAGGCCCATTTAAGTTACCTTAGACGAAAAGGAAACGTTTGCATCTTAGGGTTTGCGAGTATATATATAGCCTCTCTCTAGTCTCTATTATCGACGCAATTTGAAGTTAAGAATTAAACCCTTGCTAGAAAAAGTAACACGATGATGACGATCTCCGATCTTTTAAAGAAACTGGTAGAAGAGATTGTCTCTAGGGTTCCCTTGAGAGTGCTATCAACTTGGAAAAATTGGAACACTTTATCCAAAAGTCAGAGCTTTGCGAAGATGCACACTGGTGAACAAGGCGAGCTTCGGATGGCTGTGTTGATGGATTATAATCTTTCTTTAGCAAGCGTCTTCATCAATGGAGATCAACCATCCATAAAGCCTCAAGGAAAAGTTAGTTGCCTTGACGAACAAGTCAAAATATCTCAAGTCTTTCACTGCGAGGGATTATTGTTATGCGTCTTGGAAGAAGACGATACTAAAGTTGTGGTTTGTAATCCATATTTAGGGCAAACAAGGTGTATCGAATCAAGATATTCTCACCGTCCAAACAGATGGGACAGGTTTACTTACGCTCTCGGATACGAGGATAAGAAATCTTGTCGTAAGCTCAAGTTCTTGAGGTTTATAGATAAATATTACAACGCAAAAGAAGACCAATTTTTCTGGTATGAAATCTACGATTTCGACTCTGGTTTATGGAAGACACTTGAACTCAATCCACACTGGCGTATCTTGTTTGGCACGTGTGGTGTTTCTCTCAAGGGAAACACTTACTTGCCTGCTTCAAAAAGGAGTGCTTCAAAAAGTTACTCAGAAGACGAACTTGAAGACCTTGACGATCACATAATCTGTTTTGATTTCACAAGTGAGAGTTTTGGGCCGCTTCTACGTCTTCCTTTTGACGCTGGAGTTGATGACTATGTGAATTTATCTTGTGTTGGAGAAGAGAAGCTGGCTGTTACACTTACGCACAATGAAGTAAATCCATATGAGATTGACGTATGGATCGCAACTAAGATCGAGGCCGAGGAGGTGTTGTGGAGCAAGTTCTTGAAAGTGGATACGGCACCTAATTTCTATATGATTCCATGTACGGGTTTCTTCATTGACGAGGAGAAGAAAGTTGTCATGGGTTTTGCAGAAGACCGTCACAAAACGTTTAACATTCTTGGAGAGGATGGATACTTTAGAAAATTGGATTTCGGAGAACGTGCCTATAGAAACTGTAGGCCACAAGCATGCTCTTATGTTCCAAGTTTAATGCAGGTCAAGCAACCTCTTGCTTCAGGAGGCCAAAGCAAACAACAAAGCGACTTAGAGAAGCGTCGATATGATCAAAACATGTCGAGACTTCTAGCACTAGAAGAAAAGCGAGCCGAGGAGGAAGAAAGGAGAAACTGAGATATCTTGAGTAACTCGCGTCAAAAGTAACAAGTAGTATCGATTTTCCGAAGTGTTTTTCTCTACTTTCTTGGGTGTTACGTTAACTCGGGTTTGTTTTCCAAGGACTTGAAATTAAGAATCTATTGTTTCTACTATTTAAGGGGATGATTGGTAAGGGCTGTGGTTGCTCTGCACAGCCCTAAATCTCTCTACAGCAATACAAAATTACCAATCACGCTCTCATTCTATCTCTTTCCATTTTTGAAACACAGAGCAATTTTTTTTATTTATGGAAGTTCCGTGGCTTTGGAAATCAATTTTTCTAGAGCACCAAATTAAGTGCTCTTAGAATTTTCTTTTTTCTCTTTCCTTATTAATCTTTCAACATTTATTTTTTAATCTATTATTTCTATATCTTAACTTTTTTGTTTTAATGCTATATTTAATGACACAATCTACAATAAAAAATCTTACAGCACTAAAATCTAGAATCACAGCCAAAATTTCTACAGCATTAATTCTACAGCAAAAAAAGTAAAGTTACAGTCACAACCAATCAGGCCCTTTATCTTCACATTACTTATGAGTTATGACTATTACAAATAACAGTATGTGGTTAATTTGAGAACCTTTATTTGTTATGGTAAAAGTAAGTAACAAAGTTATTACAGCACAAACGTCTGTCTTATATAAGGCTTAGAGATTCTCTTTCCAGGCTCCACTTGAATCACCTTATGGAAGCTGAATCGTCGCTAGCTTCACCATTTCATTTCCTCACCACGTGTTCTTCCTCATACATTGTCTTCAAAATCTGCGGTTCTATATGAAGTGGTGCGTCAGGTGCAGTGAGAAAACTTGAAGCCACTTCACCAACATCAGCATGCACCTCCTGTGGAAAGCAACAAGATAAATCCAAACCAGACTATACTGGTGGTGATCCATTAAGAAACACAGCCTAAACACTTTAGCAGAATCACATCTAAAAGTTAAGATGGACAAAAGACCATTGAAACATTTCATTGCGCCATTTCAAAAGTATGCATACTGAAAATTAAAAGTGTGGACTTCAAAGCACACAGTAGTTATGATACATGACAAATTTTATTTCCTACCAGCAAATTGAAAAAAAAATAAGAAATATCTAAGATCAAGAAACAAAATGGAAACGTTGTGCGAGTGTAAAATATATATCTTAAGCCCATGGGTTTCCAGCTTCATTTAGGGTTTACGAGACCTCATTGTTATATATATATATATAGCTCTAGTATCAGCCGCGGGAAATCAGAAGATGAGAAGAAGAAAAAAGGGCTTTTTAAAGTTAAAAGTTAAACCTCTTTTGCAAAGTGAAACGATGATGACGATCTTCGATCTTCCAAAGGAACTGGTAGAAGAGATTCTGTCTAGGGTTCCCTTGAAATCTATGAGAGCAGTGCGATTTACTTGCAAAAAGGTTAACAGTATATCCGAAAGTAAAAGCTTTTGAAAGATGTACATTGGTAAAACAACCGCAGTGAAAGAAGGCGAGCTTCGGATGGCTGTGTTGATGGATTACACTCTTTCTTTAGTGAGCATCTTTATCGATGGAGATCATCCATTTACAAATCCTCAAGGAAAACTTAGTTGCCTTGACGAACAAGTCAAGATATCTCAAGTCTTCCACTGCGAGGGCTTATTGTTATGCATTTTGGAAGAAGACGACCCTAAAGTTGTGGTTTGGAATCCATATTTAGGGCAAACAAGGTCTATTGAATCTAGATATTCTCACCGTCCACATGGATGGGAGTCATGGGACAGATTTAGTTACGCTCTCGGATACGAGGATAAGAAATCTTGTCGTAAGCTCAAGTTCTTGAGGTTCATAGATAAATCTTACGACAAAGTGTCAAATTCGGGTTATATATTGGCATCCAACCTAAAACCAATTGGCAATAGGTGGAGAGGCCCTAACCCTTTATATATTACTTAATTATTTCTCTAACTATCGATGTGGGACTTTCATCATTAACACTCCCCCTCACGCTCAGAGGTCATCATCTGAAGCGTGGACAATTGTGGGAACAACATCCACGAAGTGGCCCAGAATGTGGGACTTTCATCATTAACACCCCACCTCACGCTCAGAGGTCATCATCTGAAGCATGGGCAATTGTGGGAACAACATCCACGGGGTGGCCCAGAATCGACTGCTCTGATACCATGACAAATCTTATAGAAGGGTAAATATATTATTGAATTGTGTTATTGATACAAGAGAATAAGACCCATATATATAGGGTTAACATTAACATAATGATAACACCAAATAATGTAAATCTTCCTAATCCTTATCACAATAGGATTTCTCTAGAATATTCTTCCATGTGGCTTCACGGGCTTCACTTCATAAACGGGCTTCAATGGCCCACAATACTTGGTTCGCCTTGCTCACCAAGATATCTCCAATACTCCCCCGCACGACAAAGGTGGACGCGAAACGCAAAATCTGCAGTCACAATGCGGAACACCTATGTCGTGGACAATCATGTCGAGGATGGCAATACAAGTCAATAGGGATGGAACATGCTCGTCTTTGGTCTTGAAAGAAAGGGAATAATAACATCCCGTGGAAGCAAAATCCTGCAATTCCACAAATAATCGTCCTTGTCGCGGACAGCCCATAAATTGGACTAAGAATAAATGACCTAAAAACATGAGCGCTCCAATAAAAATCCCTAACCCATAACCAAACTCCCCCGTAATAGGAGAAACTAAAAAGAAAATTTGAGAAATTCTAAACTTAAGAATCAATCTCAAAAAATTAAACTAATAAACCCATGAAAACCACAACCCTTAATCAAAAGATTATCCTAATAACTCTCAAGTCTTGTATCAAACAAATAAAATAAAAGAAAATCAGCAATAAAACCTAAAAAACCACGTATTACTAATAAAATATAAAAACCAACTTAAAAAAAAAAGGAAATTAAGAAAACTTTTGTAACGCAGCAAGAACACAAACTACGTCCGGATCATCATCGTCGGACTCTTCTTCTACCATCATTATGCGGAAGCTTTAATTTCTGTCACCAAAGATCGAAGGCTCTGATACCATGTCAAATTCGGGTTATATATGGGCATCCAACCTAAAACCAATTGGCAATAGGTGGAGAGACCCTAACCCTTTATATATTACTTAATTATTTCTCTAACTATCGATGTGGACTTTCATCATTAACACAAAGCAGCAGACCAATTTTTCTGGTATGAAATCTCTGATTTTGACTCTGGTTTATGGAAGACTCTCGATGTCACTCCAAACTGGCGTATATTGTTTTGTTCGCCTGGTGTTTCTTTTAAAGGAAACACTTATTGGCCTGCTTCGCAAAGGAACTCAGAAGACGAACTTGACGATCACATAATCTGTTTTGATTTTACAAGTGAGAGATTTGGGCCGCTTCTACGTCTTCCTTTTGACGCTGGAGATGATGACTATGTGACTTTATCTTGTGTTAGAGAAGAGAAGCTTGCTGTTTCACTTACGCACAACGAAGTAAAGCCATATGAGATTGACATATGGATCTCAACTAAGATCGAGGCCGAATTAGAGGTGTTGTGGAGTAAGTTCTTAACAGTGGATACGGCACCTAATTTCTATATGATTCCACGTAAGAGTTTCTTCATTGACGACGAGAAGAAAGTTGTCATGGGTTTAGAAGACTATCACAAAACGTTTAACATCTTGGAGAGGATGGCTACTTTAGAAAATTGGATTTCGGAGAACGTGCCTACAGAAACTGTAGGGAACATGCATGCTCTTATGTTCCAAGTTTAATGCAGATCAAGCAACCTCCTGCTTCAGGAGGCGAAAGGAAACAACAAAGCGACTTAGAAAAGCTTCGATATGATAAAAAAACTGGTCGAGAGTTCTAGCAGTTGAAAAGCGAGCCGAGTAGGAAGAAAGGAGAGTAGGAAGACTTCTTGCGTCAAAAGTAACAATCATTTATCGGTTCTTCTTGGGTGTTACGTTAACTCGGTTCTGGTTTCCAAGGAATTAAAATTAAGAATCTATTGTTTCTACTATATGCTCTTCACATGACTTATGAGTTATGACTATCATAAATAACAGTCTGTGGTTAATTTTGAGAACCTATATTTGTTTTGTAAGTAACAAAGTTATTCCAGCACAAACGTCTGTTTTATATAAGGCTTAATTAGATAAATCACAAGTTCATAGCTTATCTTGCTTTCAGCATGTGACCCGTAATACTTTAAGAATATCTGAGACGATCTCTTCGTAGTGTCCAAGCTCCATTGGAATCACCTGATGCAAACTGAATCGACGCAAGCTTCACCATTTCATTTCCGATCACCACGTGCTCTTCCTCATACAACGTCTTCATTGAATATATAAATCAAACTTTGATGAATAACTAATTGTATCAATAAATTAAACTTTGATAAATAACTAATTCTTTTTTTTTAGTTATTCTTTTCACCTTACTAGTCAGTAATAACCAAACGAATTATTCCAATGTATAAAAAAAATTCCAACGGCCTTTGCTACTCTAACCTTCCCCACCACTATTTTTTTGCTGGTTATTTTCCTTTGCTTTGAAAGGAGAAATTGCTTTGATACTTAATAAATAAATAAAAGAATAACTATGGTAGTGATTGGCAATTTGGTTTTAAAGACTTTAGAACTTTTCAAATTTTCTAAAGTTTTTTTTTTTTTTTTTTTTTGTCGACAGCATAAGTTCCTAATTCGGCACGGGAAGCGTGACCGGTGGAACTGTGTTTACATAATACACGTCATAAGGCTGATCTCGAGCACTCCGTGCTAACTTGTCCGCCTTCGTGTTCTTCGTTCTTGGGATATGAGTTAGAGAGAACGCCTGGAAACTCCTTTTGCACTTCTCCACCTCTTCAAGCAAAATCGCAAAAGCCGGCCAGTCCTGAGGTTTTGACACCATGGTTACCAACTCTGAACAATCTGTTTGAAAATTCATTTGCCTTTTGTTGTGGGTTAGCATACTTTGCATAGCCCAAACTAATGATTCCAATTCTGTCTGCAGAGGTGATAAACCTCGCCGTAAATTACATGAGCCCACCAAGATTGAACATGACGCGGGATCAAAGTTATACCAACCAAGACCCGCTCGACACTCTGTGTCTTTCCATGCTCCATCTATTTGGCACCATTCACCCTCGATCTCAGTCCGTGGATATGAGACCCTAGCCATTGGTCCAATTATTTCTCCCGTTTGTGCAGTAGCCCATGCACGTGCTTCTGTTATCGCTGATTCCAGAACATCCGGCGGATCATGGTCATCATTTGAAAAGACTTTATAATTACGTGCTTTCCAAATGAACCATAATAACCAAGGAAATATGAGCATATCATCATCCTTTGGAAGACCCCAAAAGAGGTGTGCCATATTAGAGAAAAGTGCACCGTAGGAAAGGACTGTAGTGGCGTTGGGATAGGGGATAGAGCCCAGGCCTGGCGGGCTGGTGGGCATTCAAACAACATATGATTAATTGTTTCATCTCCCATACCACATCGCACACATAGGGGATCCACACGCATCCCCCTACTGCATAACCGTGCACCAACCGATAAACATCCCGAGATAATCTGCCAAATGAAATGTTGAAGCTTTGTAGTGCATTTAACTTTCCATGACTGTGCTTGCAGTCGACGGACATCTGGCCCAAATACCGGTATCACATCTTCATCCGCAAGCTCCTGTAGAACCCTATAGCCTGACTTAACCGTATATCGCCCCGATTTGGTGAAAAGCCACCCACAAGTGTCTTTTCTGTACCCCGTTGCAATTGTAATACCCGTAATGCGAGCAATTTCTGTACTTTCGAACAGTTGGTGTAATAGTGGGAGATTCCACGTTGATGTCTGAGAATTAATCAGCTGATTCACCATTAGATGAGGATAGTAATTAATTCCCTTGCATATAGCTGACCTCGGGCGAGAGTCAGAAATCCATGGATCATACCATACTGAGATAGAAGATCCTGAACCAACTCTTTTAATAAGCCCTTTGTGAACCAGAGGTCGAGCCGAGATCATACTCTGCCATCCATAGGACGGGGAGTAAGACCGTATTGGGTCTAGAGGGGATGAGTTCCGATAATATCTCCCTTAAAGACTTTAGCAAAAAGTGACTCCGGATTATCCAATAAGCGCCATAGTTGTTTGGCGAGTAAGGCCGTGTTGAAATCCTCAATAACTCTAAATCCCAAACCCCCGTTAGTTTTATGACGACACAACTTCCGCCACGCCAGCCAATGCATCCCCCGTGTTTGAGAGTTAGTACTCCACCAGAAATTAGCTACCGCACTTGTGAGTTTGTTTGTTACCCCTTTTGGCAACCGAAAACAAGACATTACATGTGTGGGCATCGCCGATAACACTGATTTCACCAGAACTTCTTTACCCCCTTTTGATAAGGTTTTTGATGTCCATCCGTTTATCCTCTTGTGTTGTCTATCTATAAGAAAACTAAAATTTTTTGTCTTTGCGCCACCAAACTCTCTGGTATCCCGAGATAATTGCCTACGCCCCCAACTTTATGGATTTCCAATAATTGATGGATCTGTGTACGGACACTAGTATCCACTGTATGACCAAACTGGATGGACGACTTATCAAAGTTTATTTTCTGGCCTGATGCCCTTTCATACTCCTGAAGAATCATTAGAAGTACTTTACTTTCTTCCACCGTTGCTTTACAAAAAAAGAGGCTATCATCTGCAAATAATAAATGGGACACTGGTGGGCTTGCTCGGGCCACCTTCAACCCCGTCAGTGTCTTTTGCCTTTCCGCCTTCTGTAGATTGGATATTAGAACTTCCGTACAGAGAATAAAAAGATAGGGAGACAGAGGGTCCCCTTGTCTTAATCCTCGATTGGGGATAATTTTTCCCCTTGGTTGACCATTTATAAGAACCTTATATTCTACTGATTTAATACATGTCATAATCCAGGAAATCCATTGTTCCGCAAACCCCATTTTTCGCATAGTAGCCTCAACAAACTGCCATTCCACCCTATCATATGCTTTACTCATATCCGTTTTAACCGCCATAAACTTCCCTTTACATGACTTATTTGTCCGTAACCCGTGGAACATCTCCTGTGCTATCAAAATATTATCCGAAATAAGTCTCCCTGGGACAAATGCCGACTGAGTCTCGGAAATCAGCTGGGAGAGCACCTTTTTTAAACGTTCACATAAAACCTTCGAAATAATCTTATACCCCACATTACAGAGACTAATTGGCCGTAATTCTGTCATACGGGTTGGTCTCTCGGTCTTAGGGATCAAACATATGTTCGTCATATTAAGCCTCTTATCAAAACATCCCGAAGCTAAAAAATCATTTATGAAACGGAGTATATCCATTTTAATTATAGGCCATGACCGTTGGAAAAACAAAGCCGTCATCCCATCCGGTCCCGGTGCTTTCTCCGGGTGCATCAAAAACAGCGCTGATCGTACTTCCTCTTCTGTCGCGGGTTTTGTCAACAAAATATTATCCGTATCTGTAATTTGTCCCGTGATTCCCTCCAGAATTTCCGAGAAACCATCTGGTGAAGTGGTTGTGAATAATTCCGAGAAATAATCAACCGCCACTTTCTCCATCTCTTTGTCCCCTGTAACCCAAGTATCTGTTTTATTATGTAAACCCACCATCCTATTTATCGCCCGTCTCTGCTTCGTTGTTGCATGATAAAATTTTGTGTTTAAATCCCCATCTTTTAGCCACATATTACGACTCTTTTGTTTCCAGTATTGTTCTTCATCTCTATAAGCCTTCAAAATTTTCTAAAGTCTTCAAAGCCATATTTTATCAAATCACACTTTTAAAGTTTTAAAGTCTTCAAAGTCATTAATTTCCTTCTTAAATTTTTCACAGCCATTTTTTTCTCCTTTTTTTTTCATAATCCATTTGTTTTTTTTTTGAAAGCCCAAAAACAAGACTTTTAACATTTTCTAAAGCCTTAACTTAAGGGTGAATTAGGTGAATAACAATATTGGGGTTCAATATTAAGAATATAGCCATGCTATATGGAAAATTAAGTGAGTAGCCATGAAAAGAATTTTTGGACAATTTTGTCCTTCATGACTAAATGCCATTGAAAGAGTTCTATACTATTTGTTATGTACTATTTTTCCCTAGCTTATGAAAACCATATTCGTTGATTGTTCTTTCTCTCAATTCTAATCTGTCTCCACAAATATATGACTGTTTTGTTCATCAGAATCAATTGTGTTGGAAAGAATTATATATTATTTTGTCATAAGTTTTAACTTTTAACAACCCCATTGGAGACCGGTTTTTTGTATATTAACGAATCAACATGCTTAGTTGAGTGATATCATGAGACTGCGATCCATATCTGAGATGTATGACTTAGTAGGAGACATCGGAAAAAAATACATCTGGTGCAATTGAGAATCGACGGTGATGTAGATATTGCCGTCGCCGTCGTTCAAAGATTTGCGATTGGAAAGAAACAAGGTCTGATTTGAAGACAAAATATCTCTTTATTATTAATTGAGAAGTACATTGACAATTTTTGACCAAAAAACCAATCCCTTTATGAAGAAAAAGTGTTTGGCAACAAATATAAGAGGGATAATTTAGTAAAAAAATGGCCGAGTCAACTGAGTCAACTCAGAAGAAAGAAAAAAACCGACCCGGATATCCACAATATGGGACGCGGATCCTTTAGAAAACTTAAATCAAACCGATCTCTAATGGTTTTCTTAAACCGAAAATCTATTCTTCAAAATTCTCGGTTCAATCCGCTTGAATACCTGCAAAAAAGAAAGAAAACTTACGCTTAATCCATATCTGTTGTAAAATCTGCAAAAAGGAAATGTTCTAAAAAATATGAAGCGATAATAAGAAATCAAAGGAATCTTGATATTAAAGAAAAGATAATCTTCAAAAACAAATTTGTTAATAATACAAATATGATCGAATGATATATGCGAAATTTCCATTATTTGAAAAACCCAACTACTATATAATAGGTGAACCGATGATCAATAAGTCATAAGTCCAAACAAGTTGTCAATAGTAACAAAAAAAAACCTTTCAAAACTTCTTGGAGGATCCAAGTCAAAATTCTTCACTCATGGAAGCAGTTTACTGCCGTATCCGGAGAGACAATAGAGATGATCTTAGCCGATGAAGAGGTAAATTTTAAGAAGATTATTTCCAGTTATTTCATGTTTCATATAAAAACATTCTCGGTAAATTTGGAAAAGCTTTTTTGTTGTAGAAAATTCTCAATATTGTTCAAAACTATGCTCCATAATCAGGGTACCAAGATTCATGCTGGTGTTAAAAAGGAGTTCGTGAAAAAGTAAGTTACGTGGACAAGTTATCAATGTCAAGGAATTGGAGATTCTAGATACGGCTACAAAACCATTAAAGAAGCAGGAATTTGAACTCCTAGATGAAAAGTAAGTTAGTCTAAATTCTCTGTAAAGAAAATATAACTTGAATAACATAGATAATGAATTCAAAATTATTTTTAATTGTATTGGTTGTAGTGATGAGCGTTTAGGCTGTACCTTATGGAATTCAATGGCTGAGGAGACGTCTGCAGCATACCATAGTGCTGGAGATGAAAGTGTCATATGCCTTCTAAGGTTTTCCAAAATCAGGGAATTCAAAGGTGTGAGCTTTGCAAAAAATATTAAAGTAGAAAATAACTTTAAATATACATTACGTTATACTGTTTTTTATTAGCTCTTGGTGTAGGTGTTAAAAGTGTTTCAAACGCATTCTCAACCAGCCTCCTGCAAATAAATCCAAACCATCCTGAAATTGAAGAGTTCAAGGAACTGTAAGTTCGAATGATAGATTATTACTATGACATGATGTTATTCATACTCTAATATGTTATTCATTGTGTAGACTTCTAGATGATGGGTTGGCTCTCACCCTTGCAGAGAGCATACCACAATCTATGAAGAAACCCAATAATGAAATCACATGAGCTAATGGAAATTGAACAACAATATAACTGTTATTGGAAAAGAACTTGCCTTATTCCAGGGAGCCGATTATACTAGGTGAAAACATAAAGCCAAGTCCTGCGACTCTGTGTATCAAGAAAAAGAAATAATAAGATCACAAGAATGCACTCGGATATGTAACAAGAAAGCAATAGGAGATCGTAATATACTTAACTTATACCAAAACCGCGATTTAAGCTTTCCAGAATAAGATTTGAGCTTTCCAGAATAAACCTTGACCGTAGAAAAACAAAAAAAAACATACATTGATTTGAGTCTAAACAATCCAAACACAAAAATCTTATCTTTTTTTTTTGGTTCAAAAATATTATCTTATAAAATCAAATTAAGGAACCATTAAATTGAAGATATGAGTAAATCGCAAACTAACCCAATAATCACAGATATTAATTGCATGCGACACCGGAGTCAAAACTTTTAGTGAAATCCGACATCTCCGCCAACGATAACCACCAAGATCCAAAAGAAAACTCAGAGGAGCAAAAGTAGATCATTTTCCAGAACACCATTGGTTAAGAAAGCTAAAAAAAAAGAGAATTGAAAGTATATTATGGGCTTCATCGATAAAATTCTCAAACAAGGATCTTAAACTAGAATTTGAATATTCTTACTCAAACAATCAATGAATGGAAACCAATCAAAAGATTGATCAATCGACGAATCAACTATTGTTTCTCAAAGATTTAGAATTACAGAGATTAATCCAATAGTTTCAAATCAAGAAAGGGGAAAGGGGTAGAAGAAAAGTGAATTAGATACGGTTCTTCACTGGAAAATAATTGACCACATGATTTTATTTAATATTTTCGTAAAAAAAAAGGCAGACACAGCTGTTATATTTGTAGAAAGACAGGTGTTACAAACACAAAACAAACCCCACACACACACATACGAAGAGAAAGGGAACCGGAGCATAATCCCGCGCACTTGCGCGGGTCACTACCTAGTATAGGGATTATTGCAAAAGTATACCCCATGTTTTGGTCAAATGCAAAAGTATACCCCTGTAATACTTACACCCATCTTACTCTATATTATCCTTACCCTCTCAACATATCTACAGAAATGCCATCAGCTTTTATAATTTTTCGATTTATTTCGAAAACAATAATGTCCAAACCAACCTCATCTCCTACACTTATTCACCAAAATGCCATCCAATTCAATTCATCCAACTACCATTTTCAACCATATTGAAGCTTTCAATGCTTCTTCTCCCCATTTACACCACCGAAATCTCACTCTATTCTCTTCTAACCTTCTTCTCTCACTTATTTTCTTCATTTTCATCACAAAAACTCGAAAATGCATCTCTTCCACATCCAACTTCTTCTATGATGCCTTTTCCGGTCACCAAGCTCACGGAAACGGCTGGGTTTCTCTATTAAAGGTTTAAATCGACGCAATCCGCCGTCCACTACACCAAACAGCTATTCAAGGTGATTTTTCGTTCGATTTTCGTGAATTTCAAACCTTCGGCGCGAGGTAGACTTCAATTTGAAGTCTACGTTTTCAAAAATTCGGGATTGTTGACTTCATCAAGAAGTCTGTATAATTCCTTTCATAACAAAAAATGTGGGCCCCTTGTGTAGACTTCTCTAAGATGTCTACTTTAGGAAAGGGTACACCAATTGCAATTGACCAGACGAAGACTTTCGTTGTTGAACTCTACAGTTGAAGTCTACTCACTCGGGGTATACTTTTGCAATTGACCAAATCACGACTTTTTGAAGTAGACTTCTTTTATCACTGTTGACTTCAATATGAAGTCTACTTTGACGTGTAGACTTCATATTGAAGTCAACTTTGACGTGTATACTTCTGTATGAAGTCTACTGCTACGAAATGAAGTCTACCGGTCAACGAATGAATAGTACCACGGATGGTGTCATGCAATATGAAGTCCTAATAAGGGAGTAGACTTTATATTGAAGTCAACTTTTGCTAGTAGACTTCAATATGAAGTCTACTTTACGTGGAGACTTCATTGTGAAGTCTACTTATGGTAGTAGACTTCAATATGAAGTCTAATTCAAAAAGTCGTGATTTGGTCAATTGCAAAAGTATACCCCTGTATGTGTAGACTTCCAATGTAGACTTCGTAAAAAAGTCGTGATTTGGTCAATTGCATTTGGTGTACCCCTTGGTAGACTTCTCATTGATAGCTACATGTAGAGGGCACGATGAAGTCTACATTGTGACTGAAAATGAAATTCTATTTTTGTGCGTTATGACATTAAAATTTTTAAGATTTTCTTTGGCAATAAGCTGTAGTAGTATGTTTACTTGCCTGTGTATCATTTTGACGTGCTTAATCATTATATTTTGAAGTAAATCGTTGTTTTCAATTTTGTTGGACAGTAGGTATAATAAAGTATACTTCACTCTGATGTTTACCGTTACACTTCACTATGAAGTCTACTTTGTGTATGTTTTTTTAATTCGATATTTGAGCATTATGACCTACTAATTTTCAAGATTTTCTTTGACAATGAGTTGTTTTAATCTGTTTAATTTCCTGTGTATCATTTTGGCGTGCTTAATCATTATATGTTTCAGAAAATCAAAGTTCTTAGCTTTTTTGGGCAGTAGCTGATAATGTTGTAGACTTCATCATGAAGTCTACTTACTCTATTACCCCACTAATATTTACTTCTTCTTTCTCTTATATTTGCAGAAGATGGTGTACATAGCTGCTGTTTATGGAAAATGGGATAGGAGAGACAAAGGGACCTGGTTCTTTGAGGTGGATGACGACAAGGGAGGAAGACTTTTCTCACTGAGAGATGGTTGTACATATGTCGAGCTCGTTGACATGGCGAAAGATGATTATGGGGTTGATAAGAATGCTGAGCTTTTACAGATAGGATACCCACTTCCAGACATTATGCTCCAGCAGCTGCCCATTGATTCTCCTCCTACGTTTGTAACGACTGATAGGCAAGTTCAAAGTCTGATTGAGCTTAGTAGAACGTACGTACTACGCCTCTGTGTTTCGAGCCAGCAAAGGAATCATATGAAAGACGATGTACCTGTTGCTGATAATGTAGAACATGATAGTGAGTGGGGTTTGTCTTCCGATGATGAGGACTGGGATGTACATTCACACGAAGATAATGAGGCGGAAGAGGAATGGGAAGATGATCCAATTCCACCAAATCCACCAACAGATTGGAGTAAGGGGGATATTGATGAAACAGAAGCTGATTACAGTGTGTATGGGAGAGTCGTAGACGAAGATGTGCGTGAGAAAAAGGTTCCTCTCGACGATATCCGGCTTAAAGGGCGTTGCTATAATGAAGGAGGTCGTTTTGATAAGCATAAGGACGCCGTCATTATCGTTGGACAGCGTTTTGGAGACAAAGAAGAACTTCTTTGCATGTTGCGATTGATGGCTCTGGTTCACAGATTCTCTTTCCATGTCTTCAAGTCTACTCCAGAACTATTTGTTGCCATTTGCAACGTCCAAGGTTGTGCCTGGCGAGTCAGGGCGGCTGTGAAGAACGAACCAACCGCGTTTTGGGTCACAAAGTACGTAGACACTCATACTTGTTCCGTTGTAGACCGTATAGCTCACCGTAGGAGCTGTACAGCAAAATATATCGGAGCTTTATTCATGGAGAGGGTTGGCATTATTGAGGGAATAGTGCCTCAACACATTGCTATATCTATGAAAGTGATGTTTGGTTTGAAACTCAGTTATACCTCGTCATATAGGGCTTTGAAAGCTGCTCAAGAATACGTTCGAGGGACAGCGGAAGAGGGATATGCGAACTTGGCTTCATATTTGCAAAGAATCAAAGAAGCAAACCCAGGAACTATTACTGACCTTGTGCGAGATGGGATGGATCGATTCATGTACTGTTTCGTATCGTTTAGAGCTTCAATAGTAGGTTTTCAGTACGTAAGGCGAGTGATTGTTGTTGATGGTACACATCTGACTGGGAAGTATGGTGGAGTTCTTCTTGTCGCAGCTGGTCAGGATGGCAACTTCCAAGTCTTCCCCTTGGCTGTTGCTGTTGTAGATGCAGAGAATAATGAGTCTTGGGGGTGGTTTTTCAACAAGTTGAAAAGTTGCTTCACTGAGGATTTCCCACTGGTCATAGTCTCTGATAGACACCCAGCTATCGCCAATGCAATTGAAAGTGTCCTGCCATGGGCAACAAGAGGTATATGCTACTATCATATGCAAAATAACATAATTGGAACTTACCACGCGAAAGAAATCATGTATATGGTCAAAGGTGCTGCATATGCGCACACGGTGGACACTTACAACTGGTATATGGATCAAATACGAGCTGCAAAACCGGCGCTTGCAACGTACTTGGAGGGAGCCGATCCGAGCTTGTGGTCACGAGTTCACTGCCCAGGAGAAAGATACAACCTAAAGACTAGCAATATCGCGGAGTCGATTAACGCCATGGTGAAGAAAGCCAAAGATTTTCCAATACCTTTTCTCTTAGAGTTTATCAGAGAGAGGTTGAGCCACTGGTTCCTCAAGAGGCGTGAAAATGCTCTAGGTCTCACCACCGATCATAGCAAAGGAGTTGAATACTTGTTGTCTATTCGTGAGTACTATGCAGGTTTTATGGACGTGGAGCGCATAGATGATTGGCATTTCCAAGTTAAGTCTACATCAGGATACTATAACGTCGATCTTGAGCTCCGAACGTGCTCTTGTGGTGTGTTTGATATTGAAAAGATACCATGTTCGCACGTCATTGCTGCAATTACAATGGCTGGATTGTCAGTCTCCGATTATGTGAGTCCGGCTTACAAGAGGAACACCTGTCACTCAACGTACGCGCATCCACTTTTTCCTCCTCCTTCCAGATTCTCCTCCGTGAAGAAGGAACGTTGCCGTCCTCCTAAAGAAAAACCCACTCCTGGTAGGAAAAAGAAATCTAGGTGGCAAAGCTGGTTAGAAATGGCAAGAAAGAGGAAGCATAAACCGAGGAAGATGCCAAAAGCGTACACATGCTCTAAGTGTAGATTACCAGGTCATACTCGTCCAAAATGCGTAAGTGAAACCACTTCTCTATTCATCCTGGTACATAAATTTTCAAAAAACTTATAGTAACGGTCCAAATCGTATATTTTTCCGGTTGAAGACTGCTGACGACTGAAGTCTACAACCGACGTCAACGGATGATGTTATCGTACTATATCCATTGATTTTTTTCGTTTAACTGTTAAGTGGCTATTACTATCTATGCTTGGAACACCGTTTATGTTTGTGGATTTTATTTAAAATACACTATAATACATTAACTGCTAATGACGTCCACAATCGAAGTCTATAGATTCGAATTTAAAATACAATCTAATACATTAACTGGTTCTGACCACGTCTTACATATTATAACTAGTAGACGTCATACCGATATCTACAATAGAAGTTTACAAAATAAGTCTACCGCTATATACAGTAGAAGTTTACACCGATGCCAATGATAGGTTATGCCAAAAAATATACCGCGTAACCCTTTCAACGGATCCCAAAAAAGTCTAATACAAACGTCCTCGCCTCCTAAACCCTCCCTAAACCACTGGCTGGCATTAATCCAACTCGGACCAGTCTCGCTCCTTTGGTCCCCGGACCCCTGTCTCCTCGAATAGGTCATATGCAAGCCTCAGCCTAAGGCTTGGTATGTTCTTATGGCACAAGGTCTGAGGAAACTCAATACCAAGGGCGTGACACTCGATAAACTTTAGTGTGAACACTCCACAGTCACTGCCATTAGCCTGCTGTGGCACGGAAGCTTGGTCGATAGGACGGTCGTAGGTGAACGGTTCGAGAGTCCACTCGTACTTTTTGTCTTCATCCGCCAACTGCCTCATCAGATATGGAAACATCACTGTCACAGGTTCTATTAGAGAAGCCAAAAGACCCGGCTTCACGTGACTAGGTTTACTATCGTATATGGTGATGTGCCTCTTTGGCAAGGAAACGAATAGAGCAACCCAATGGTCACCATTCAGGTTGAAAGGTATGTACAATTCATCGATGTCGACGCCCCAGATCTTGTTTGTCGGTCGAGGCTCTGGTAAGACACCTTTGTAGTAATCGTACGATAGCGTTGGCAGTGGTCTTCCTTCACCAAGTTCGTTGGGCTCTATCATCTTGAATTCGTCGTACTTCGCCGTCCAATATTGCCCAAATGTGGTGTCAACCAAACAAAACCTGTCACTTCTAAACCATTCGGGGTGATCCAACAATCGTGTCCTCAGCAAGTAGACAGCAGCGTTCATGTGCTGCGTTTTTAACCAAAAATTATTAGTAACGAAATCTACATAGGAAGTCTACGTACGAAATAAACATATGTGCACAACGAACATCTAAAACACTCACTTAACCCATTCTATGGAAATGAACATGAATATTTCATAAAATTATATTATTCTCACCGTGTCAATGAGCCACTCGTTCTGATTTAGGAGGTCATACCACCAAAAGCGTAGTGGATAGTCATGAACGGTCTTAATGGTCTTCTTTTTTCCTAGTCCACTGAGAACCAAAGAATTGGTAGTTAGTTACTATGTTTCGGTAAAATAAATCATGCGAAGTATACATTTGAAGAATAAAGGTGAAATGAACTTACGGACAACTCTTGTAATGATCCAAGACGACCTCCTTCATCTGCTTATCCGCCTTCCGAAAGGGATCATAACCACGACCTCTAGGTTCTTTGTTACTGAACATTCGCTTGACCGTGCTGCTGCCCACATATATACCATTTTGCGTCTGTGCAAGTGTCCTCAGTCTTTCTGTCTTTCTTGCCTTCGCGTCAATAACCTTTGCGGTGTCCTTCGGTTGCCTTCTTTTGAGGTCAGCAATCTTCTCTTCCTTGGTGGGGAAGTATTCTCTCTCGCAACTCTCTTCCTCAGGAGTCTCACTCTCACTCTCAGAGGACGCAACTGTTTTGTTCTACACCGAGTGATAGAGAATAGCAAAGTTAGACTGCTTATTAAATGTGTGTGTGTCCCAAATGGATTGAAAAAAATGTTTTGAGTAAAGTGTAGGCGGATGACATGAAATCTACAACCAAAGTTATTTGAAAAATAACAAACAAACAGTAAAGGCAGATTGGTGGAAGTGATGTCTTCAAGACTACTTCCGCTTGGTCTTAGTACTTTTACTCTTCTTACTGGGAGGGAGTTTAGGATTCTCAAGCTTATCAGATTCATCCATTGTTTGTTTTGCAGCAATACGAGCAGAGAATTTGCGAGAGTTATCTGTACTAACCGGGCCAGCAGGATTGTTATTGTCAGGCTCCTTCGCAGCGTTCGACGTGTCATGCTCCTTCGCTTCTCTCTCCTCCTCCGACATGACAATTTGAAGCTTCTCGATGGTCGACTCCATACAACTAATTTTGCTTGTAAGGACCTCAACCTTCTCATCAAGTCTATCGAAACGGAGACCGATCTCACCTGTCTGCTGCTTACTGAACTGTTCAAACATTGCAGCCACAGTGGACTGGAATGTATCCCAACTAGCTCCCGAGGTATGTCCATCGATCCCGTAGGCAGGGCATGGTCTCTTTGACGGCCCTAGACCCGAATCCAGATGCCTCTTCTTGTCAATTCCCTTCTCTTCCTTCACCTTATCCAAGACGATTACTCCTTCGGATATCCAGTCGGAAGGCTTCCATCTCCAGGTCCCTCCGAGCTCTCCGTAAAAAGCCTTCATCACATTCTCGATGTGTTCATCGTCGACGTCGTTGTCCCACCTAGGGTAAGCATTATCCCTGTCCACCATGATCATATGGTTGAAATTAACCTGCATGTAATATGTTTCATTCAGTCATTGTACAAGTATTGACACACATATTGGATTGATAAACGTCACTTACCTGCGCAAGAAGAGTCTGCATTATATTTTTGCGCCCTTTCATTCCTTTGAAGGCCATCATAGTCGGAGATACCCTACCCACTACAGGCTCACCGAAGTCCTGACCGAAGCTAGGCATTGCGTAGTACGACCACACTTGTAGCACTTCGACAAACCGTTAATGTAGTAGTGTTTGGTGAGGTTGGCAGATTTTACAGATTCAATGAGATTCAAGAAAGCTACTCTCCCCCAAGGATAACCTTCAAACTCTTCAAGATCCATTACTAGCTTTGCCATCTCGACCGGTGTGGCAATAGTTTGCCTCTCGCCAACAATGAAACCAGCATAGACGGCTAAATAAGCCAGCCTCTTTCTGTCCTCTTTCGACCAGTCTTGGGCCCACCCACATGCTCGGGTGAGGTTATCAACTGAAGGCCCAAACTTGGTATGAACACCAAGTTTCTCCCAAAACTCAGAAAATTCATTCTCATCTATGTCCGCAGTCAGAGGTGCCTTGAGATTCTCTCTGTATTCGCAGTTAAGACCGGTAATGTGTTCAAACTCGTGCAACGAAAACCTTACAGGATTTGAGCCAACCACACTCCAAATCTCGAAGGGCTTCTTGCACACTATTTGCATATTGAGCATACACTTCACAATCATTGAAGCCCATGAGAATTTGCTGTTCACGAACCTGAAGAATACCCCGAGCGGAGATTCCTCGAGCTCAGCCCATTCATCATCGGTCAAGAGTGTGGTGAGAGCTGCGAACAACTTCGTGTTGTTGCTGTAATACCCGATGCTTTTGTCGCTTTCAGGATCTGAACCTTTGGTGAAAAACCTCCTAGGAAATGTAGGCTTTTCCATCCTGATGCAATAGCAAGAAACGAAAAGATCACTATTACTAGTATATAACAAATTGAAGTATAACTTTAAAGTTTACAGTATAAGTCAACATCGGATGTCGAACTATGAAGTCTACATACGAAGTCTAAATACGAAGTCCAAATATGAAGTCTACATACGAAGACATAATACGAAGTCTACATACCAAGCCTTAATACGAAGTCTATCACCAAACCCTAATATACGGCGAACGACAAACAACATTAATCGAAAGATTGGGTAGTTTACTGACCCTAGTTTACCGCTATACTCGGTACCACGCCGGGGTATGGTGAAGATGATGGAGGAAGTATGGCAACGACGATATGCTGAAGTACATCAACGACAATGGAGTATAGGTGGCGGAGGATATCAAGACGAAGGCTAATTCGTTAGTACGGTGAAGTGGAACACTGGAATCTGCAAAAGTTGATACAAGAGGGAAATAGCTTACGGTCGTTACTAGCGGGACGGGAGATGAGAGATGAACTTGGAGATTTTTACAGCAGCGACGATTATACGAATTATCCACAGGCGGCGGAGATATAAGTGAGAGGAAATCGCCGGCGGCGTTCGAAACGTCGGAAATCGCCCTTTCGTGACAAATTTTAACTTTCGTTTGGGAAAAATGAAACTTTACCAAATGGGGAGATTAGGTAAACTCTCGCACGGTCGGAGCGGTTATTGGAGCGGTTATCGATATACCCGTGGTAATCGGAGCGGTTTTCGGTCTAATTATTGTAAATTCAAGTTGGTTCAATTGAAGTTATGAAAAAACGTACTTTTCTAATGATGTCTACAGATGAAGTCATTATTTCGAATGCCCTAGTAAAAAAGCCCGCGAATTTTCCCGCGCTAATAATGTTTAATTGTATACTTCTCCTCGTCGTCTACACATGAAGTTAAAAATATTAAGTCTTCTTAATATCGTTCCTACTCGACTAATTACATTTACATTGCAATTGACATTGGTAATTTTACAGTAGTCAACATCATGACTAACATATGATGAAGGTTTTAGGGTTACCAATAAATATGTAGCCAATTTTCTGGTAATTATTTTTTAACATATACTTTAAAACGATAAGGAAGTCTACTTTTAAAGTCTACCGTTCACGTCTACATTAGATGTCTACTAAAACACGGAAAATACAACAAATATTATACAGCTCTCCTCAAACAACCATGCAAACTTTTCTAAAACATAATCATGCATCCGCAGGCTATGATGAAGCCTGCGAGGAGGACGACAAGCGCGATTACGATGTTCAGTTCCACTCCCCTGTGACGCTTGTTCTCCGTAAGAGCTAGGCGTTTCAGTTCACCTAGCTCTGCCTCAATCCGATCAGCAACTCTCAGGACACGAACGCAATCTCCTTGGTTGTCAGTAGCACGTCGCAGGAGAACGAATTCCTCCATCATAGCCTCATCCCACCACTTTACTAGATGGAGGTCACAACCCTATACAAACGCCATATGGAACTCACGATACATAGAGATGCGTAGACATAAAACAAAACATAACAAAGACTATGGAACTTACCACCATTCGATTGACCTTGTAATCTTTGCATCCAAAGAACATTCTACCCGGATATTCATCTGTGTTGTCCATTGTTTTCATCATCGTCGGCAACCCACAATAGCATAGATTAGGAATTCCATAGTGTCGACTGGTGGAGCTCACATCTGCTTCGTCCGGGCTGCACAACCTCACAGAGCTACTTGATGGTTGACTGTAGCTGTATCGCCCCATTCCTGTCTACCATAAGAGGTCCAAATTAGCTACACATGCCTATACTAACAGAAAATATAATTATGTCCTCATAAAGCTCACCTGATAGCGGTTTCTGGCACAGATCTGGACACGAAAGTATGAGAGATAGGCCCAACAAACCCTTCCACAAACAAGACGACAGGTAATTAGTCTGTGTATAGAAGAAGAACATGATTACGCTTAAGTAACAAGAAGACGTGCATCGCTTACCACAAGTACGGGACACTGTAGGAGGGGACCAGATACGAGAAGCTGCGCCGTGTGGCCAAGAGAGAGAATCGTTTCAATGGATTAACCAAAATTAGGGTTTCGCTCTCTATTTATATGAAAGGGGATCATCCGGTTAAATTTAAGATTCCGGTTATTTATACTTCATGTCCATGTCTTCTCAGCAAGTCTACACTAGAAGTCTTCCATACCCTAAACACTAAACCGACTATTTCACACAAACAAAGGTATAGCATAAGTTAGTTTTCGTTGCATATACACAAATTACATTATGATCAACAGAGATTTGAGCCATAAATGATTACACATCGTGAAAACCTGGTTTCCAACAAATATTTTTCTAAACCCTTACAATTTATACTACTAAACCCTATGATTGAACCTTACACTCTATCCTTGTTGGACCAAATATACATGATACTTATAAACCTTTACATTCTAATGAACTGTATTTTATATAGATGACAATTGTATTTACTTTGATTACTATCCAAAATTTTTTAGCAAACTATTTTTTATACATTTTAATTTTAAATATTAAGGTTTGTGTAAGATTGTAGACATCGCAAGTAGACTTCGCAATCAAAATTTCTAGGTTTGTTGTTGCTTTGCCTTTGCTATAATTAGAGTAATTCATTTGCAAGAAAAAATCTTTTTAAAAGATGCCAAATATCAAGGTCTCTTTTATGTATAATTTTTTTGATTTATATATTTTTCTTTAATTTTCTAATTTAAATTTAAGATGTCAAGGTGTTGTAGACTTCGTGTTGAAGTCTAATTGTCGTATACTTCTTCCGTAGACTTCAATACAGTGGGTAAAATGGTCATTGTCGCACTCGTTTATTATTTGCTCGCAAAAGATAAAAGGGTCATTCTACACCCCTTGGGGTACACCGCTGGTCAAATGTGTCATATGGGGTATACCGTTTTAAAAAAAAAAATGTTGGGGTACACAAGTGGCAATTTCCCCAAATATATAGGTATAGCAGCTGCGATTTTCAAAGGGAGAAAATTGAAGAAAATAGAAAACAATCCTTCTGCAGAGCCGCCATTGAGAAAAGAAGAAAAAAGAAAGAAGAGAACTTGGGGTTGGTCGGTTGGGTGATGAAAGAATAGAGAAGAAGGGAAGAAGAGATTGAATGTTTCAGATTTAATTCAGGGAGTTTTTAGGAATATTACATATATTATACAGAATATCCTAGCCATACATTTCTTATTGCTATTCAGTTAATTATGCCCCATATTATTGTCATTTACTGCAATTTCCCTTAACTTAAAGTCCCAGTTTTGACAGTCAGACTTTAAAATAAAAATTTATAGTCAAAGTTAGGGCTAGGACTTTTTTAACCTATACTCGAAAACCCGAACCATAACGACCCGAAATACCCGGACCCGATTGATTTTGGTTATATAGAAACTCACCCATTGGGTAAAATGTTTAATACCCGAATTAAATCAATACCCGAACGGGTAACTGAAAGAGATATTTTTGTATACTCTTTACAAATGAACCCCCTTTTTAATCAATTGAAGTATAGCTTGGGGTTCTTTGTCAAATCCAGTAAGGTCAAGATAGAGACATCAAGAATGCATGAAACATAAGTGAGCTAAGCAAATTCGAAATGTTTTGTTTTAACAACCTAAATGAACATAAAGCATAAGATAAAAATGCAAGAGATGAAAGAAATGCAAATGGAGGCACTTGGGATGAGGGTCATTGACCTTGGGAGATTCTCAAGTCAGTTTATGATGCTCAAACAGTTTAATGATTGCTAATCCTTAGGCAAAGAACTCATTAACAAGACTAATCCACTCTCATGGTACTAATCACTTTGCTAATTACCAATTTCAAGAACTAATTCTCATTAGTGAAATTGATTAAGCAAGCATAAGATTCAGTTCTAGAAAGCCAATAAACACCCTAGACAATCACTCTCATGAGCTAGGAATGTAAATCCTTTAGATGGTTGGTTCAAGCATTTCATCAAACACTTCTGGTGCATGAAATGCCTAAGATCTAGAATCAACTTGATCAGAGAAGATCTAGCATTAAGACCACCAAATAAAGAAGGATTAAGCAAATCAAGTCCTAAACATCAAGGTTGACCATCAAATCTCCCTAAATCTAACTCATCCCATGAGCCTAAAGAGAACTACTCAAAAGACATGAGAAATTCGAAATTAAGAGAAACAAGATGATGATTATGATAAACTAAGATAAATAAGAAAGATTCAAAGAAGAAGTACTTTCAAAATCATTAAAATCAAACCAAGATCTTACAAAAACGAAAATAAAAGAAAGGAGGCAAAGAGAGAGTTTTTGATCAAGGAAAAGATCCAAGATGCCTAATAAAATTAGGTCTTCAGCTATTTATAGTAAAAGATAAGTGGACCCTTGGTCAACTCCGTCCCTGTTGACTTTGTCCTTTATGACGGTCTTGAGCAAACTTCTCAAGTGCTTTGTTCTTCTTGCTCAAGTCCTCTGGTCTGCGAATTTCTTGAACACTTCTGAGCTCTGATCAGCTTCTAGCTTCTCTGTCTTGCTCCAGTCACTACCAACTTCGCTAAACGCCTCAAACACCTAGGAAAACACTCCAAATGCAATGGAAAATGCAAAATGCTATTTAAAAGCTAAATGTTCCTAAGGAGATGAAACTTACACTAAATGGTATGAAATGAGACTCAAAGACATACAAAACCATGCAAATTATGATGCTAAATGTATGCAAATATTGAGTACATCAGTAACCAAATTACCCAAATTATGGGTGTGAATTATTTTTAATACTATAAATACAATTATTCTATGTTTTTGGATTATTTTTTATTTTCAGATATATATCCAGTATTTTATTTTATTTAAAAAAAATGATTTACAAATTTTTTTTCGCATTTAGGGTATTTGTTTAGGTTTCTCGGTATATTTTTGAATTTTTGGGTGATAAATAACCGAAATACCGGACCTGGACTATAACCAAAATATTTCGGGTATTTTTCGGTATTCTAAAGCTATATCCAAACCTACCCAACCCCGAACGGACCCGAACCTTTACCGAACCGAAATTCATAAGGTATCTATATGAATATTGAGATCACCTATCCAAAAGACTCGAACCCAAATATAATCTACCCAATCCCGAACCGATAACCTTATGTCGCAGGCCTAGTTAAAGTCTTGGAAGTCTTTATTAATGAATAAATATAGTGGGTTCCATTGTTTCTATATATAGTTACTTCTAAAACGGTGTGGTCCTCTATATACAGGAGCTCTTCTTTTAATCAATCAATACTATTGGTAACTTGTACAATTTACATTATTTTGTTCTGCCCATGAATATTCCAGTAATTAAGTCTTTCACAATGAGAAGCACATATCACATCTTTTTTTCCTCTTGAGAGCATGCATGATAAGCGGCTGAGTAGGGCATCCAACTAATAAAGGTATATTTTTATTAAAAACAAATTTTAAGAGGTGTATATATCATGTACAAAGTTTTAATAAGGACATACTTTTTAGATTCGAGTAGGATGTATAAATTTGTTGGACCGGCACCCACAAGAATTAACTTTTTAATTATTTGTTTTATTTTTATTTTTATGATGTTCATTGTTCTTCCTTATTAAAAGATATTTCCTTTTCCTTACTTTGTTTCAAATAAGATAATTCTAGTATCAGCAGCCGCCGGGAATCAGAGGAGAAGAAAGGCTTTTTGAAGTTCAGAATTAAACCCTTGCTGCAAAGTGAAACGATGACGACGATCTCCGATCTTCCAAAGGAATTGGTAGAAGAGATTCTGTCTAGGGTTCCCTTGAAATCTATGAGAGCAGTGCGATTGACTTGCAAAAAGTTGAACACTATATCCGAAAGTAAAAGCTTTTCAAAGATGCACATTGGTAAAACAACCGCAGTGAAAAAGGGCGAGTTTTGGATGGTTGTGTTGATGAATTACACTCTTTCTTTAGTGAGCGTCTTCATCAATGGAGATAATCCATCTACAAAGCCTCAAGGAAAACTTAGTTGCCTTGACGAACAAGTCAAGATATCTCAAGTCTTCCACTGCGAGGGCTTATTGTTATGCGTTTTGGAAAAAGATGATACTAAGGTTGTGATTTGGAATCCATATTTAGGGCAAACACGGTGTATCGAATATAGAAATTCTCACCCTCCACAAGGATGGGACAGATTTAGTTACGCTCTCGGATACGAGGATAGGAAATCTTGTCGTAAGCTCAAGTTCTTGAGGTTCATAGATAGATATTACAACGGTGAACAAGAGAACGAATTTGTCTGGTATGAAATCTATGATTTCGACTTTGGTTCATGGAAGACTCTTGATGTCACTCCACACTGGCGTAAATTGTTTGTTTCGCGCGGTGTTTCTTTCAAAGGAAACACTTATTGGCCTGCTTTAGAAAGTAACTCACAAGACGGACTTACAAAACACATAATCTGTTTTGACTTTACAAGTAAGAGTTTTGGGCCGCTTCTACGTCTTCCTTTTGGCGCTAGATATGATGACTATGTGACTTTATCTTGTGTCAGAGAAGAGAAGCTTGCTGTTTCGCATACGCACCACGAAGTAAACCCTTACGAGATAGACATATGGATCACAACTAAGATTGAGGCCGAAGAGGTGTTGTGGAGTAAGTTCTTGACATTGGATACGGAACCTAATTTCTATATGACTCTATGTAAGAGTTTCTTCATCGACGAGGAGAAGAAAGTTTTCATGGGTTTTGAAGAAGATTATCACAAAACGTTTAACATCCTCGGAGAGGATGGATACTTTAGAGAATTGGATTTCGGAGAACGTCCATACAGAGACTGTAGTGCATACGTCTCTTATGTTCCAAGTTTAATGCAGATCAAGCAACCTGCCTCAGGAGGCAAAAGGAAACAAGAAAGCGACTTAGAAATACTTCGATATGATAAAAAGTTAAAAACTGGTCGAGACTTCTAGCAGTTGAAAAGCGAGCCGAGGAGGAAAAAAGGAGAAGACTAGACTTCTTGCGTCAAAAGTAACAATCATTTATCGGTTTTTCAAAGTGTTTTGATCTACTTTCTTGGGTGTTACGTTAACTCGGCTTTGGTTTCCAAGGACTTCAAATTAAGAATCTATTGTTTCTACTATTTTCTCTTCACATGACTTATGAGTTATGACTTCTCATAAAGAACAGTATGTGGTTAGTTTGAGAACCTTTACTTGTTTTGTAAGTAACAGAGTTATTACAGCAAAAACGTCTGTCCTATATAAGGCTTAAATAAGATCACAACTTCATAGCTTAACACATGTGAGATAATAAAAGAGATCGAGAGTCTCAGCATGTGAACCGTAATATTTTGAGAATATCTGAGACATTCTAGCTCCATTGGAATCACCTGATGCAAACTGAATCGACGCAAGCTTCACCAATTTATTTCCGATCACCACGTGTTCTTCCTCATACATCTTCTTCAATACATGCGGTTCTATATGAAGCGGTGCGTCAGGTATAGTGAGAAAATTTGAACCCAACACAGAATGCACATTCTCTCTCACCTGTGAAAAGCAACAAGTTAAACCCAAACTTGACTATATACTGGTGGTGATCCGTTAAGTAACAAATAGAGACAAGAGGATCACAATAATACCTCAGGACCAGAACCTATAGGAACAAAAAAAAAAAAAAAAAAAAAAAAAAAAAAAAAAAAAATCTGTTGTTCACATTACAATTCCACGTGATATATAGGAAATAAAATTGGATGTTTGACTTGCAAGTATGATTGAATAATCTACCAGTTTTATAAAGAGCTGGCCAATCTGGTATGTGAATATAACAGCTATAATAAATGTAAGAAAACGAGAACTTCAGCAATAATATGTACTCATAAGCAGTTTTGGCCTTTTGGGCATGACCACATAAATTAAGATGTCTTTATTTTTTTGTTTTCTTTCTAACCAAATCATTAATACCCTGTTACTTTATATTTCTTCTAGTACTTTTTTTTTGTTTTCTTAGAGTTTCCCAGCTTCATTTTGGGTTAGAGTTTACCAGTCCTTATATATAATACTCTCTGTTCCACAAAGGTATCATTCTACACATTTTAATGAGAAATTTTATGAAATACACCTCTTGAGGTGCAAATTTTCAAAACTACACCTATGGTGTAGAAATTTTCAAAAATACACCTTTTCCTAATTTTAATATATATGTTTGGGTTCACTAATCCTAGATTAGGGTTTAGATTTTGGAGTTTAGGGTTTAGATTTAAGGGTTCAATGTTAGATTTTAGGGTTTTGGATTTATATTTTAGGGTTTAGAGCTCTTTTACTAAATGAAAAAAGTGTAGTTTTGAAAATAGACACCATAGAGGTGTATTTTTGAAAATTGGCACCTCAAGAGGTGTAGTTTTGAAATTTCCCCCATTTTAATTATTTGTTTTCCTATTTTTCTGATGTTTATTGTTCTTTCTTATAACTTTTTTAATTTTCTTTTCCTTTTTTCATACATTTTTTTTTTTTTTTTTGTGTTTTTAATCTATATAGGCCCTATATTCTTTTAGTAATAGCGGCTTGAGGGCTGCGACTGAACTTCCTTTTACAATCGCAACAACCAAAAAATCAAAGGAATCCGGAGACCCTAGCTCTAGTATCAGCCGCCGGGAATCGAAGAAGAAAAAATAAAAAGAAAAAAAGGCTTTTTGAAGTCAAAAACTAAATCTGTGTTGCACAGTGAAACGATGATGACGATCTTCGATCTTCCAAAGGAATTGGTAGAAGAGATTCTGTCTAGGGTTCCCTTGAAATTTATGAGAGCAGTGCGTTTAACTTGCAAAAAGTTGAACAGTATATCCAAAAGTCAAAGCTTTTTAAAGATGCACTTTGGTAAAACAACCTCAGCGAGCGAAGGCGAGTTTCGGATGGTTGTGATGGTGGATTCCACTCTTCATTTAGTAAGCGTCATCAATGGAGATCATCCATCTACGAAGCCGCAAGGAAACTTACTTGCCTTGGCGAACAAGTCAAGATATCTCAAGTCTTCCACTGCCAAGGTTTATTGTTATTCGTCTCGGAAAAAGACTTATCTAAAGTTGTTGTTTGGAATCCATATTTAGGGCAAACAAGGTGTATCGAATGTAGATATTCTCACCGTACTATTAACCGTGGATGGGACCGGTTTTGTTACGCCCTCGGATATGAGGCTAAGAATTCTTGTCGTAACCTCAAGTTCTTGAGGTTCATAGATATATACAACGGTGAACAAGAAAACGAATTTGACTGGTATGAAATCTATGATTTCGACTCTGGTTCATGGAAGACTCTTGATGTCACTCCAAACTGGCTTTCATTGTTTGGTTCGCGCGGTGTTTCTTTCAAGGGAAACACTTATTGGCTTGCTTCAGAAAGGAACTCAGAAGACTACGATGATCACATAATCTGTTTTGACTTTACAAGAGAGATGTTTGGGCCGCTTCTACGTCTTCCTTTTGACGCTGGGAATCGTGACTATGTCAATTTATCTTGTGTTAGAGAAGAGAAGCTTGCTGTTTCAGTTAGGCATAGACAAACACGGGAGACAGACATATGGATCACGACTAAGATCGAGGCCGAAGAGGTGTTGTGGAGCAAGTTCTTGACAGTGGATACGGAAAACCATCTGTTAACATCAGAGAGATTCTTCATTGAAGAGGAGACGAAACTCGTCATGGGTTTGGAATTAAACGGCCGTAGAGAAACTTTTAAAATCATTGGAGTCGAGGCTGGATACTTTACAGAATTCGATTTCGGAAATGGTGTCCACAGAGACTATAGGGCACATGCGTGCTCTTATGTTCCAAGTTTAATGCAGATCAAGCAACCTCCTGCAGGACGCAAATGGAAACATCAAAGCGACTCAGAAAAGCTTCGATACGATCAAAACAAGTCGAGACTTGTCTCACTTGAAAAGCGAGCGGAGGAAGAAATGAGAAACCCAGTTGATTTCTTGAGTCATTGCTTACGTCTATAGTAACAAACATTTATCGTTTTTTTGAAAGTGTTTTAATCTACTTTCTTGGGTGTTACGTTAACTCGTTTTTGGTTTCCATGGAGTAAAAATTAAGAATATACATTGTTTCTACTAGTTGCTCTTTACATGGACTATCATAAATAACAGTATGTGGTTAATTTGAGAACCTTTATTTGTTTTGTTCGTAACAAAGTTATTACCGCACAAACGTCTGTCTTATATATGGCTTAAAAATAAGATCACAAGTTCATAGCTTATCTTGCTTAACACATGGGAGATAAGAGAAGAGAGTCTCAGCATGTGACCCGTAATACTTTGAGAATATCTGAGACATCCACTTTGTAGTGTCCCAAGCTCCACTGGAATCACCTAATGCAAACTGAATCGACGCAAGCTTCACCATTTCATTTCCGATCACCACGTGTTCTTCCTCGTACAGCTTCTTCAAAATCTGCCAAACCCAAAATTTAGTTCCCATCAATCATTGCCGATATGTGATGCTAATATTCAATCCTAAATTTCTTGGGTTTAACCCATCACTGTCAATCTTTCAGTCGCTTTGTGCTCTAAGCAGAAGCAGTATCACTATACCTTAATGGACGCTTCACAATGCTTCCTTGCACCCTTCAAGTCACCAGCTAGATAGCACGCCTGAGCAACCTTATCCTCCGCCTGAAAAGAAACAAGAACTTGAAACGTGAGTTATGTCTGTTTTTTTCCTGAAGGTTGGAGAATAAAGAGTAACAATGCTTTCAAGGTCCTTTGGCATAAAAATAGAAGCTTGACTCACGTCAGCAATGTCTTTGTTATACATGTGAAGGAAAGTTCTAAGCACCGCGATGGACCTTAAACAATCTGATAATACGGAAACATTGGCACGTCCTGAATTCATCAACTCTTCCAGCCTGAGAGTATAAAGAGGTCCACGTGTGAAAGAGAAACTTCACGCTAATAATTAACTTTATGAAGCTTAAAGTAAGAACTTGGTACCTTCTCAGTTGATTCCAAGCTTTGTTCACCTCAAGATGAGAATTTTCAATGTCACAGCGGGATCCACACTTCAAACATATCCCCGGTTCTATATGAAGGGAACCTCTAGGTTCTGTAAGCAAACTTGAAGCTACCTCACCGACATCAGCATGCACCTTCTCCCTCACCTGTAAAAGCAACAAAACTAAACCAAAACTAAAACCTAGAGGTTTACAGCCAGATAACAGCTTAAAGTTAAGATGGACATAAGACCATAGAGACGTTCCATCGCTCCATTCCAAAAGGAATTGAGCAGCGGAAAAATATATTTCTTCTTGAAGAATGAGATTAGTACTGCGTGGAAGCTAAATCGTGATGAATTCGCTTAAACTAGATCAGATTACCTGAACATCATGATCTAGGCTTTTGGGAGCAGCCAAAAAATGATTTAGCTTCTTGGACTCGAATCTGGCTGCATTACTATCCAAAACTACACCAGCACAGCTTTTATGGACACAGCAATACCCATTGATAACAAGGTCAGATATGTTAATCTGAGAACAGCCACGGCAGCGACAATGGAAAAAGTAATCCTCTTGAAGAAATCTAACGCGATCTTTGCAATCCCATTTTCCGACCTGTTAATTATGCATACTGAAAATTAAAAGGTGTGGACTTGAAAGCACACATAAGATATATGATACAGGCCGGAAGTGAAAAAAAAATAGAGAACAGAGGATTCCAAGAGTACCTCGGGACCATATGACAGCTCAAGGGGACAACCCATTGGAACAAACTCTGTTATTCGCATTACAAGTCCACGTGAAAGGAAATACAAATGGATGTTTGGCTTGCAGGAATGATTGAATAAACTACCAGTTTTGTAAAGAGCCTGACCAACTCTGATCTGTGGATAAATCACCAATGATAAATGTGAGATCTTGATCAAGGACCGATGTATGGCATAACTTCCAATGGTGGATGCTCACAAAGTTTCAGTTCAAAATATTAGACAAACATAGAAAGCCAGGTTACAGATAGATACGAGTCATTTCTTTAACTCTAGATTGCATCTTTGTAAGTGGTAATACCTAGCTCTAAATGAGTTTTTCAAGTGAAAAAGATGCATCAGATAACATTTTAATAAGCAGTACCTCTGTCAAGACAAACCTGCTCTAAACTCTGAATGGGCTCTTTTACTGAGACGTTTCCAGATGGGATACACTTGGAATAATCGCCGCTGGATTTCATACGGACAACTGCCATAGAGTTCACCTTGATTTGTGACAGAAGTATGATAGTCTACACACAGAGGAAAATCCACTGTGGTCAATGGTCACCAGACTCACCACCTCAATAAGTCAAATTTGATTAAAAAAAAAAGAATGGCCAAATCACAAGGCAATCATGTACATAACTATACTTCTCTATCAATCATGATAACAGAAACTCATTGACTGAACCATATGCATATTGTTGCAGGCGGTAAACGTTTTTGGCAATGAGGATAGATTTCAATCTAAGAAATCAAAAACTAATAAGAAAATTTAACACTATATTCTCGACGACAGTTGATAAACTAAATTCCAATGACAAAAGATCACAGAAGCAAGACATCATTGATCTTTTATGGACTTGAAAGCCATTCAATCAAATTCAATTGAACATAATATGCTGCCTGCACAATTTCCAGAGATCAAAGTTTGACCTCAATGAGAGATTGGCTGGAGCATAGAGAGGGATGTAGAGGAAAACCTGCGTCACAGAAGCTTCACAGATCAAAAGATCAGGCAAGCAAGATTTACTTAGGCACCAAATCAATGCTATGGAAAGTAGATGGGAGTCCAACTTGCTCTCTGGACTCATCTTGGAGTAGCTATGAGAAAAATCCTGTCAAAATCACAGGGTAGTCACTCCTTATAAGATTTCTTGTAAAAAATGTTGCAAATGGATGGGGAAAAATATACAGTTAAGGAACATACTAATATCTCCTGAAGATTGGAAAGATCCATAGCTGTTTTCCCTTGATTTATTAACTTCGTTATAACTCGACCAGCTAAAACAGCGTCAGATGGCAGTACAGCAGGCCAATTGGCTCCCTGACACTCATGCTGGTGTTCTTGAACGCAATCAGTTTCAGAATACACCACAACAGCTGATGTAACGCCTCTAATATGCTCCACAATATCATCAGGTAGATTCTGACGAATGTGATGCTTCTCCATCTCATTTCTCGACAGCATTCCACCTGATTGAATTTGGCAGGACTCTGAGCAGTACACAGGGATTGAGCATGATGGACATGGAACAGCATCAGCAGGCAACTCATTCAGGCAAAAGTGGCAATGTGTTTCCCTACAACTTTTCGATATGACCTGTATGAAGTGGCATCACCCGTTTAGTATTCAAGGATACACTTTTCTCTTCATTTTCTACAGAAAACCTATTGGACAGTAAAACCATCTAGAGTTTATTTTGAGCTTCCTCCTAATAGTTTGAAAACATACCACACTAAATGGTTCTTCGACATGTATCACAGAAGCTTGTTCAATATCACATTCCGATACCATTCCCCTTCCTTTCTCCTTTGTCGATACACAACGCAGCTTTACTTCACTTTGCACGCTTGATAGATGATCTACGAACCAATAACAAAGACAGGTCAAAACCTAACTCATAGCCTAAAAACTCTCTTGCAGGCACTCTAATATAAGAGAAAAATCTCACCAACATTACCATAATTGCTTGGATGATGATGTTCATCAAGTCCCGGTTTTTGCTTATTCTGGTAATCCGGAATAGACTTAAGTTCACTTTGTAGCTGCTTCTTCCCCACCAGAGATGACTCAAGAGAGATAGAAACTGTAATGTCACGAATTGCATCTTGATAATTTCCAAGAACGGTGTTAAGTTTGCCTCTCCTATACCACGCCTGGAAAAAAAAAAATTGGAGTGAAATTGCAGAATTTAGAAAGCTGAAGAATTCTAAAGGATCCAAATTGACTGAAGCAAATTATAACCTTTGCGTAATAAGGATCAATCCGAAGAGCTCGATGGCAGTCTCGCAAGCTCTCTTCGAGAAGCCCCAAATTCTAGAGAAAATATAGAGATTCAAAGCTTGAAGATTCAGTGATGAAAAAAAAGGAAAATTTGAGAGAAAGAGAAGGTTAGATACGTGAAGGACGTTAGCTCTATTCAGGAACAGAGAGGCGAGCAAGTTTTTGTCTCCGTCAATGGCGTGTGGAGGAGCAACACGTAAAGCTTTGGAGTAGAAACGCAGAGCATCGTCGAAATTCCGGCTGCGAAAGCATTGATTTCCCCGGCGTTTCAAGTCTAGAGATGTCTCTTCGTTCTTCCCACAGCAACCCAAATCAGGATTCGCTAACTCACTCACCGCCTGAAAAAGTCGAATTGAGAAAACAAAGAGCAAATAAAAACTCCAATTAAAGAGACGAACAAGAGATTGAAGAAACACAGAGAGGGGAAGAGTAGGTTTTGGGAAAAGGTACGAACTTGGTGAAACTGGGGAAGAGACAGAAACAAACGGAGAAGAGACGAAGAAGTGGAGGGAAGATCATCGGCGCTGCTTGATTTCACCGTTTGCAGAAGATCCTCAGGAATTAGTGATTTGAGCTTCTCCATTGTTGCTTTCAGTTTCACACTCTCACTTCGTTGTCTCTTATACTCTTTCACAAAATGCGTCACGCGCACAAATTTCTACGAATTAAGCCAATTTTTAGCTTCTTTTGGTTTGGTTTTCGGTTTAGATCTTTTGTGTAAAGTGTTTAATTCGGATTTTGATTCGGTTTATGGATTATATTATACAACCCAAAATTGTTATGGTTTCGGATTTGGACTCAATTTTACGACTATCATGTTTTGGTTCTGTTTAACACATGTACATAAGAGAATTTGGTTTTCATTTTTTCTTTTCAGAGTTTCTCAACAATACTCTTCCAGTTCTGGTTATGGAAATGAAAATTATGGACCAACAACACCACATAAGAGATTTGTTTTAACTACACTAACAAAAAAAGGTAACCTCCTGATACGATTTTCATATGGAGATATATTCACACGGATCAATCATTAAGCCCTCCCATTTCAAGATTTGCATCAACCGGTTGCAGAGGATACAGCATCATCTGAGTCCACTTTCAGCTGCAACAAAACAAACATCACTTAATAAGACTAATCAAATATTACACGACAAGAATTTGCACTTCTACCGCTTATCATTGTTATTGCAAAATGTACCAGCTTTAAGTGATTGAGTAATGCTTGATGGAGTTGTTCCTTCAGCTTCTGGCACTGCTCCAACATTCGTCCTGAGTTCATCGTCTTCTCTAGCTCCCACCATAGTCTTTCCACTGTCGTGTAAGGAAACCAAACTCCTGATACCTTTTTCCTTTTCAATACCTCTGCTGGTTTCTGTTTTAATAAGAGAGAAAACGAGGTTATTTCAGTCCTAACATATGACTTCATGCTCAACACAGCCTATAAACAAAAACATATCAATGCATAAAAAGCTTCTTAAGTGTAAAGTCTGCAACCTTTTGTTCTACTGTTATGTTAAACCCTAGCCAACCTTACAAACTCTAATATGGAGACAAACCTATACTATAGCGAGATTCTTATAATTCAACATTGATTATCTACCGCTGACAGCCACAGATCATATATAACTCACCGATGATGCAAATGATTCCATGTACTCCAATAGCAAATTAGTGGCCTCTGTAAGACGCCCATAATCAACATATAACTGAAACAAGGAAGCAGTACTTGCTTCTTGCCCACCCATTCCCAAAGCTTTTTCCTTCTGACCATCCTGTCCGAACGCACAAGAAAGTGGTCAAGATGACTTCCATGTAACCAGAATGAATTATGTATATATGTATACATATTTCCAAATTCTTACCTTGAACATTTGAACAAGCCAGAGAGGCAATTCGATACAAGAATCTGCTTGAAGAAGAGTTGAAGCAACAGTAAATGGTAGTCTAGCGTGTATGTCTTTGTACCGTTTCTGCATTTATACATATTCGGTACACAGATTAATTTCACAAAAAAAAAAAAAAACTTCCTTTACCCAAAGCACCTACTAGAAAATTCAAGCACGAACCAAGTATATTTACAGTAAACAGTAGTGACAATGTAGGCAGGTCTCATTAAAGAATTATGAAACGAGGGGATGCTACTCTGGTTTAATTGACCGATATACTGTAAATAAAAGTAGAGATGCCTATAATTCGGGATAAGCTATGGGGGCATCATAACCATTTAAAATTCGGAGCAACTACCGACATATTTCTGGATTAATACTCATGACGACATGCCAACACTTTTCAATGCTCCCAATAGTCAGAGTGGTAAATAATTAGATACCAAATGACACAAAAAGAATATACTCCAGTCAAGGATTCAGAAGTTACTCACAATATAAACTTCAAGAATTTCCCAGTCACCAGCCAACTTAGAGCCCTGAGCAGCAGGGTTTCTGTCAGGCGAATGAATAACTTCTTCGTCCGTAGATGAATTATTTATTTTGCCTGTAGTACAAATTACAGACCCATACCAAAACAATTTTTTTTTTTTTTCAAAGTACAAAACAAGAGAGAGGTGAAGCCACACAATCTCTTTTTCCTCTCTCTCTCTCTCTGTTATATCTCTTCTGTTTAATTCTTTTATTCTCCTTCCTCTATCTTCTCCTAATCTCTTTCTTTCTCTCTCTCTCTCTTTCCATCTTCACCAAAGAAATAAGAAGAAAAAAATCATATCTTTATGCAAAACTTTCTCGTAGGGTTTTAGAGCTATCTCTATTGTTTGTGTTGTGAGACAAAAGTTTGGTTCTTTGACTCTTTCTCATGGTTTGGTAACACAGGGTCTGAGATTTTTTTTTTCTTTTTCTTTCCAAAAATTTGTTTATTGATTCTTTTCAACTTTCTTGGAGATAGGTTTCACGTAGATCTTGATGAAACTCTTGTTTGTATCCCAAAAGGAGTTTCTTTTTTTCTTCTCTTCTTTTTGGGTTTTCCATTCTTGAGACGATCGACATGGCAAGAGATCAGTTCTATGGTCATAACCATCATCAACAAGAACAGCATCAAATGATTAATCAGATCCAAGGGTTTGATGAGACAAACCAAAACTCCAACGATCATCATCAACAACATCATTATAATCATCAGATCTTTGGCTCAAACTCCAACATGGGGATGATGATAGACTTCTCCAAGCAACATCAGATTAGGATGACAAGTGGGATGGATCATCATCATCATCATCAAACAAGTGGTACTACTGATCAGAATCAGCTTCTAGAAGATTCTTCATCCTCCATGAGACTATGCAATGATAATAATAATTACCAGAGTGAAGTAAATGATGAGAGAGCACCACCAAGACCAAGCCAAGGTCTCTCGCTTTCTCTCTCCTCCTCAAATCCTACAAGCATCAGTCTTCAATCCTTCGATCTCAGACCCCAACAACAACAACAACAAGGGTACTCCGGTAAATCAACACATCATCAGAACCTCCAACACAGCCAGATGATGATGATGATGATGAATAGTCACCACCAAAACAATAACAACCATATTCAGAATCAGAATCATCATCATCAGTTTCAGATTGGGAGTTCCAAGTATTTGAGTCCAGCTCAAGAGCTACTGAGAGAGTTTTGCAGTCTTGGAGTAAAAGAAAGCGATGATGAAGTGATGATGATGAAGCATACGAGGAAGCAGAAAGGCAAACAACAAGAAGAGTGGGACACAAGTAATAACAACAACAACGATCAACATCATGATCAGTCTGCAACTACTTCTTCAAAGAAACATTTTCCACCACTTCACTCTCTTGAGTTCATGGAACTTCAGAAAAGAAAAGCCAAATTACTCTCCATGCTTGAAGAGGTATATATTCTCTCTAATTTCATTAAAAAATCCATGTTTTTTAAAAGTTATTTTCGTATATATACATTTGGTTTCAGCCTATTCCTAAAAATGTAAAATACTCACAAATCTTACATATCAAAACAATTCATGGGTTTGTTAAAAATCTAATCTTTTGCTATTTGTTTCAACTTATTCCTAAAAATATAAAATACCCACAAAACTTGTATTTTTCCGATTCTTAATTAAGGTCCATATATTTCTTTAAGATGCAAATGTCTTTTATAAACAAGATAAAAAGATTCCTTTTTGTCCTCATTCTTTCATGTATTCTCTTCGAAAACAAGTTCGATCGTAACACTACGGAAAGATTAACCCTTTTAATTCCTTTACGCATTATTTCCTTTATATATAGAACCAAAATCAAAATTATTTTCTTTGCTTTTGATCTAATATGGCGACTCTAGTGGTCCTCGATATTAATAGCAATCAATTTCATCATCATAAGCCATAACGAGTTGTTTCTTTTTCATGAATGCTCATTCTATGAATCTACATGTATACGATGTACGTGACTGAAAAAAAAAAAACTTGCGTTTTCGATGACAGCTTAGAAGAAGATATGGACATTACCGAGAGCAAATGAGAATTGCGGCGACAGCGTTTGAGGCGGCGGTTGGACTGGGAGCGGCTGAGATGTACACTGCGTTAGCGTCGAGGGCAATGTCTAGGCATTTCCGGTGTTTGAAAGACGGACTTGTAGGACAGATTCAAGCAACGAGTCAAGCTTTGGGAGAACGAGAAGAGGATAATCGTGCGGTCTCAATTGCCGCACGTGGTGAGACTCCACGGTTAAGATTGCTCGATCAAGCATTGCGGCAACAGAAATCGTACCGCCAAATGAGTCTCGTGGAGGCTCATCCTTGGCGTCCACAACGCGGTTTGCCTGAACGCGCGGTCACGACGTTGAGAGCTTGGCTCTTTGAACACTTTCTTCACCCGTAAGTTACTAACTTCATTACACAACCTCTAACTTAATATTTATGCATTAAGCCATTAACTATAAGTATATATTTATTCAGTGAAAAAGTACAAATTATTCAAGTTTTACCATGCATAATCAAATAATGACTAGTTAAGTTCCTCTTAATTTAACTAATGATTGTGTAATCGTAAGAGCTATAAAATAAGTCAACATAAGCTCCATATAAGTAGATAGTCATTAGTCAACATAAGCTAATTTGAAAGTTTTAACTGGAATGGCATAAATTAAAATAAAGCACTGATAATAGTATATATGGTTATAAAGGTTTTGTTTTTACCTGAATATATGTGAACATAGAAAAAGATATATACATTTTTACATAGAGAGATTGAGATTGACTTGACAAGCTGAGGATCCAATCTTCCTTAATCTGTTAATTGCATAAAGCTTTTTCATTTTGCCTTTTTCTTTCACTTGCATCATTGGTGTGAAAGTGAGTGTACAAACATATACATACATGTATATATGTCTACATATTTAGATAATGTGTGATAAATAAAATAAAAACAAATTATATAACTGGTGGATGAAAGACAGAAATAGAGAAAGGTACAAAGTGGATTCAGAGAGAGAATCAATGTTCTTTACCTAACACTAACAAAAGAGAGAAACAATGCATAACTCCTTGCTTTTTTTTTTCTCCATGTTTTTATTTTGGACTTTTCTCCTTTTTTCTTTATTTTTATATATTTAATTTATATTTCGTAAATTATATATTTATCATATGCAAGACTTGTCTCCATCAAATTCCCAAACACTGATCAAACAATGAAACATCTTGTTAGTTTTCACCAAACCTTTTACCTTTGCTTCCACTTCTTTGCATCATTCTTCAATCATTTATATCCATTTTTTAAAATGAAAATATCATTAATTTTCACAAGACAAATCATTTCCCTAACGTAATTTTTCTTATTCTTTTATTTCATTCAGATATCCAAGCGATGTTGATAAACATATATTGGCCCGACAAACTGGTTTATCAAGAAGTCAGGTAACCAATAGGTTCACTAATTTTGCTATACTCCAAAATATCTATTTAGCTTTAGTTTAATCGAGTTATATACAACCAAACTGTTAGGTATCGAACTGGTTCATCAATGCAAGAGTTAGGCTATGGAAACCAATGATTGAAGAAATGTATTGTGAAGAAACAAGAGGAGAACAAATGGAGATTACAAACCCAATGTTCATCGAGACTAAACCGGACCCGAGCCAGATAATTCGTGTCGAACCGGAATCTTTGTCTTCCATAGTCACAAAAACCGGCATCAAAGACAACTCGAACCAGGGAACGGCGTCGTTCGGGTCAACGTTTGACTTTTCACTATACGGTAACCAAGCTGTGACATACGCCGGTGAAGGAGGGACAAGAGACGTGTCGTTGACGCTTGGGTTACAGAACGGCGGTGTGAGTTTAGCTTTATCTCCAGTGACGGCTCAAGGGGGCCCACTTTACTACGGTAGGGACCACATGGAAGGATCGGTGATGTTGGACGGTGATCAAGCTCAGAATTTGCCTTACAGGAATTTGATGGGAGCTCAATTACTTCACGATATGGTTTGAAGGAAAATTTAAAAATTAGGATTCGATACTCTATTATAAACCGATTCGGTTATGTAACGGTTTAGTTAGACAAGAAAACCAAAATTAGATATTTTTAAAATTTTACTCTTGTCTTATTGAATTGGGGATTGGTGGAGGAGAAGGAGATATAATGTCATACGAGTTAGTTGGTTCGTCAATGTCACTTCTTCGATATTTTTTTCCTATCTAGAAAGAAATATAATATTCGATTTGAAGGTCTTTTTCTCACTCTCAATACTTTTGTTATTGGTATAGTAAATCAAGTATTATTTTCCTAAAACTAAATTATATGTATCACTAAATCATTTCGGATTTCAAAAGCCATTCGGAATTCAGTGGCTAATCTAGAAAACTTTTTAACTGGGTTCAAAAATACTTTAAGGGGAGTCAAACCTGGGTTATAAGGTGTCAATAGGTAACTTTAACCATTTTTCTAGTGAACTTTTGATGTTTTACGTACAAAATTTGTTTTTATAACAAATGATAGGGTGTCAACTGACCCGTATCCACTAACGTGGATTCGCCACTGATTCGGATACTATTTCTTGTAGTAAAAACTAAAAAGTATGGTTTTAAATTCTATAATCTTATATATAATTAGGGAGTTGCTCTCTCCATCTAGAGTGTCCACATCAGCACAAAAACATTAAATTGTATTTAAAATATTTATTAAATATATGACTATTCATATTTCTTTACATTTATTCATATTTAATAAAAATATACAAATAAATTAATTAATTAATAGAAAGTATGTGATAATTTGATGTTAAAAGTTATCAAAAAGTTGGAATATAAAATAGAGATGGAGTAAAGAAATATTTAACTTCAAATAGTATATATTTACCTTTTTATTCAAAGGATTATCCTATTTAAAAATGTTATAATGTGTTTACAAGTTAAAAAGTTGAATATAAATTAATTAAGATAATAGAAAGCTAATGAAAAATTAGAGTTAGAGTTTGTTTTTCTAAACAAATAGAAATGGAGTTTTATATGTAAATTTAATTGTAGTGAAAAACAAGAATATGTTTACAAATCCTTCAGTCAAATGGTCAAATGCATATACATATTTATAAATTTTAACCTTCAATCAAATACATATACATGTTTACAGTCTAATAGAAGTAAAAAAAAAAGTAAACAAACATAATATTTATAACATGATAAAATTTTAGAAATAGAAAACTCGAGATAAAGCGGGGTGTTAATATCCTAATAAATTAAAAAAATAAAAAACAAATTATTCATATTTTTTAGTGTTAGTGGTTGAGTTAACTCAAAACATAAAAGTTAACACAAAACCATCATAATTCAAATCAACGAGTATAAATAAAATTAAACAGAAAAACTATCGCAAACAACCCGCGCTTGCGCGGGCTTCAAACCTAGTTTATCCAATTAGTCTTTGTAGTTTCAGAAATATACTTAACCCCTCTTTTGTGACGACTGATATTCATATGCTTAACCCTTAAACAAACAAACAAAAATAGAAAAAGCTATTTTTATCGATTGTCCATTGGTTTAGAAAACAATTAGCATGAAATTAGGTCCCGTGGAAAACGTCAATGATAGTAACTAACACCGGCTATAATCTCTACACACACGCAATTCAAAATTTCCTCATAGACCTTTCTTTTAGTATTCTCTTTGCATATTTTCAACAATGGCCAAGCTCACCGTTACCGTCACCGTCCTCTTGTTCACGTTGGCTCTCTCCGTCGTGTCCTCCAAGCCGGAAACCGAGATCATCAACGATAACCTTAACACTTTATCAGCTGAACTCGACTCAGTTACCACAAACCCAACCCTTCCCGGACCCGAGTTAACTTCTTCCGATGAGGTCACTATACCGGTGAACTTTATGAATTTCCACACGATTAATCGTCATTTCCCTAGACGTCCTTTAATGACATCTCCTTTTCACCATCACCACCGTCCATGCCACCACCATCACCGGCACGAGCTGTTTGGACGAGGCATCCAGATCTCTTACGGCAACGACATGATCTTCTCCAGCGAAGAAAAGACGACAAGTACAGAACGTTCGTCAGACGTTGATATCCCGGCGGTCACCATGTTAGTCGACCCTTTCGCTTCGGAGATGACAAAACCCAGTCCCGGTGAGGTCGAGGCGGAAGAGGAAGATGGCTCCATGAAGATCATTGTGAAATTTATAAAGCGCAAAGAAGAAGGAGAAGATGATAAAGAGAAGTACAAGGGTTTGTTCAGGAGAAAGATTCGCAAGTTTCTCAACCATTTGGTCTGAAGAAGAAGACTCTATAGTTTGTGTTAGAGAAATTAAGATAACGAATAATAAAGCCTTCTTATTATCTATGGCTCTTCCATATTATTTGAAAAATGATGGAAGCTATGTAATAAATTCAGTAGAAGATGTGATTATATTTTGTAAAAACTTACTTTCACAATTCGATTATATTAGATTGATTGCAGAAATATGAAAGATGAAACAAACAATAACTTACATTACACTACATGTCGTCTCTGAGCATTTGGAGAGTTATTACGATTGGTTTTCGCAGAAACCACCTTGTTGGGCCGTTGAGGACAGCTCAGGGCAAGCCGTGGGGTCGACTTTCACGGCGGCGCCAACTATATCTGAGCATTTCCATACCGGAGAGCTTTTTGTTCCGGTGAGTGTCACATTGGAGAGGCAGAGACTGGTGAAAGGTGAATCTTTCAATCCTTGAAACGTGCCAGCGCGCTCGACCTTGATTCCCCAGACGTTCTTGATCGTTATACCGCTTACGACAGGAAGAGCGGACGTGTTGAAGTGATCGTCAGGGTGGTCTCCGGTGTCGCCGGAGATCTTAATCCCGGTGCGAACTTTTTCCAAGTGAACCCCTGAGATTGTGATCCCCTGAATGCTTCCTCCTCTGCCAATGTTTGTCTTGATGTGGATTCCGATCCCGGAACTGTACAAAGTGATGTTCTCGACCGTGACATTGTGGATCCCGCCAGAGGTTTCGCTTCCGATGGCTATTCCGGCGAATGGGGAAGATCCGGTGATGCGGCGGATGGTGATGTCACAGCTTGGACGGTTGTAGGCAATGCCATACTCGTCCCAACCGCTCTTCACTGCAACAAGATCGTCACCAGTGGATATGTAGGAGTCTTCTATACACACGTTAGAGCTTGAATCTGTGGCAAAATGAGTCAATAACACACAGAGACAAGTCATGGTTTTATGAAACGTAACAGAACGTAATCAAGCGTGAGGGAAATTGAGCTGAACCTGCATCAATTCCATCTGTGTTTGGGGAATCAGTTGGAGCCAAGATGGTAACATGATGAACAACAACATCACTATAAGAAAACAAGGCTAAAGCTAATTACTAATGAATATTAAGTAACAAATTCAGTGCAGATTTCAAGTTCTTGAGAGAAGAGATTGTTAAAAAAAACCTGCAATAAACAGGATGAAGTGTCCAGAAAGGTGAGTTCTGAAGAACAACGTGAGAGACGATGATGTTACTCGAGTTCTTGAATTCGATGAGACCTGGTCTTGTGAACTTTAGAGTGCCATGTCTCCACATGTTCCACCAAGGCTCTCCAGAACCATCAATCGTCCCATTTCTGCCTAGGGAACACAAAAATGGATTCTCATTTTCAGGAAACAAGACAATCCAATCTTGCTTGGAGAGGATACATTTCAAGCTGAATACAAAGTGATCTCTGAACAATACCTGTAATGACAACGTCACTAAGTCCGTCTCCATGGATAAAGCTAATGTACCTTCTTCCAGGACGCTCTCTTCCTCTGCCGTAAGAGGGCAAAGGATCAACCAAAGGCCATTTCTCTGTATCCTGAATCATTAATCAATCAAACAAGCATTTGCTTTTTAAGGCATTCCAAATGCAATCACAAACCTCAATGTACAATTATTTGAATCAAAACCTTAATCGTTAAATTTCTTCTACAAACATAAATCCCCAAATGCAATCACAGTCTCACTCACTGTTCAAAATCAGTATCATAGAGAAGCTCTATAATCAGAGAACAAACAATACCTAAACCCATAATTTCGATCTAAACCACCTTAATTACTGAATCAAGCAGCTCGAGAGGTTAGGTTAATTGATTTCTAAATTTGGTGTAATCATCACCTGAACGGCTTTGATAACAGCACCCTCGGCGAGGTACAGAGTCATGTGGCTCGTGAGATTGAAGCTCTCAGTCAAATACACACCGCGAGGCACGTACAGAAGCGTTCCTTCGCTGCTACTGTTGCCGTTTCGTATCCGATCAATCGCCGAATTAAACGCATTGGTGTTCAAGGTCGTGCCGTCACCGACGCCGCCGAAGTCCGAAATCGATAACATCCCGCTCCTGGGCTTCGTCGGAACTATCCCAGAGCAAGTGATCGGATCTCCTCCAAGCGAGAGATGGTGAGGAAAAACAGCAGAGAGCATGAACAATACGAAAAAAGAGATCGGAGGTCGCGAAACTCTCATGGCTGGTTCTACTACGAGACTTGAGCTTTCGGTAGAGTTAAGAAAGAGAGAGTCTCTGGAAAAAGTTTCTCCGTCGCCGGAGAAATATGATTACAGTGGGGATCTAGAGAAAGGCAAAATTGCCGATGAGTAAATGTTAAATAGTAATGACAAGAAAGTAAGCCAAAACTCAAAAGCAAAATCACATGACACCTTAATTTACGGTTTTGACCTCTTTTTGTTATTTGTTTTCAATTTTAAATTGATAGTATATTATTTTCGTTCTTATGCATTTGATATTTTTTCTTTACAGGTTGGAGTCATTTTATTTGACTATTATTTCAATATATTTATGAATTATTTGTATTCATGAATATCAGTTTTTACAATACTCATCACAAATATCATTGTTATGCTAGCAAAATTTTATGTTTGGCGATCTAAGTAAGCAACCAGCTTTGCTTAAATGTTTGTATATATATTTTTTTCTTCTTTTTGCTGCTTTGTATTTTATGAAAAAGGAATTGGAATCATGTTGTTTAACTTTGGAATCATATATTCATAGCAACAAATAGAATTGGTTAAAAGGAATATTTTTCAGTGATCTAAAGCTTCAAAGTATTGTTATCAAAAGACAAAACAGAAGGAATATAAATGGCTAAATTCTTTAGATTAACACGAGATTGTTACAATACTTTGGCGCGCTTTTTAGAACGCCAAAGATTATGACCATTGAAAAAAATATAAAACTGACGAAAAGTTGGAAGTTAGGGACTCAAATCACATCTTTCTTTGGTCCTCTATGTAATGCGAAGCAACATGTAAACCATCTTTTCACAACTGAATAGAGAATGAAGACATAATGTTACTAAAATCTCGTATTATTTGTATCATCTCGATTACACAGCCACGCATACAAGAAAGCAACCGAAACAACAAACGCATGTAAACATTGTAAAGTTTATTCGTAAAGAAAAGATAGAGAGATGGGCGCAACAAAAGAAAGCATGATCATGATGGTGATTCTGATCAAATTGTTAACTTGTGCAAGCCATCCTCCACTTGGGCTTTAGCTTTCCTTGCTCTAGAGTTTGCATAAAAGATATCCATCATAGCTTTGCCATGCATCTCCACCAAAAACTCAGGATGACCTCTCACAAATTTCTTATTTCCGTATTCACATTGCCCAGCAGATCCCTTGATTTCTCTAAAGCCCTATCATACCAACAACAACAGCAACACCAAAACACACACATTTGTTTTTTAAAAAAAGTGCAAACAGTTGGAGATAAATTTTTGATTTGCAAATACAACAAAACTTACATAGAACTCAAGCCAGGAGACAAACTCTGTCAACGTTGTGGAAAAGAATCTGGAAAGAAACTTTCTGCGGATAAGCTCATCCACATTCCAAATGATGAAACTGTTGTTGGTTTTGCTCCATGAGATGATTGAATCCGTTGAAGGATCATCCACCAGCTTATATATACGGTCGTAGAATACAAGTAGTTCCTTTGGGTAACCGGGACTAGTCATCCCTACAACCTGCAAAATCTACATTCCACAAAATTTGTCTTGGACAAACGAAGAACAGGAACCCAGATATGACATGAAAGTCTGAAAACAAGAAAAATATATCACCTGGATACGGAAGCTCCTGAGATGCGAGAACGAGGAAACTTCTAGAGGAAAAACTAAGGAAATGAGGAGAAACTCTCTCTCCCTCGCTATCTGCGATAGGGTTTTGCACAGCTGAAAGGATAGAGAGTGGTGTATAGAAGCGCTTTTTTGGCGTTTTAGTCCAAAAATGGGCATCGGCCCAGTTATTTTGTGACGCCCAAAATCCACTTTAGTCCAGTCGATGCGAATATTAGAAAATTATCTTGATTTTTTTTTTATTATTCCTAAGTTTTTCAATTGTTTTCTGAACATAAAAAATATCAGATATATTCAATAAATCAACCAGGGTTTACGTAAGTAAAAGAACCCAATTTTACTTTGGATTGTGGAGTTTGTAATTTTAAACGATGATATTGGAGTTTACTTTTTTTTCACAAATGATTAGCTTCTCATCTTTTACAATAAATTCAATCCTCTTAAAACAAAATTGAGTTGATAATATGCAGATGACGATCAAACCACACATAGAGTTTGTCTAGCACATCGTCTTATGGTTTTTATTTATATCATGTCTTCTTACGATCAATCAATTCAGCCATTGTAACAAGCATACAAAAATAACTTGCATTACTTCATTTTCGAAAATGTTATTTTGCTTGAATGTACAAAGTTGTACGCTTCGGATTCTCATTAGTTTTGTTTCCAATATGAGTGATTATACAAGTTTGTTTAATTAAAACGAATATGCGCACATAGGGATCTTAAAAATTACAGTTTTTGTGAAAAGATGATGGCAACGCAATCGAGAAGCAAAAAAAAGTAGACACGTCTAATGAAAAAAAAACAAATTGGCTTACAACACAAAGAGTGGAAGCCATGACAAATGGTTTACGATACTCTTCCTGAAATACTTGAGGAGAGAAGCAGCCTAAGGGCGGAGTTCAGCTCCTCCGAGTCATCAGCCTGAGGGCGGAGTTCTTCAGCGGCCAATGACAACAACCACTGTGTAGAGCCACGAAAATCATCCCAAGTTTCCTCGAATTCATCAACAAGCTTGTTGAAGCACCTAATGGGATATTATAAAATTCGTTAATACATATGCAAAAGGTTTGCAAATGCAAATTGCTTTACATACCGTGTTATGTATGAAAATGTCATCGGAAAACGCATCACGGAAGATGGCCACAAGTTTCAACACATGAGCTTTCAAATATTCAATATGGCTCTCACAATCTTGAATCCAATTAGCTGGGTTTGGTATCACCTCCAATTGCCCAACCGCTGGAAGAAGCTTTGTGAAACTTACTTTTGATCTTCAATATTTTTTTGGAAAATACATCATGATAATATTCTACATTTCTTACACGAAATTTACACAAACTTCTGATTATAGCTGGTTATGATACTTGGACGATTTTGCAGCAAATTGAGTGAGACGAACAACAACACCAACCTGAAGAAATCTCTCTTCCAGAACTTACAACACCTATAGAAGAATAGTTTGTTACGTGACCACAAGTCACAACACCTATAGTTTGTTCAAATTAGTTTGTGAAACTGAAAATATCAATTAAGTCAGTTAATGGCTCCGTAGTCCAAACTAAACCACCCATTATATCAACATAATCCGGAGGAACATAGTCTACAAGATTGCAATTAACGAACTTAATTCTAAAATAAAATAAAAAACTTGCTATACAATCTACAATGGGATTTAAAACTTGCTTCACGAGTAATAAAGTTAAAGCGACAAAAGCATTGAAACCCTACTCTATCTCTCTCTCCTCTTTCCTATGTCTTGCGTTAAGGGAGCAACGACAATTTGGGCAGCTTCCACTCTCTGTCAGCCAAGAATCAATACAAAAAGGATGAAAAACATGTCTACACTTGTTTATACGAATAATCTCATGACCATCTTCAAACTCTTCAAGACAAATTGGACAACAAATCTCATCAAATCCTTCTTTTTTGGTATCTTTAAACTCTAAGATGCTCGTTTCAATCGAAAGTTGGTTGATCCGCGTCATACATCCGGTTTTCATGTCTTCTTGAGGCAGAGGCAGAGGCTGCGTTAGATGTCCGGTCTCGATATCTTGTGGTTGTGGAAGAGAATTCTCGTGAGTCTCAGGAGTTGATTCCGTAGGAGTTTGATCACCTTTTGTGCAGATGTAAATGATGACGACAAAGAAGAAGACCGTATAAACCAACGGAAGCCATGACTTATTTGTTTCTGTTGACGAAAGCAACGACGAAAACGGATCCTGCGAAGGAGGAGATTCCATCGTCATAATTAGGAGTTTTACTTAGAAGAAGTTATTGTACCTCGTATACACATAATCCCTTGGCAACTTTCATTACAAAATTTACGATTAGAGAGCTTTATATTCTCCCTTCTTCTTTCTTAACACGTTTGTGTTAAGTTGAATCTATCTGGAATCAAATCCTAATCACAAGATATACACATATCTTGAATATGTTAGTTCACCATATTTATCTGAATATTCTTCTACAAATTAGAATATTTATAGAATCTCTACAAAATCTTTTATAAACTAATCGTTTGTTCCCATAAACAACCGTGTGTCATTATCTAGTTTAACATTAAATCTCCAGCTAGGTCATTTAACTCATCGCACGAGCTATATTGGTAAATACATTAATTAACTTACATAATAATGAAGTGGGATGAGCTGGTAAATCAATAGTTAAACGTACTCTTGATGAAATGAGTTACGTTAAAGTGATGGAGTTAGCGAATTTTGACTTATCGATTTGATGCTACTCGTTTGCATGTGCATAATGAAAAACGATTGATGAAACCCGCTCAAATACCTTTTGTCGGTAGAAATTATTTTTATCAACTTGCTGATCGATCGATCGATGGATAGCCATTCATATATAATAAGATAACGTCGTTATCTTAATTTTGCATTTTTGTAAAATTTATACGCACCGACGAACATCGTTGCCTCACGAATTAGGTTTTTTTTGTTTTTGGATTTATTATTTAACGAACCCGAGATAGACTACTGAGAAAAATTAAATGGACAGCAAATCACTGAGAAAGTTTATTATGTCTATATTCATCAGTTTAAGATAGGTACTCCACTAATTTGTATATTATAATTGAATAAAAACAAAATTTTAATCTTAAACATGAATAATTATTACATAACTTCAACAACTTCACCCATTCTGCAAACTGCAACACTAATCTCCAAAGTATTATTCTTCTTTGCTTTCACCCTGCAACAATTTCTTCTAGGAGACTGTCCAATAATAATAAAAAAATCATACAATATGTTATTATTTCAAGCATTAATAATACTAGTACGACTATATAACAACTATTTGAATAAATGTTGACTTACTCTGTCCCAAAGGTGAGGGTCCGGTTTCTTGTAAACAACGACGGTCCTAATATCGCCGGGATTAGCCATTTTCCACTTACACCCGGGTTGAGCCACCCGGTGGCTTTCATAACGGCTCACCGTCATATTTGTCGTTGGATGAACTCCGGCGGTAGTCACGTAGTACACAAACGGTTTCTGGCATGGATGACGACTCACCGGTCGCGTATTAAAGGTGTACGCCGTGTAATCCGCCCGCCGATACCTACCGAAAAAACAAAACAATGTTAAAACGACAATGTCTAGATTTTCGGTTTGACTAATCTAACGAGTTTACGCATTTGATCCTAAAACCAAGATCACCTAGCCACCACCACACACATTATAATGAAACTACTAATAATGATTTGTTATACCAATTTAAGAAGGTTCTTGGAGGCATTTCGATCTCTCGAGCGGAAAAGACTCCACGGAAGATCTGAACCGCGAATCCCCAAGAGACCGAAACGGTCCATTTCCGACGTTTGTCGTAGCATATCGACTGTTGCATAAGTCCGGCAGAGTCTAGCTTTGCCGGGGCTTGTAAACGCTTCAAGGCGTCTACACGTGTCATGTTCGGAAATATCGGTTCGACCACGTCAAGATGGTGAAGTGTGACCAATGGAGCCACCGGGTGCGCCGCTAGTAGACCGAAGAGATTGCCATACACATCGTACTGAAAAAAAAAAACACAAAACAAAGACGCAATCAGATTAATAAAACTAATTAATCAAGACTAGTTAATCAGTAGTCACTGAACCGACCGGTTTTGGTAGGTAACCGACGATTGGTAAGAAATTAATGACAACAAACAACGAAAGTGTCACGTGAGACGCACGCGCCGTTCAATGCGTGACAACTCTTTTAACAAACGGCGGGACACCGTGACGACGTGTACCTTATTCCGGCAACAATAACTTACGGACAGATTTGGGTCCAGTGACGTGACATTGCATCATAATTGAACTTTACATATGTAAACGAATAGCGTGAATTTTATGAAAAAAGTCCAAAGACATTGTAATTATTAATCTCGATCAATCATCTATTTAAAGCTCATAAACAGATAAACTACACATTTATTAAAACTTGCTCCTATTAAATGATTATGATCAGTAGTAGATCTTGTAGTAGTTAAAACTACCTGCTAAGTGCTAATTAATCAGCTGAAACAACATTTAAGGGACAATTAATTAATTAATTACTGACCTGGTGAAAACCGAGTTCCTTAGTGAGTGGAACACCGAGTTCGGCCATGCAAGCTTGCATCCGATCATCGGAGCCGTACAACGCCGGATACCTTTTTATGCAACGGTCCTGCATTTTGCTCAGCGCCACCGCTAGTGGATAACTAATAGCGAATCCTCCGCCGCCGTAAGCCATTCCGTAAGAGAAGTAAATGTTCTGAAGATGGCTTTCCGATAAACTCCCGATGTAATACATCTGATTATGATCGTACTTCCTCAAAACTCTGATGAGATTCTCGGCGACGAAGACTGTGTCGTCGTCTCCCATCACGAACCACCTCACGTCTTGGAGTCCTAATTTCAGTGTCTCCGTGACGATCCGCGAAATTCGAATCGCCGATCTGTGTCCCTGTTTGTTCTTATACGGAAATTTCGAAGTGTCGCCGGAGATTTTAACCGGCGGGAGACTAATTTCGTCGTCTTCGTCGAGTTTCTTAACCGGTCTCTCTAACCAGACATAACCACGCATTTGATTCGGTTTGTACCAGATCTTGATATACTCTTTCCTCTGTTTCCATAGCCTCGCCGACGCGGCGATTCCGAAAACCACATGGCTCAGGTTGGTTTGGGGCGGCGGTGGCGGCGGAGGAGGTGGTGAAGAGGTGTAAGATTCGATCACGGCCGTTTGATTTGACTGGAAGATAATCAACGGCTGAGATGAGTTCACCATGTCGTTTAAGCGGCGGACAACGGCGGAGAAAGGCTCCACGTGACAGGCACGTGAGTTGGAGATGAGCTTTAGTGTGTAGACGACGTAAGTGGCGGAGACGAGGAGGAGGAGCAGGACCATTAGTTTGGATCCGGGTCGGGTCGGCGAAACGGATCCGGATAAAGTCCGTTCCCATATAAGCTTCTCTGAGGAATCTTTATGGTGATTCAACTTCATCTCCAGAAACCAAATTACAGAAAGAGAGGGAAAAAGGGAAAATTAAATCGAAATTGCTACTTTGTGATTACAGATTCTGGGAAAATGATCAACAAATGAGCTTTCATTTGAGAGGAAATTTTGTTTTAGAAGGGTTTAGGAAGAAAGTGATTGTAGGGAAGAACATGCAGTGGCTATGTTCGGGTTTTTCTAAAAGAAAACAAAGAGAGTTATAGTGAAAGAGAGTCATTTAAATTAAAACCAAAAAGTATTTTGTTTTCACATGATAAAGGTAAGATACTAATTAACATTTGATTGTTATTGCTAGATTGATCCTGCAACTATCTGTCAAGTAATTAACAAACTTTTTTGGCTATTAAGCTATTTAATAACATCGATTTTGATTGTTTGTTTTGTAAATTACACTGAATTGATCATACTGCCTATAGGGGATCTAAAGATTAGTGAAGCGGGGGACAATTTACATAAAATTTAATGTTTTTCTGGTTTACTGTGATAACGACTGTAGTGTACTTTAACATGGACACGTGTATGGAATGTAGTGGAAAATATGTGTCGGTAGTAGCAAAACTTTGGAGAGGGGAGCTATTTTTATTTTATTATTTATTATAGGGGTTGGTTTACAAATAAAATTAGAAATTTTGGAGAATTTAAGAGAATAATAGCAAGCTACGAGACAATTTTATCACATCCATGATACAAACTACAGAGTAGTTAAGGAGAGCCACTGACTTCGTCGGAGAGTTAAGATCTGTAGCTTTTGTTCTACCTTTTTTTTTTTCCTACTTAAGTTGAAACATAAATTGGTCTAGTTTACATTTCAAGTCTTTGCTATTGCCTTCTTTGCAAGTTGGTCTACGTCCATGTTTTTCAGTTTTTGTTAAGTCTACTGAAAAAAATGAGAAAATAGATCTGATATGAATCTTCTTCTGTAAAATTTGAATCATTCATTTTCATTAAATGGAAAACATGGGGTTAGACTTACAGAGTCCATACATTTGGGGCCAAAATAGTAAAAGAGCTATTGGACCAAAGCCCAGCCCATTGAATGGACAAATTTACAGTTGTCGGATGTGGTGGTTCGTCTTCTTCCTCTACCTTTGTCTCGGTGAAAAGCTCATCAACAGAAGCCTGTTTGTTTCCATCCACTATGGCATTGTTGGAGGAACAAGAGAACCGGTGAACAACAGATTAGATTCTTCTCACTCCAATTCTTGCCACGAACAACAGATACCATACCGATCTTGTGGTGGTGGCTTCAAAACAGAGTTATAGATGTAGAGTAGCATTGTGAGAGTCGTCCTGCGTGATAACTGATGTGTAAAAAAGGGTTAGATATTTTTATGTGCTCTGTTCTTGGATGAGAAGAGTGGAGTATTGTATTTGTAACCACAAGCTTATCAATTTTAGTGTTTGATTCATTGTGATTGGATTTAGGGATAAGAAATACAGAGGATTGTGCTTACGTTCTTATCAAATGGTGCGCGCTTGTGCCTTGTATCATACGTACATTCATAGTTTACTGTTAACAAATTTTCTCTTTACATTTCCAGAGGATGTCATCGTTCTTCTGTGTGGTCCTCAAGGAATTTGGAGGAATCACTCTCTTATGGGGTCCTCAAGGAGGACTAGAACATTTATGGGTCGTCGACGACTTTTGGGGAAACTTGTTTGTATCTTCCTCTATAATTTCTCCGAAAAATCTCTGCTCTTTACTCGTTTCTTTAAAATTTCGTTGAAAAGAAGAGTCTCGGCCCTTTACTCGTTTTCTGCATCAACAATGTGTATATATAAAAAGGACTTGTTAGGTGTTACCTCCTCCATACTCCATAGATAGCTTATCCAAAACAATTGCCATACTTTCTCCCATCATCTCTCTTTTCTCTCATGGCTTCCTCTTCTTCTCTTCCTCCTTTTGCTCACACTAAGAGATTCCATGTCTTTCCGAGCTTCCACGGCCCAGATGTCCGTAAAGGGTTTCTCAGTCATGTACACAATTGCTTTGGAATCAAAGGGATCACGACGTTCAAAGATCAGGAGATCCAGAGAGGCCATTCGATCGGACCTGAGCTCGTGAATGCCATTAGAGATTCCAGAGTCTCGATTGTTTTGCTCTCGAAGAACTACGCTTCTTCAAGCTGGTGTTTAGATGAATTGGTTGAAATCTTGAAGTGCAAAGAAGATTCGGGGCAGATGGTGATGACTGTCTTTTACAATGTTGATCCGTCCAGTGTGCGAAAACAGAAGGGAGATTTTGGAAAAGCATTCAAGAGAACTTGCCAAGGGAAAACAGAGGAAGTGAAGGAGAGATGGAGCAAAGCTTTGACTCATGTCGCAAACATTGAAGGAGAAGATTCTCGGAACTGGTATGAGTTTTGTTGGTTTTGTATCTTTCTCAAGAAATGGTGAAACGTTTGTATATTTACATCTTTCCAATTACAACATGGATTTTGTCTGCTTTTTGTCAGGACTAATGAAGCAGATATGATCCAAAAGATTGCTACAGATGTTTCCAACAAACTGAATCTCTCACTCTCAACAGATTTTGACGACATGGTGGGAATGCAAGTTCATTTGAGAAGAGTGTACTCTTTGTTATGTCTAGAGTGCGATGATGTGAAGATGATTGGAATATGGGGTCCTGCGGGAATCGGTAAGACCACCATTGCTAGAGCTTTATTCACCCAACTCTCTAGCCATTTTCCACTTAGTTGTTTCATGGGGAATCTCAAAGGAAGTTATAAGAGCATAGGAGTTGATGATTATCAATCACTGTTGGATTTCCAAAACCAACTTCTGTCTAGGATTTTGAACCAAAAAGATATGAAGGTACATCATTTAGGTGCGGTAAAAGAACGGCTACATGATCAAAGAGTGTTAATCATTCTTGATGATGTAGATGATATAGAGAAACTAGATATATTGGCTAAAGACACGTCTTGGTTCGGTAATGGAAGTCGGATCATCGTTACATCAGAAGATCAACAGATTTTTAAGGCGCATGGGATAAAAGATATCTACCATGTGGATTTCCCATCCAGAAACGAAGCTCTAGAGATGTTATGTCAATCTGCTTTCAAACAAAGGTCTGTGCCAGATGGTTTTGAAGAGGTTGCACGTAAAGTAGCAGAGCTTTGCGGTAATCTTCCGTTAGCTCTTTCTGTTGTGGGTGCATCTCTGCGTGGGAAGAGCAAGGACGAGTGGGAACTTCAGATATCATCGATCGACTCTAGTCTTGATGGTAAAATTGGGAACATACTAAGAGTGGGGTATGACCGATTGTCCAAGAAGGATAAAGCTCTGTTTCTCCACATGGCATGCCTTGGCTACAATGGTTTTCATGATGTGACAAGATTTCTCGCTGACAGTCATTTGGATGTCGAAAACGGGCTGCAGACCCTACTCGACAGATCTCTTGTGCAAACCACTACTTTTGGTAATGGTATATGGATGCACTCTTTACTAGAACAAATGGGTAGAGAAATAGTGCGGGAACAGTCTAACGAGCCTGGGAAACGTCAGTTTTTAGTAGAGGCCCAAGAGATTCTTGATGTACTAGCAGATAAAACAGTAAGTTCTTACATTAACATATTTTCTCTCTAGAGTTTTTGCATATTGCTTAATTTCGTGATAACAATTTTCACCAATCACCAGTCTTCTTGTTTTTGGAGTATTTGTTTAGGGTACTGGATCTGTCATAGGTATATCAGCTAATATGTCTGACGTGGGCGAATTCTCTATAAGTGGGCGAGCCTTTGAAGGAATGCCTAATCTTCGTTTCTTAAAACTCTATGGGAGCGAGTTGCAACCGCGGATATCAGAAGAATTGGAATATCTACCTCGTCGTCTAAGGTTACTAGTGTGGCATAATTACCCGAGAAAACGTCTTCCTCCAACATTTCAACCTGAATGTCTCGTTGAGCTCCATATGGGGTCCAGCAATCTCGAAAAGCTCTGGGATGGAATCAAGGTTGGTATTTGTTATCTATTCAAATATCCAAAAACTCCAAATTATGAATTTTCTCATTTGTCGTGTTTGACATTAATGCAGCCCCTTCCAAATCTCGAACTTTTAGATTTGAGCGATTCCGCGAAGTTGAAAGAAATGCCTGATCTTTCGGAGGCTACTAATCTCCGGTGTTTGACACTTGACGGATGCATAAGTCTAAAGGAGCTTCCCTCTTATATTGGGAATCTACACAAACTGATAACGTTGGATATGAGTGGGTGCGAAAAGCTAAGAGTTATTCCCACCAACATCAACTTAGCATCTCTTGAAAACGTCGACATGAGCTATTGCTCGCAGTTGACAACTTTTCCAGATTTTTCTAGAAACATCAAGATCATCAAGGCAAGTAAGACGAAGATAGAAGATGTTCCTGCATCCGTTGCTGGAGGTTGGTCTCGTCTTGACACGCTTGAGATAGGCAGCACAAGCCTCACGAAATTAACCAAGCTAGACCTAAGCAGCTGTGATATAAAGAATATTCCAGATTGCGTCATCGGCCTCCCTGGTCTAGAGATTCTTAACGTTCAAGACTGCAGCAAGCTGGTGTCACTGCAGAGTCTTCCGCCTTCACTTTTGTATCTCTATGCAAATAATTGTGGATTGCTCAAAAGCGTAAGTGTTTCGTACGACTGCACCTGTGTTAAAGACGCGAAAAGAGTATCATCATCCATCACTTTCTACCATCCTAAAAGGCGAGTCTTTTTGAACAACTGTTGGTCACTTTCTGAAGAAGCAAGAAGAGTAATCATACAACGATGGGCTTACATGTCGGTATGCTTACCAGGCAAACAAGTCCCTGCCTATTTCACTCACAAAACCAAAGGAAACTCCATATCCATCTCTCCGGGGACTTTCTCTGCGTCCTCAAGATTTAAGGCTTGCGTCCTGCTTACTCCAAGCGGTCAGTTTTCTTTCAACACTCAAGTTGTTTGTCATCTAAAAAGCAAAGGGGTTCTCATCAATGAACTGGAATACACATCATGCTGGCATGAAGTAGATACGTCTGACAGCAAGATTCTAACTGAACACCTGTTCGTATTTTCTGGGAGCCTGTTTGGAGCACACAGTTGCGTTGAAGTAGATGCGACTACCAGCGAGATTCTATTTGAATTCAGCTGCAACGTAAACGATGAAAAGATTATTGAGTGCGGTGTACAGATCTTGACGGAGGAAGGTGAGAGTAGTACCAGCAAATGGAAAGTGCAGAGTGAAGAAGCCGCCGAGGTCTCCAAAGATGAAAGTGTCGTCAAAAGAAGTAAGCATACAGGTTTTGCGATATCAGTAAGGTTTATGCTGATGTTCATCTCGGTATTTGTTTTCTTTGTATCCATAAGACTTGTAGTATATCCCTATATCTTTAAGTAATTGGCTATTGTTGCCTATATTTGCGTATAGAGTATCTGCATTTCGAAGCTTATGTATTAGTTGATGGAATTTACAAGTCATTAGCTCTTTCTCAGTTTTGTCGTTACATTAGGTTCTGTATTATTGATTGAATCCTTTTCGCAACTGTTAAAAATATGCAGTAATACCGTTTTGGTTTAATTCACAAAAGCATTGCTCTTTGGAAAATCTCAAGAAATGGACTCTCTGATTTTGGAGACTTGACCAACCAAGATGTTAAGTAGAAAACGAAGATGCTAAAGTTCCGATATTCAGCGGTATGAAAAGAGGTTCAACGACCAAGTGAACTACATTCTGATTAGAATGTAGAGATTGCATTAATAGCCATAGAACCTAAGCGTTTACAAGATTGTGTAAATCAAGGTACGGAAGTGACCTGCAGGCAAGAAAACTCTCAATTCTCAATTCTCAATCCTCAGTCCTCAAAGTTGTTGTTTGTTTGATTTGGATCATCGTCAATAAGGAAACCCCCACCACTCTCAAACTCCAACCCCTTTGAGCGGTCAATCAGTATCCAACGTCAAGAACTTGCTCCACGAAACCACCTCGGGATCGATCTTAGTTGTAACCCATATCTCAAGCGTATCACTGCTCTGAACAACACCACGAGCTGCTCTTCTCTAACGCTAGATAGAGACACAGCATCAGGACACCATGAATGTTAAACAGCTTTGGTTTTAGGTTATAGATTGCTTGTATGCGTTTATATTCCAAAGTCAGTTGCAAGAGGTTAAACAGGCTTTGGGACATGTGTGAAATTGTGTTTGGAACCGGCTGCAGATTATCGGGTGCTTTGAAATATATTATGTCTCTTGTAAAGTCTTTTTTGAATTGTTCAATCATAGCTAGATCCATTAGTCTATGGAATTCAATCAGTTTCCAAATCTTAATATTATTGTAAGAGAGATGCTATAAGTTTTCTTGCAACACAAGCAAGGTAACCAAGAACATTAAAAGGTTACAACAACAAGTAAAGAACTTTGCAAGAAACAACTTTAACAAATCATATTAAAGATTTGATAATAACAAACATCAATCTTCATTCCTACCTTCATATATTGTTACAATTCAATTTTCTAGCCATTATCAATTTCTCCACCAAAATTTTCCCAAGTGTTTTCTTCTTACAAAGAAAGTTGCTTTCAAAGATTCATAATGCGATTGCAGGGACAATGTTTGTCTTTTGTACATGAACCAATATTGATGTTTTTAGTTTAAGAACAGTGACATGGCAAACCGAACCGAAATTCGTTGACTCCAAACCGAATCGAGTTTTAATTTTGAACTTTTGACGAACATTTCATTATTTAATTCGTTGACTCCAAACCGAATAAAGATTTAGTCAAACTGAGATTCCATTTTGTAATTACCTTGTTTGAGTTGTCTAAATCTTGATTTTCAAACGAATAAAAAGTCGGTTTAGTTGCCAAAATTAACTTTTGGATTGAGATGATTAAATCTCGGTTGGGTTTAGTATTGATAGAATCCCTAATGTGAATCTCTCTGTTTCGTCTTCTTCTTCCAATTTCCCGTCGAGTGTTTTTCACCGAAAAAATGAGCTTCTTGTGTAAGCCATGTAAAACTGAGCTTTTACAAAATCAAAATCAAATAAAAAGAGGCACTCTTACGAGTCGACGACTTCTAGTAAACTCATATTTATGAGCACGAGACTCATAAATGACGAGTCGTCGAACTCGACGGCTTCGAAGAAACATGATTGTTGATTCCTCTACCATACAAATTCCTTTGAAAATTCTCCTCTTTGAAATTTCTCTTTTCTCTTATCTTTACGCGTTTTGCTTCGATATTTATTATGAAGACGAGACTCGTAAAATCCTCTTCTCAATAGACAACTTATCCAAAACCATTTTCATACTTTCTTCAACCTATCTCTTACCCTTTCTCTCCTCATGATATACCACGTCTTTCCGAGTTTTTACGGCAAAGATGTCCGTATAGGATTTCTCGGTCACTTACAAAATCACTTTGAGAGCAAGGGAATCAAAACATTCAAGGATAATGAGATCGAGAGAGGCCATTCGATCGAACCTGAGCTCGTACAAGCGATTAGAGACTCCAGAATCTCCCTTGTTCTGCTCTCCGAGAATTACGCTTCTTCAAGATGGTGTTTAGATGAATTGGTTGAAATCTTCAAGTGCAAAGAAGATCAAGGGCAGATTGTGATGACTGTCTTTTACGGCGTAACTCCGTCCGATGTACGGAACCAGAGAGGAGATTTCGGACTCTCTTTCCAGAGAACCTGTGAAGGCAGAACAGAGCAAGTGAAGCAGAGATGGAGGAAAGCTTTGACTGATGTCGCAAACATTGAAGGAGAAGATTATTCTCCTAAGTGGTACGATCATTTTGTTGCTTTTGTATCTTTCTCAAGAAATGGTGAAACATTCGTAAATTAAAACACGGAAGGAGAGCATTCTCTCAAAACGATTTTGTTTGCTTTTTCCTTTTTTGTCAGGGCTAACGAGGCAGAAATGATCCAAAAGATTGCGAAAGATGTTTCCAAGAAACTGAATGTTACACCCTCAAGGGATTTTGACGACAAGGTGGGACTGCAAACTCACTTGAGAAAAGTGAAGTCTTTGTTATGCCTGGAGCGTAATGATGAAGTGAAGATGATCGGAATATGGGGTCCTGCGGGAATCGGTAAGAGCACCATTGCTAGAGCTTTATTCAACGAACTCTCTAACGATTTTCGACTTAGATGTTTTATGGAGAACCTAGGAGGAGTAGTAAGTTATAGGAGCGTAACTCGTGTTGATGCGTATGATTCAAAGTTGAAGTTGCAAAACCAACTTCTGTCTAAGATTTTGGACCAAAGGGATATGAGGGTAGATCATTTAGGTATGGTAAAAGAATGGCTACATTATCAAAAGGTGCTCATCATTCTCGATGATGTAGATAATCTAAATAAACTAGATGCTTTGGCTAGAGAACTTTCTTGGTTTGGTTTGGGAAGTAGGATCATTGTTACCACACAAGATAAAAAGATTCTCAAGGCACACGGGATAGAAGATATCTACCATGTGGATTTTCCATCCAGAGAAGAAGCTCTTGAGATGTTAAGTCTATCTGCTTTCAAAGAAAGTTCTGTGCCACATGGTTTTGAAGAGGTTGCACGTAAAGTAGCAGAGCTTTGCTGTAATCTTCCGTTAGCTCTTTCTGTCGTGGGTTCATCTTTGCGTGGGGAGAGCAAGAACGAGTGGGAAGTTCAGTTATCTAGGATCGAATCTAGTCTTGATAAAGATATTGGGGACGTATTAAGAGTGGGGTATGACCGATTGTCGGAGAACGATAAAGCTCTGTTTCTCCACATCGCATGCCTTTTCGAAAATGGTTTTTATGATGCGAGAAGCATGCTCGTTGACAGTAATTTGGTTGTCGAAAACGGGCTGCGGACCCTACTCGTCAGATCTCTTGTGCAAACCACTGATTTTAATCATCTAAAGATGCACTCTTTACTAGCCCAAATGGGTAGACAAATAGTGCGTGAACAGTCAGATGAGCATGGGAAACGTCAATTTTTAGTAGACGCGAAGGAGATTCGTGATGTACTGATAGATGAAATGGTATGTTCTTACATTAACACATTTTCTCTCTAGAGTTTTTGCATATTGCTTAATTTCGTTATAACAGTTTTCACCAATCAGCAGTCTTGTTGTTTTGGAATATTTGTTTAGGGTACTGGATCTGTCAGAGGTATATCAGCTAATATGAAAGAGGTGGGCGAATTCTCTATAAGTGGGCGAGCCTTTGAAGGAATGCGTAATCTCCGTTTCTTAAAACTCTATGGGAACGACTTGCAATTGCGGATATCAGAAGACTTGGAATATCTACCTCGTCTAAGGTTACTAGTGTGGCATTATTACCCGAGAGAACGTCTTCCTCCAACATTTCAACCTGGATGTCTCGTCCAGCTCCATATGTCAGACAGCAATCTCGAAAAGCTCTGGGATGGAATCAAGGTTGGTATTTGTTATCTATTCAAAAAATCGAAAAACTCCAAAATATGATTTTTTTCTCATTTGTTGTGTTTGACATTAATGCAGCCCCTTCCAAATCTCCGGAATATAGATTTGAGCTATGCCGTGAAGTTGAAAGAAGTCCCAAATCTTTCGGAGGCTACTAATCTCCAGCATTTGATACTTTCTTATTGCACAAGTCTGGTGGAGCTTCCCTCTTCTATTAGGAATCTACACAAACTGAAACGTTGGATATGAGGGTGCGAAAAGCTAAGAGTTATTCCCACCAACATCAACTTAGCATCTCTTGAAAACGTCGACATGAGCTATTGCTCGCAGTTGACAACTTTTCCAGATTTTTCTAGAAACATCAAGATCATCAAGGCAAGTAAGACGAAGATAGAAGATGTTCCTGCATCCGTTGCTGGAGGTTGGTCTCGTCTTGACACGCTTGAGATAGGCAGCACAAGCCTCACGAAATTAACCAAGCTAGACCTAAGCAGCTGTGATATAAAGAATATTCCAGATTGCGTCATCGGCCTCCCTGGTCTAGAGATTCTTAACGTTCAAGACTGCAGCAAGCTGGTGTCACTGCAGAGTCTTCCGCCTTCACTTTTGTATCTCTATGCAAATAATTGTGGATCTCTCAAAAGCGTAAGTTTTTCGTTCGATCGTATATTACTCTCAACGACTGCACCTGTGTTAAAGACGCGAAAAGAGTATCATCATCCATCACTTTCTACCATCCTAAAAGGCGAGTCTTTTTGAACAACTGTTGGTCACTTTCTGAAGAAGCAAGAAGAGTAATCATACAACGATGGGCTTACATGTCGGTATGCTTACCAGGCAAACAAGTCCCTGCCTATTTCACTCACAAAACCAAAGGAAACTCCATATCCATCTCTCCGGGGACTTTCTCTGCGTCCTCAAGATTTAAGGCTTGCGTCCTGCTTACTCCAAGCGGTCAGTTTTCTTTCAACACTCAAGTTGTTTGTCATCTAAAAAGCAAAGGGGTTCTCATCAATGAACTGGAATACACATCATGCTGGCATGAAGTAGATACGTCTGACAGCAAGATTCTAACTGAACACCTGTTCGTATTTTCTGGGAGCCTGTTTGGAGCACACAGTTGCGTTGAAGTAGATGCGACTACCAGCGAGATTCTATTTGAATTCAGCTGCAACGTAAACGATGAAAAGATTATTGAGTGCGGTGTACAGATCTTGACGGAGGAAGGTGAGAGTAGTACCAGCAAATGGAAAGTGCAGAGTGAAGAAGCCGCCGAGGTCTCCAAAGATGAAAGTGTCGTCAAAAGAAGTAAGCATACAGGTCTGTGGAGTTGGATTAAGAAGCTTCGTCTCTCAGAGTAAGAAGAAGAAAGAGCCAAATTCTCGTGGAATCTCATGAGACACCAAGTGTTGCTCCTTGAAAGAGTTGTAGAAATTGTCAAATTTTCGTAGAAATTTTGTCATTCCAATAGGTTCTTCTGTATGACTGAATCCATTTACGATTTACATAATTAAGATTGAATAACTGACAAAGACTTGTATCTTTCCGTTGCTTTCTTAGAAGAATGTTTTAGGATATAGATTGCTTGTTTGTGTTCATACTCTAAAGTCACTTGCAAGAGATACAGATGTCAAACAAGCTTCAAGACATTGATGCAGATTAATTCACTGAAAACTCTCGAAGTTCTTCACTGTTTGATTTGAATCATTATTTCTTTCTACTCAAAATTTATAACAAAGAGATTTTGTTACGAAAATGGACGGTACAACTGTTTTCATGTGTGTGATATATATATATCATAAAGAACAAATCTTACAAACAGAAATTTTGTAAGAAGTTGGCAGCAAAAAACAGTCATCACGATCGTCATTAGATCAAAAGACTCAAAATAAGACTCAACTTGGAACATAAGAGCAGGCATGCAATAAACCATCATCCTCTGATGTAATCTCTCCGAGATACACTTCTTCTCTCAAGTAGTAACTAACCATTTTCTCCAAAGATGTGAGCTATGTGACGAGTAGGAGGCGTTTTCACATGTTTCTCTTCATCAAAAACAATCACTTCTCTCTTATCCTCGTCAACGAGGAAACCCCCACCACTCTCAAACTCCAACCCTTTGAACGGTCCACCAGTATCCAACGTCAAGAGCTTGCTCCACGAGCTGCTCTTCTCTAACGCTGGATAGAGACACAGAATGAGGACACAATGACGTAAACGGCAGAGGCAGACGCGTCGCAAATCTCTCGTTGGTGAAATCAAAACAGAGCAAGAAATCAGGAACACATCCTCGTGATTCCTTATCCATAGCAAACCAGTAGCTGTTTCCTTTCAAAGACAGCCCCATAGTTACCATACTCTAAACACCAGTCTCGAACATCATCAAGAACTCTCCATTATCAGCAGTGACACACTCGAGTGATCTCTAATTGTTGTTTCTCTGAATCGTTGAGGCTAATTAGTTTACCTCTTGGTTTTAAACGTCTTGGGGTTAGAGGTGGATTATCGTTGTGGAGATTGACGCTCATCAAATGGAGACTGTAATTTATCAGCACGATCGCAAGAGACTCCTTCTTCTCCGTTGATACTGCTGCTGCTTGAGCAAGGTGATTCTCTGTAAAGCTTCCGTCTTTGGATAAAGTGTTCCACTTTTTGCAAGTTGATCGGATTTTTCTCAGAGATGTCGCCGGAACACTTGAGATCGCTTCCTCTACCAAATCTCTAGGAAGATTGGACATCGTCGTCGTCATCGATCTTCAACTCTCGACAAGGATCTGTAAATGAAAATTTAAGATGAATGCGCTCAAAAAGTGGAGTTCTCTTTCCGTCGATTTCCGACAGACTCCTTCCGGCGGCGGTGGATAGAAATTGAGAAAATGTTAAATGTGGAAAACCGAATCGAGTTGTAATTAAACCGGAATGGTAATAACCGAAGCCTGATAAAATTAAGTTTTATTACACCTTTGACAAAAAGAAAGGAAAGAAAAAATATACATACGCCCAAAAATCGAAAAATGTATAAAGATTCCCATCCTTAAGACCAAGAGAGATTAGAGATATCTGCCTTCAAACAAAGTCATGTACGAGATTGGCTTAAGAAGGTTGGTCTGAAAAAGGTAAATAAGACAGTAAACCATGGTGACTCTGCCAATTTTTTTGCCACTAGATTAGATATTGAATCCTTTTACAACTGTCCTAATGAACATTGAATAATTGACAAAGACTATACATTGCTTTCTAAGAAGAATGTTAAACAGCTTTGGTTTTAGGATATAGATTGCTTGTATGCGTTTATATTCCAAAGTCACTTGCAAAAGGCCAAACAGGCTTTGGGACATGTGTGAAATTGTGTTTGAAACCGGTTGTAGATTATCAGATTGTCCTCTCTTGTAAAGTCTTTTGTGGATTGTTCAATCATACCCCAACTTTTTTTTTTTCTAAGCTAGATCTATTAGTCGATGGAATTAATCAATTTCCAAATCTTAATATTATTGTAAGAGATAAGCTATTAGATTTCTTGCAACACAAGCCAACGGAGAACATAAAAGGCTACACCAACAAGTTAAGAACTTTGCAAGAAACAACTTTAACAAATCATATTAAAGATTTGATAACAAACATCAATCTTCATTCCTACCTTCATACATTCTTACAATTCAATTTTCTAGACATTATCAATTTCTCCACCAAAATTTTCACAAGGTTGTATATAATACCAATGGCTTCTATGGTCAATGTTATGATTCCAACGGTTACTCAAAACCTCATCATCAAATTCAAAACTCCACGTCTCAAATCTGATCTACGCTCTCTACAACATTCGGGGTTCAATGCAATCAAGAATGATCAAAGAAAAGTGATGAATACTCATGCTTCAAGGAATATTGTGGTTTCTTGTTTAGATGGACCTCATTCTAGGTCGAATCAAACATCTGGATATGATGCTGTCCTCAAATTTTATTCGTCTATTAACGAGAAAAATAAAGATCGATTGCGTAGTTGCATCTCCAACAATTGTTATATCAATGATTTCTCCTTCTCTAGGCCCTTCCAAGGAAAAATTGTAATATACATTTCTTTGATATCTATTATTTGTGTATGTAAATTTTACTTTATAAGATTTGTTTTTGGTAATGATTTGAGAACTAAGCATGTACATATTTTTGCAGGAAGCTATGAAATTCTTTGAAGAACTGATGAAGAGTATGGGACAAAACGTTAAGTTTTGTGTTGAAAATGTGTGTGAAGGAGATGGATATAGTGCCGCTGTCAATTGGCATCTTGGTACGTACTAATACACTATTAATGCCTAATGATACTTAATTAATCAATAGTCTTTGTTAGATTTAATACTTTTAATTTCTTTTAAATTTAACTTATTTTATAAAGAATGGAAAGGACGTAAAATTCCATTTACAAGAGGATGTAGCTTCTATGAATTTACAGAAGAAGGAGGAAGATTGGTTATAAGGTAAATAGCTTTTATGAGGTAAATATTGGCATTGGGAGGATCCATTTCAAAACCAATAAGAAACTAGTCTCATAATCAATTTGATAAACTTTGTTTTCAGAAACGCGAGGATTTTGATTGAATCGCCCATTAAACCGGGAGGAATCGTATTGGTATAAATATTAATTTATTCTCAATTTTAATTGAAACAATGAATGAGATTAATTGAAGTTTTTATATTAACTTTTTTTTTGTCATACCTTTATTTTTGATAATATTTTGTTATAACTATTATCTTCAGACATTGCTAAAAAACATAACGTTTTTGTTTGACGAATTCCCACAAGTCGCTGACTGTAAGTTTTCAGTTTCTTTTTCTCATGTATAAATATATCATTTAAAAGTTGTAATGTTTTTTTTTTTAAACTGTTTTTTTGCATATTTCAGGGTTTTTGGAGAAACCTTATGCTATAATTCAAATAATATTAAGGATGTATGGTCTGTTTTTGGCGCCAGTCATTGGCCATATACTGACAAGTTATGTGAAGCTATTAAACAATATGGTCGAATTCTTTTTATTGATCTTGAAAATTATCATCAAAATTCGAAATCTGTTCTTTAAATAGAATAAATAAATAATATATGGTTTTTATATATTTTTACTAGACTACTTATATTTTACTGTATTTTATTAAACTAGCAGCATCCTAGCTAACGGCTAGCAACGAACATGCCCGTAACTTCTTCATAGCTATTTCCATTATTCAGTTATAATGTTAGCTTTCCTTATTGACAGACTTGCAGGCTTTTGGTTATGTCCTTTTTCTTTAGTTTTCCTTTTCCTATGTGGGTTGTGGCACAAGGTTTAGAGTTCTATTTATAGCTGCCTTATTTCAGCTTTATAACGGAGACTTTGAGAATTAATAAACAAGCAATTGCTTAAGTTCGTTGAGAGAGATTTGATTAAATTCATCTTCTTCAAGAAATCACTAGATTCATTGAGCTGAACCTCTGTTCTTACCCTCCATCACTTTTGCGCCAAATACTTCTCCTAGTTAGGGTTCTGTCCGCCGGCTAGCTCGCGAAGATGGCAGAAACAACCGAAACTTGTGGTAAGACAACTGAAGAGATGGGTTGTATAGACCGAATCAGTGCTTTACCGCCTACACTTGAGTACAAAGAAAAAGAAAACAGAGATGATGATAGTGATGATGATGATGATGATGATGATAGTGATGATGATGATGATGGTGGTGGTATAGTGATGCTGCTGCTGCTGATAATGACGATGCTGCTGCTGTTGATGAGAGCAAGAAAAGCGATTGGTGGTTTCTTAACAAGTCAATGGAACTCCATAAGGAACCTATTTTAGATACCTTGTCTATCCAATTCGGTTCACATTGTCCTAGTGGTGTTGATGTCGGAAAGTGGGTTGCAAGCTGTTGATCGCGGCGTGCGTTTACTACGATTGAAGATTGCCTAAGAGCCTTTAATCTTGTGAATCTCTCGTACTACTGACTATAATAAGTGTTTAAAATGCTTTGTTTTCAATAACGTATAATAATTTTGGCTATTGAGATTGATCTGTTAAGGAAGAACAGACAATGATCAATTTTTTATGGTTTATATCTTTAAAGTAATCTTACTTTATCATTTGGGAAACCAGATATATATATTCATGGATTGATATATGTTGTGATTAATGAAGATGACAATGTATATACGCATAGACATATAGTCGTGAGAATAATAAAGCCTATTTGTTTATTGCCATTGTATATAGTACGCAGTTTGTATTGATAGAAAATTGTTTGTCACATTTTTTACTCCCCCAAACAAATTGGAAAGTTTGAGAGGATGTCTTGATAAGGATTATTGTTATTGCAAGGGAGATGTTACGATTTCTTGCGCCACAAGTGAACTAAGAATATTATTTGAAAACGTTAGATTCATGGCCGGAAAGTTGACAAACAGAGTTCTTGTCGGATCAACACACAGATTCTTGAGTTTCAGATTCATTGTCTCTGTAAATCGGACGCATTTGTAGATTTGTTGTATATCGGTGGTTTTGGATTATTGAATTCTTGAGTTTTACTTTTACGTTTTGTAGAGCGCGAAATTGAGACGGCAACGTTTTGACTTGAAGCTCAGACCTTATTGGGCCTATTGGGTAATTGCTTTCAAGGTGTTAATTTCGTATCCTCATTCGTCTTCCTCCTGAGAGAGAGAGAGATGGCGACGGCGTCGTTTTTTATGTGTTTTGATTTATCCTCGCTTAAATACACACAATCTGTTTGATCATTTGCCTCGATATGATGGAAACTTTTCTCGGTTTATTCGTCTAAAGAGATTCAAATCTTCATTCTGATGAAGATGGAAGTCAAATTCACTATATCTGATTGCAACTGTAGAGATTTTCTGTTGGATCATTTGTGCAAGAGAAACTTATCTGTTATTGGCTGAATGAAGAACAAGATAAATATAACATAAATGAGTGTATTTATGATGAAATTTGGTAACCTTAATGAAACATTTCATAATTTTAAGATTAAAATTTAATATAAATAAAACTAATTAATATTTTATTGATGAAAAAAATAATGAGTATCTTATCAATCAATAGAGAGAAACAATATGAGATTTTCAAAAGAAAAAAATATTAAATCTTAGTGGTAAAATATTTAATGGGGTATCTCAATGGGAAATTGCAGAGAGACAGATAGACAATTGGAATCTCTTTATAGTATCTCTGACTATAAAAGATGAGAGCAATGTGGAGCCACTTGAGTACCATTTCTTATTGCAAACTCTCTCCGAGAATCAGGAGAATATCCGCAGCAAGCTTGACCTCGAATCGCAATCTATCAACCATGGTTTCTACTGAAGACCCAGAGCTCAGAGACTTCGTTGGCTTTTTGGAATCTCTCAAAAACTATGAGAAAGCAGGTGTGCCCAAGGGAGCTGGAACCGATTCCGGTGAAGGGTTCGATCTCGGTAGAATGAAACGTCTCATGCTTCGTCTCGACAATCCTCATTTCAATTACAAGGTTCCTACTTTGCCAATTTTTACCATTTTTCTTCTTCTTTCTGATTTGTTTATTGGTGAAATTAACAACTAGGGCAGTGATTAGATGGAATCGAAAAGAAATGGAATTGCTGAAACTTGTTTATGTTTTAAAGTTGGGATTTTTTGATGTGTTATGCATAGTAGTAGTTCATGATTAGTGGATTCTTAAATGTGAAATTAAGAATGAGGCAAGTGATTGTAGGTTGTTCATGTGGCTGGAACAAAGGGAAAAGGGTCAACTTCTGCTTTTCTCTCAAATATCTTACGAGCTGGAGGATATTCAGTTGCTTGTTATTCTAGGTAACTATTTGAGACTTTTGATTATCTTGTGAGTTAGATTTTTTTCATGATTACTAACATAAATGAGCCTTTCTTCTTGTCGTCCCCAGCCCACATATATTGAGTATCAAAGAACGTATGTCATGTAATGGAGTTCCTGTCTCTGCAGCCACTCTCAATGATGTCTTCAAGTCAATAAAACCGATCCTTGACCAGTCTATCCAAGAGGAAAATGGTTCTTTGAGTCATTTTGAGGTTACTAATCAATCTAGCTTCTTCAAAGATTCAACCTTTACACAAAGTTTTATCTTTTCTTATATACATATTTCTCTTTTTGCAGATTCTCACTGGGATAGCCTTTTCTTTGTTTGCGAAAGAAAACGTCGACATTGCAGTTATAGAGGTTGGTGACTTTTTTGCTGAAAGAAACTGGCTTTTGCTATTGTTTGAACAGTTTGGTAAAGTCTCTGTTTTTGATATTTGGTTTTGAGTATCATCAGGCTGGGCTTGGAGGAGCTCGAGATGCCACAAATATCATTGAAAGCTCAAATCTTGCTGCATCAGTGATAACAACGATAGGTGAGGAACATTTGGCTGCTCTTGGAGGTTCCTTAAAAACCATAGCAGAGGCCAAATCTGGAATTATTAAACACGGTCGTCCAGTTACGTGGCTTTTATGTATTTGCTTGTCTTATAAATCATTTAGCTTATAAGAACATTAATTGATGAATGTGTTGTTATATGTATCTTGTAGGTGGTTTTAGGTGGACCGTTTCTTCCTCATATCGAAGACATTCTTCGTTCTAAAGCAGCATCAATGTCATCACCAGTTATATTGGCATCTGATATTGGATCAAATTCTTCAGTCAAACGCATCATCGACAGAAACGGGGTCGGGCTTCGTCAGTCCTGTGAGATTGTAATACAAAATGAGAAAGATGATAAACCAGTAAGTATATGGAGCAAGAGTTTCATTTGTGTGATTCTTGATATATCAACATATTTGTACATAATAAATGCAGATTGTTGAGCTTGGTGATGTGAATCTACGCATGCTTGGACATCACCAGCTCCAAAATGCTGTTACCGCCACATGTGTATCTCTCTGTCTTCGAGATCAAGGATGGGGGAGAGTTACAGATGAAGCTATTAGGATTGGTTTAGAGAACACTCGTTTACTTGGTAGAAGTCAGTTTCTGACACCAAAAGAAGCAGAGGCTTTACAGTTACCCGGAGCAACAGTGCTTCTTGATGGAGGTTTTGTTCTCTCTTTGCCTTTTTGTGCTTAAATCTCGCAACCATCGGTTTATGTTTCTGTTTAATCTTGGTTCTGTTTTCTCAGCTCACACGAAAGATCTGCGCGAGCTCTAAAGGAGATGATACAGAAGAATTTTGCAGAGAAGAAATTAGTGTTTGTAATTGCAATGGCTAGTGACAAAGACCATGTCTCCTTTGCTAAAGAGATTCTCTCAGGTCTAAAACCAGAAGCAGTGGTTCTAACAGAAGCTGATATTGCTGGATCTAAGGTTAGATCAACGGCCTCTTCTGTTTTGAAGGAATCATGGACAAAAGCTGCTGATGAATTGGGATCAGGGTCTATGGAAGTTTCAGAAAACAAAACTGTGTTTGACGCTTTAAAGCTTGCATATAAGATTCTCACCGATGATGATATAACCGGTGACTCAGGAATGGTTATAGTCACAGGTTCACTTCACATTGTATCCTCAGTCTTAGCTTCTCTTCAACATTGATTTTCTTCCGTTTTTGTTACGTTTGTCATTGTAACAACAAAGTTTGTTTGTACACCGAAACTATATACAAATCCAGACCGGACTGAAATGAATCGAATAACTCAAACCAGAACCGATCATTACTTTAAAGTTTAAACTAAAAGTTGAACCGAATCGAAAGAAACCAAAATTCAATCTGGTAACCGACATTTCATTAACTAAAATTAGAGGAAACCGATCTGAAATACAATTCCGGTTTAATTTTCGTAACTCCAAAGTAAACCCGAACAAACAATTAATTTCTGTAATTTTTTAATCGAGGTGATCTCGTCCGTTGATCTATGGTTATTACAGTTTTAATCTTTGGCACTAGAGTGTCACATGGTATGTGATACCGTATATAATAAGGTTTAATTGGCAACCAGTGTCGTCTATCTAACAAAGTTTAATTGGAATATGGGACAAATGTCGAGATTTATTTGAGGTTAGTGAAACATGTTCAAATTTGGTGCACAGGCAAGAAAATATTCAATGATTGGAGAAGATTACTGGTTAGGTTCTTTTGATGGAGCAACTGTCATTGGAAACGCTGCAGCTTGGAGAATTCGGTGCACAACCATTGCCATGGCAATTGTGGCCATTTTCTCACAAATGTATGAATTGGGTGATTTCTTCTCTTCCATGGCATTCAAAGCAGGATGTGAAGAGGTTTCGAGGATGAAAGAACATATTTTGTCAACATTTGGACATAATCTTTACCTATCATTACTAAAAAAAACAATCAAAACCTAAACATAATTACGTAAGCAAATTGATGGAGAAATATTCAAATAAAGCTAGATGATTAGTTGTTGATTATTAAGACCAACATTTTAAGTCAAAAGGCAGGACAAGTGAAGAGGTTTAATTCACTGATCATCTTGTGTTTTTCTTTTTCTTTTGTGAGTGTTGTTCAATATCCTTAAGTGTTTAAAATGCTCTTTTTTTCAAAAACGTATATAATTTTGGCTATTGAGATTGATCTGTTAAGGAAGAACAGACAATGACCAATAGTTATGCAAGGGAGATGCTACGATTTCTTGCCCCATAAGTTAACTAAGAATATTATTTGAAAACGTTAGATTCATGGTCGGAAAGTTGGCAAACGAGAGTTCTTGTCAGATCCACACACGTATTCTTTGAGTCTCAGATTCATTGTCTCTGTAAATCGGACGAAAGGGACAAGTCCATATGCACCAAAAATAGAAATGGACGCTTGTATATAAGGAACATATGAAAAGAGAATTGTTACTCACTTTATGAATAATCACAAAATGAACTAAACTTTAATGTCTTTCGCTGTTAAGGTGTTTGTTACAATGTGGTTTTAGGTTCGGAAGAGTTGGCTTGGCTTTGCGCACGAACAGAGGGAAAAAGTCACATATATGATCATGGGAACATGTGAAAGTGAAACTTACAAGTTTTTCTATCTGATTTTTAATATGCACACTCCATCGCATGAATAGTATCTCCATTAAATGACAAAGTAGTTCAAACCTCAGCGGGAAAAACCAAACGCCGTCGATTCTATTATCGTGTTCAAGTTTCTTTGCAGCTATAGCGCCATCTAGTACTCGAGGCAAAACAACATCCTGCAAGAAGTGACAAAAGGTGAGAGAAGAAAAGGAAGTAAAAGTTTTTTATCATTCAATCCCTCAAGTAACTTTGACAGGGACTAGAGGATCTTTAGCCAACGAAAGCTCTAACCGCAAAAAGATGTTATTTTCCCTAAAGATTCTTAAGATTTCTAGTAAGCATATACCTAGTAGTTGGAACCCTCTGACTGAGGCAGACACTTTCGGTTAAACAAACAAACATCATGTGACTACAGTTTCTTTTCCAATATCCCACATCGGTTGTGTGGAAGGGTGTGTAATAACGAGGGGGCCTATAAAAGGAGAAGAGGTTACATCGTTGAGAAGTATGATCCTTCAGGCAAGTTAAAAGGGAAATGAGGAATGGGTTTAATCTCGCATAATTGCGTGAAGAGCGTTCCGCTCAAAGCCTGTTACGACAATTGGGCGCTCCAATTTTCATATCATCTGATCCCTCTCTTGTTTCAAGTTTTTCATTTTTTTCCTTTTTTTTTCTGAATTTCAAAAACTCATTTTTCAAAAGATATTTCGAAGAGTATTTTTGTAAACCGTTTTAATTTTATAAATATTTCTATTTTTAGTAGCAAGCTTTTTTATGTGTAATGTTTTCTCAATAATACTTAAACAGTCCCTAATCCAATAATTCCGTTGGGTGCTACCCATAAATAATCAGTTTAATTCTTCATAATCTTTACTAATTTTTCATGATTTCGGAAAGTGATCAACTGACTTTACAAATTTCGAAGGAACCAATAATATCACAAACAAATTGTATGTATCAGTGTATTGTTTATGTATGTAAATTACGAATTCAACAAAGTCGAAAAGTTGACTTTAATTACGAAAAACCAAGTCAGCATTGTGAAAAATTGAATTGTAAAGATGGAAAATCAAGAAAATTCTTGTAACGATTTAATACCGTTTGGTAAAATTCTAACTTAAAAACGCATTCATTTGTTTAAAAGTAACAAATATCTAAAGGACACATTAGTTTTCAGCAGCTGGACCAGCTCCTCCACCGTAGCTACCAGCTCCACGGCCAAACCCAGGCCTTGCTCCAGCCCCAGGAGCCTGATTAATCACAAATTGTTACATTACACACCAAACTAAAAAAAAGATACAATACAATCTCGTAACTCCCATAAAAAAAATGTTGTATTTGTCCCATTTTGGCAATCATGAAAGAGGTTTCAGAGAAAATGGAATGAGGAAACACATAGTGGCAGAGAGTATAAAGTAGTCAACGAACACAAGAACACAAAAGGTCGTTGAAAAAACAGTGACTTGCTCAAAAATTAAGCTGATCAAGAAGGATTCTAATGCGTGACAACTACTACGAAGTGATTGCAAGATGACATAAAGCAAGAAACAAGTATCAAAAGGACACACAGTTCACAGAGAAGGACAAAGGATTAGAGAGTGTACCCTGAAAGAAGGATTGTAATCAGCAGGAGCTCCACTCTTGTCACCCAACTCTCCACCTGATCTCGGTCCTCCACGGTATCCATCTCTGTCACCAAACCTCCTCTCTCCCGGGCCACTGCAAAACACAAATCATAAACAGTCACATATAACGTACTCCTCGAGCAGGATTCAATTGAAGACATGGTAAAGTGAAATATTTTACCGGGGACGGTCACCAGGAGGGCCTCCCATGGGACGACCAAGAGGCTTCTGTTGCTTGTTCAAAGTGGCGGGAACAATCTCTGAAGGGAGATTGAGGTAAGTCCTCAGAAAGTCAATGCCTTGGTCTGTGAGGAACCAGTAGTAATGCATCCACGCGAATGTCTCTCTCACGTACTCCTTGGACTTGAAGCTCTGCATCAGCTTGATCACTTGCAGATTCGCAACTCCTTCGATCAGTGGGTGTTGCGCCAAGTTGAAATCCTTTTTAGCAAACAACACTCCCTCTGCACCAAAATCCCCAACCGACGAATCAAATTTCTTAAGTAAGCTATTGTTCGAGGTTTCAAAACAGAATAGAAGCAGTAGGAAGCTCCAAATGAGATGTATGTACCTTTGAAGAGGTACTTGGAGACATCGCGGCGATTCTTCTCCGATATGAGCTGCAAGTAGGAGAAAACAACATTAGCTTATACAGCTCGGTTTTTCGCAGCACTCGAAATGGTTTAGAGATGTACCATGATTGCAGTGTGATTCAAGGACGCGACAGAGAAGGTGTTTTTGTGTTGCTATGTGACGGCTTTCACTCCTTCTCTTAACGCGCAACCCTAGTTTCTTCGAAAGTCGCCAACTTTATATCGTGCGTTTGTTCTACGGGTTTATGCGTCTCTAATTCGGCGTTTAATTGGCCCGAAGATGAAAAATATTAATGGGCCATTTTGCCATTTATCTATTGGTATTTCCGTATTTGTTATTGATTTGGCCGTGTTCTAACTTGTAACTTGTAACTTGTTAGCAAAATATTGAGTTTTCGCATTCAATTTATTCCACAAAATTATGGTTATCCAGATTGGTCAGATCAAACCAAGACACGTAGTAGATCAAAGCGGATATTACATTTATATTTGTCAAACCGTCCCAAATAGAGAGATATGGCTTTAGCATGTTAGAAACCAACAAACAAGAGTGGAATAAATAAAAAATACTACATTGGAATGCTTGCGGAAAATAACAAGAGGAGGAAAAAGAGATTCAAAAGCAAACACGATAATGATAATGATCTTCTAATACTTCATCTTCGATGACCGACCGAGTGGCTTACACTTTCTTCTAGGCAAAATTTGAGCAATACGAGGTCAAAGAATTCCTATTCTTTTTCCAATTTTTTAGTCTTTTTTTATGGATAACCTTGTTATTTTCCTTTTCAAAAAGATAAGAATTAATCTTTGTTTATATATAGAACAGTAAGATGATTGATTATGTAAATCGTTCTATCTAAACAAAACAAAAAAAAGCCAAAGCAAAATGCCAAAGAATATAAATGGTGTTGGTTCCATTGTTTTCTTCCTGGTTTTTTTATTGATCTCAACAGGTAATCTGTATTATAATATATGTAAAATGTTTGTTAAATGTTTTCAGTTTTTTAAACTCTATTACTTTTTTTAATGGCTATACATATTTAGTTCAACATTGTTATCTATTTCTTTTCTATTTATTTATCAAGATATAGAATTTTCTCTACCTTTTTTCAATAGTTAAAATAGGACATTAAAACTTTCACAATTAGAATAACAACGTCATAACTGCTTCATATAAAAAAGTAAACGTTTTCTCCGCACATTTGTGCGGGTTAAATCCTAGTAATATATATATTTTACAATTACATCAATGTGAATATTTATGATATATTTTATGATTTATTTATTTAAATGATTTAGTAACTTTTAGCATATTTTATTATTATTGATTAGCGATAAACACAAACGGAAAACAAAAGTTATAATGTTTTCATTTTTTAAAATAACAACAATATACTAAATTATCCAAATATGTTAGAAAAACACTTATAATTCAAAAGTTGACTTCGTAAACAATACAAACCCAAATTTGTTTGATGATTTTTATACAATAGCTTGGTTTTTTATTTGCTTGGCAAAAGAAACATGTTTCTGTTTTTATTTCACTCGATCGAGAAAATGTTTAAAAAAAAAAAAAAATCTTTAATCATACACTTCCAGCAATAAATAAACTAAATTTTTCGTTATCCAAAATAATTTTCTAACTACGTTGAGATAACTTATATAAAGATATGAATCTAATAATATAAAAAAAAAATGTCAAATAATTTTGTATATTTATTCAAAATGATTTGAACATTTTGTTAACTAAAAATAAATTTTGTATATTTATTCAAAATGATTTAAATATTTTCTTACTCATGAATCACTATTATTCTATCAGGAATGACAAATGCTCAAAAGAAAGATCGTTATTGTGAAAAAGTACCAAGCAAGTATGCGGCACCTGATACATGTACTAAAAAAAATGCTGCTGCTTTGTGCAAACAAAGTTGTAGGAACCAGTATATCACAAAAGGCAAATGTCAAATACTTCCACGTCTAGGGCCGAAAAATTCTTGCTACTGCTACTTTTTTGAAGGCGAAGGTCCGAGTTGCAACTAGGAAATCGATCTCATGGAGATTCTTGGGGTTGTTTCATCTTGCTAACATCGGTTAAGTATGTGTGTTTTTTCCTTTTAATTTGTGGCTTTTGATTTTAATGCATGCATTAAAGGTCAATGAAGTAATCGTTGGCTTGTGGTACTTGTTGTCGCTAATAAATAAAGATTGACAAATTATATACTCCATATGCTTGTACAGGATTTGTTGACACGTGGCCGATAGGTAAGATTAAAGAACAAATTTGTCGTTTTAATTTATTAGAGAAAAGAAAGAAAAAAATATTTCTTCCGTCTCAAGATTCTTTATAGTATGTGATACAACTTTATCAATTAAAAATCTAAAAAAAAACCCAACTTCATAAGAGAATGGGTGCAGAAATGGTCAACTTTATCTACTAACTAGGAGGTATGTGTGATACAAAACGTTTTTTGAGTTATGTTGACAAGCTGACTTCAGCTGCAGCTGAGCTTATATTTAAGTAAAATGGAAATAGCTCATAAGGGTTTTATTGTGCAAAGTAAAGAATAAATGAAAGAACTTTCTTGTCACCAAAATCAAAATGGTTTCTTAGATTGACAATAAAAGAGATGAAAGGGAGGCAGCTCATAAGTTCCCTTTCACAAAGAATCTCTATTTATATCTCACTCTACATGTCTAGAACCCTAGTTGCATGGACTTTTGGTTTTATCTTAATTGGATTGGGCTTTTGCTCTAAATAGACGTATGATAATTGCACCAACATCCAGCGAGAGTTGGAATAAGTGGTCGCAGACCAAATAGCTTTAAACAATGGAACTTGCTGGAGACAAGTAAATCCTTAGTGGAAAAGAACCCTTGTCTTGAGCCTTCAACGTGAGGAGGAGGTGTCGCTTGCAGGGCCAATCTCAATTGCGGGTTTCTTCATCTAATGGAGGGAAGTCTCCAACACCGAAATTCGTTAGCCGACTTTGGAGTCTCGAGGTAGCCCCATTCGTCTATTAGGGGACCAATCTCTAGCCAACTATAAATCAAACCAGAATGATGTAGTGCAAACATTCCCATTTCCCAATCTCGCACCTTCTTGCCATTGTTTCTTTTGAAACTTGTGATTGTATTTACTTGCTATCACAATTCCTTTGTGTCATCTCTTGCTCCAAGTGCTATTTGTTTGAGAGAATGAGAAGAAAGTTGTGATGGTGAAGGAAAGAGCTATTACAACATGGTCAAATGTATCTTCTTTCTTTTTAGTTACTTTGTACAAAATCTTTTTCCATTAGATTGGTAAGATTCATTTGCATAATTTTGATTTCTTCTACCATCTTTTGCATTATCTACAGGCAACAATTCTCTGGAAACTTTTGAAAGTTACGACATAACATAGCAAAAGGCAGAGCACGTGTTTGGAGAGAGCATTATTAGATAATATAAAAATTGAAAACAGAGGAATTCTAATTTTGCCGGAGCATTATTATGACCATGTCGTGGCATTACCGAGTTTCGATGGCCGAGAGAGTTACGTGGGTCACAGTCCAAGTATCTTCGTTTCGCGTTTTGGGAGACGAACGATTTCTGCTGACACAAAAGCCAGGCCGTCTTGGCTGATCCATTTCTGTTGTGTCGCTAGTGAGCATCAAAACGACATTCGCCATGGGCGGTCTATCCTCTGCACATTCTTGCACACAAAGGAGGCCGATCTGTATGCATCTTAAGACCTCCTGTGGTCGAAACGTTGATGGTGATGCTTCTTCCATTACGGGATCGACCATCTCCAGCCCTTTGCCTTCCTTCCAGTTCCTCCATACCTGTTCATCCAGTTCCTCAGTTAGCTATTCGTTGGAGCGCTTACGGTTTATCAATATCAAACAGGAAACGAATTCCATTTCCTTGTCTTTCAAAAACTTACATAGTTTAGAAGGCTTTCCTCGTCCGTGTGGAAGAAGTCAGAGTTCTTCTTACCTGAGATCATCTCAAGTACCAAGACACCGAAGCTGAAAACGTCAGACTTCACCGAGCATATCATGTCTATCGCATATTCCGGAGACATGTAGCCGCTGAAAAGAGAAAAGTTTTGAGATTGTTAATTAATTACTTGTTGTATCCACATGAGTTAGTTATTCTAATGAAAAGTTTTGACTTTTGAGATTGAGATTGAGATTGCTTACTAAGTTCCAGCCACGCTTGTGTTACTAGCCTCTGCTCCATCGCTTTCAAAAAGTGTGGCCATCCCGAAATCCGCAATCTTTGGGATCATATCTTTGTCCAGCAAGATGTTGCTGGGCTTCAAGTCTCTGTGGATCATTCGACACCGAGAATCTTGGTGAAGGTACAAGAGTCCCCGAGCGATACCATTTGTGATTCGGAGTCGCTTCTCCCAGTTAAGCAGAGCACTTTTTGTCTTGTCTGTGAAAATGAAGCCAAAGTCAGTTTTAGTTCCCGAAACATAACATTCAAACAAGTATTAGAGTAGAGTATGGCAAGGGTTATACAAGTTGGTAGTTACTAACCGAAAAGGTAATTATCAAGGCTGAAATTCTCGAGGAATTCGAAGACCAGAATCATTTCTTCCCCCTCAAAGCTGGACAAGATTTCTGTGCTGGACGCTAGCGATCATCTTCACCTCGTTGGTGAAACCTTCGATCCCTTGATCAGACCTTTTGGACAGCCTTTTAGCTGCGATTACTTGCCCGTCAAGTAACGTCCCCTGTCACCATATTTGACAAGTTACACTGAATCTAAGCACGCACAATGATATATACTGTGTATATTAAGTAGAGTTTATGTTATTATGTAGATTTACCTTGTAGACGATACCGAAACCTCCTCGCCCGATCTTGTTGGAATCAGAAAAGTTTCCGGTGGCAGAGGCAATCTTAACTAGCTCCATGGGCGCACATTGGAAAGCGCCTTTGTTTATTTAAAAATAACATAAGTAATTAGTTTCTTCTAATCTCTTGTGCTTGACAATCTTAATTCAAAAGAATGACAAAAATTAAAAGCATACCGATGGGTGCTGCTGCTTCAGTAGTGGCACTTGGAGTCGGTGGGATCTTGTTTCTTTTCCATAAGCAAATCAAAGCGATGATGATAAGAGCCACAAGAAGCACAGTCCCGACTCCGACAATCAAGCCTAATGTTTTGCTACTCTCTTTTTTTTTTGGTTTTTCTTGGGAATGTCTCTTTTCCTCTGCTGCCGCTGAAGAAAGAAGAACACAAGTAAAAGAGTCAAATAAAACGATTTCTCGGTATAAAGAGATTGTGGAAACCAGAAAGAGAGAAAGTAACACTAGCCTGCATCATTTTCTTCCAACCTAACGAAGAGATCTTGGCCGGCAAAGTTGTTCTTGCGGAGATCGAGGAGCTCTCCGACCCAAATAACACAGCCTGAGCCGCCTTTTTGCATATTCGCGTTTGCATATGCTCTACATTTGCAGTTTCCGAGGCATTTCTCTCCGCATTCCTTGAGCCCGATTCCCATGTCGACGATAGACTTTGAAGCATCAGGCAACTTCATCGTCCCAAGCCGCACAAAGCCATCTGTATAGCAGTTCAACCTTGATTGCCTCTCACACCCACCAGCCCAGTCTAGCGAACCCCATGCTTCGTGGTCTCTCGGCTTAAACCCTGGTAAGCAGTTGCAGATTCTTGAGGTGGTTGTGTCGCACACACCATTTTCTCCGCATTTCCCGTACTTACCGCACGCGTCATCGGGTAATATACGCTCCACCGGTTTCCACCTTTGCTGTGGTTTTGGAATCCACGTAGTCCGATTCAGGAAGCCCCCAGCAGTCAGTTTCAGAAGTGAGAAGATTGTATCGTTGGAGAGAGTGAAGTAATAAGTGGCCTCCTCTGGGGTCACCGTGATCTTGTACCTCCCGTAGGTGAACTTGCCGCTTCCCTCGTCTATGTCGTTTCTAGTCATCCATGGATCATTCCGGAATTCGGGCACACCTTTCTTTCGAATGAAACTCTGCACAAGCTCATTACGTTCTACACCGTATGTATAATCCCCTGACGAAGGATCGTCGTCGCTTCTCCAAGATTGCAAGACTCTGTTTATGTTTGATTTGGCGTCCCAGCCGAGCTTCATGCCGGAGATGAGAGTATCTGTCGGAAAGTCAAAGCTCTGCCAAAGAAACCCTGCTGATGAGTCCTCGTTAGCATAGCGCAGCACAAGATTCCCGTTCTCCATTAACTCTCCAATCAATAGCGACCTCTTGAGACTTGTGCTAGGTTGGTTCGTCCACCAGAGAGGCGTACCGTACTTATCTAGGAGGACGAGGTTACCTTTCGAGATCGTGAGGCTTCCGTTGGGCTCGGAGAGTGGGCTCTCTCTGTTCGCAACCCACACGACTTCCTTAGGAAACCTCCGGTGCCATATTCCGAGGTACCAACGATCAACTACTCCGTAATTTGGGGCCGCCATGTTTTTCTTCGTGAAAATGATGCGTGCTTTAGAAGCTATCGGCTCTCTCGATGATACTCTCGAATCATATCTTGAAGAAACTTGGATACTAGTACAACTACTTATTAACATGAATATAAATAATATCACACTCATTTCTTCTCTTTCTTTTCTTTTCTTTGCTCTGCTTTGCTTACTTTTCTTATTATAGTTCGTCTTCTTTCTTTATAAATCCTATATCAAATACTGTTTTTTTCTTAGTCTTGTTGTTATTATACATATATACTGTGTTGTCGACCAAATATGATATATTTCCACACAGTAATTAATTTCTCTCGTTGGAAAACATAGCATATGTTTGTTAGTTATGCCTGATCGTCCACTATTCTCAACAACATCCGCCCATTTACATTCAAGGCAATGTTCCCTATACATAAAACTGATTTCGAATCCATAAAGAAATTAAACAAAAGAAATCTTACGTACTTCAACTTAATCGAAATCAAATTGGGAAACAACAATGATTTATAAACCAAATCATACTATAGTTCCTATTGCTCCATATCATTTTCATATATCATAGTCAAATAGTACCTAGTACCTACATCAAAATTGAATCAAACTTTTTTTTTATATTTAGTCAAACAGTTCCATTTGGATTTCTGAAATACCAAAAATACCAAAATGCCAATAATTCTTTTTAAGCAATAAATTATACACAACCACAATTATAGATATCTAATCTAATAATGCGATTCGGTATTTGGATCTGAAATATAGAAAATACAAGGTTAGAAAAATTCTTCTTCTTTCTCCTGGTTTTTAGAACGGTGAACCTTGCAATATTTTTTTTTCTTTTCTAAAGAGTTCTTTAAAGAGAGCAATAGGATGATTAGTTACATAAATAATTCCATCTAAACAAAAAAAGAGTAAGAAAAAATGCTTAAAACTGTAAATGGTGTTGGTTCCATGGCTCTTTTCTTGATTTTTTTGCTGATCTCGACAGGTAATTTATATTATAATATATAAATCTCAACATTGCATCACTCACATTGTTTATGATTGATTTTATATTTGTTGTGTATAAGTTATTTAGTAACCTTTGGCATCTTAAATCCAAATATTTTTTTATTATGTATTCGCAACAACCACAAATGAAAGATAAAATTTACATTTGTATTTGAAGTTTATGTTTGAATTTTGTTTAAAGTATTCTATCACAACATTTAATTTTAATTATTCAAATACGTAAGAAAAAACAATCGCTTCTCTATATAATTCACAGTGTATAATATATTTATGTTATGTTTATGATTTCCTGTTTAAATGATTTGATTTAGTAACTGTTAGAATCAGAAAACCAAAAAAACATTATTTATCATTTATTAGCACCAAACACAAACAAAAGATAAACTAAACTTTCATTTTTAATTTGAAGTTTATGTTTTTTTGTTTTGTTAAAAGGCCTTCATTAATTTAAAGTTTGTGTTTATGTTTACGGATTATGTATACAATATTCTGTAAGAACATTCAATTCTAATTTCTCAAACTAGGGATTAAAGCCCCGCGCAAGCGCGGGGTTGTTTGCGATAATTTTTCTGTTTGATTTTATTTATATTCATTGATTTGAAATTTTGAATTATGATGGTTATATGTTAACTTCCATGTTTTGGTTATATTTTGAGTTAACCCAACAATTAACACTAACAATATGATCAATTTTTTATTAAGATATTAACACCTTACTTCATCTCGAGTTTTCTATTTCTAAAATTTAATATGCATTTGACTCAACGTTAAAATTTGTAAACATGGTGTAGAATCGCAATTGCACTCAAAATATGATGAAAAACAAAAACATGTATAACTTCTTACATATATGCTTTTTGTGGTAGCATATGACAATTGATTATTTTCTATTATGTTAGTTTTGTAAATATAAATTGTATTTTTGAAACAAACATGTCACCATTCTTAAAATTTTCATGCTTTTCGTTGCAATGAAATTTAAATAATAACTCGACTTCTATTTTTTAATAAAACAAACTCTAACTCTAATTTTTTATTAGCTTTTTACTATGTTAAATAATTTATATGTACCTTTTTTACTTGTAAGCACATTATAACATTTTTAAATAGGATAAATCCTTTGAGTTAAAACCTAACTATATACTATTTCAAGTTAAATATTTCTTTATTTCATCTCCATTTTATATTACAACTTTCTTTTAACTTTTAACATCAAGATATCACATACTTTATATTAATCAATTAAATTGTTTGTGTATTTTTCTTAGTTTTGTTTATGTGTAAAATAGGAATATATATAAAAATATTAATACACATATATTAAATATCTTAAATACAATTAATGATTTTTTTGCTGATGTGGATAGCCTAGGAGGAGAGAGCAACTCTCCTATTATATATAAGATGTTACAAAGTAAAATATTCACTTCTAACTCAGAAGTTAACTTTAAAATAAAAAATCAAATATAAGTGTTGGAGAATTTTGATAAAACAGATCTTCTTATTATTTGTTGGAACATTTTTTTTTTTTTACTTTTTCATTATTAAGAAGTAACTGTGTGTTTTCATTTTAATCATTAAGAGGTTTGCTAAAAATAAAGTATGTATCTAAAATCAAAATAAGTTGAATATTTTATTACTCATTAATCAATGCTTCATCAGGAATGTCAAATGCTCGGGGTAAAGGTAAAGACGGTACTTATTGTGAAAAAACACCAGCCATATATGCGGCACCGGACACATGTACCAAACCAAATGCTGAGGCGTTGTGCAAAGAAAGCTGCAAAAACCAAGATAGAAAACACAGCATATGTCAAATAAAACCAGGGACACAAAAGAAATCTTGCTATTGCTACTTTATGGAAGATTCTGGTCCAAGTTGCAGCTAAGAAATCTCATGGAAAAACTCTAATTTAATCTTGCTGCTACTACTTTATAATTAGATTGATTAATTATGTGTTGTTGTTTTTTTTTTTAAATATGCTTTTTTATATTATTTTAATGTATGTAATAATCAATGAAGTAATTGTTGGTTTGGCTTACTCGTAGTCGTATTGATTATATATTTCATATCCTAACGACAATAATTTAACTTTTGTAAAAAATGTTCAATAATAATATAAATTAAATTTACAATATGATTGTTGTTTTTAAGTGTAAAAAAAAAACTACTTTCCAACATTCAAAGGTTTGAGTCTTGTTTCACCAATTAAATTACTCCAAGACGAAGGCTGTAAACTGTAAATCTTATCACAATCCCAAAAACACAAATTAAACACCGAAGCTCGGAGCTCAAATTGACTGAGCCGAGATATGTCGGCCATTTTCTTGGTGAAGAAGAAACAGAAACACTTCAAATGAGCTCGGAGCTCAACAAGTATCGGAAATCTACGAGAGAAGAAGACGAAACAGAGAGATTCACATTAGGGATTCGTTCATTTGGCAACCAAAACGGCTTTTCATTCGTTTGAAAACGAATAAACAAGAAAACTAAAACTCGACTCGGTTTCGACTTTCGAGTCAAACGAATTTCGGTTCGGTTTGCCACGTCACTGTTCTTAATCTAAAAAGTAAAAACACTCACAATATGAACATAACACACTTTGCAGTTTGCATTACGAGAGCTGCTCTTAATCTTTTCTCTCTACACTGAAAGCAACTTCTGATAACATTAAGAAGAAGAAGAAGAAGAAATGATTATCAGGCTTCTATAAGCCCTGAGTAGATGACGATGCACGAAAATGCTTGTTCCCGTGTTCCGCCGCCGGGTGCTCTGAAGCCGGTCTCTTTGGTCTCAACTGCGAAAATCACACACAAAAGAAGGAGTTGAGCTAAAAATACAACATGTTCAACAGTTTGGTTATTTGAAAAAGCTGTTATATATCCAACATGTTCCACAAAACAGTTTCTTCTGTTTGTATTCCTAACTAAAAATAAAAGATAAGAGGCTTCAAATCAACAAGTGCATTTGAGGATTTGAGAGCTGTTTTGTTTGATTACCTTTTCTTCAGCTCGTTTATAGAAGCTGCGTATTAGTATGTTTTTTACTTCCGTAGTTATCACTGCCACACACACAAAACAAAACAAAGAAATCAGATGTAAATCATAGCATAGCAAACTAGCAATGAATAACATAAATCGCAAGGAAACTCAAGACTGTTGTATTTGAGTAACAAATTAACAATCAGTTAAAAAAGAAAACTCTAACAAGTAACTCTATGTAAAGAAAGTTGTCCAAGTTCATAATCACATGTTCAAGGCCAATTGTAGACTATATGAAGTAACTCAACTCCAAGATCTCTCAGACAAAAGAAGACGATATTGAATGAAAAACAAGACTTTTTTTTACCTTGATCTGGTGGTGGAAGTGTACGGTTGTGAGTAGGGTGATAGGTAGTTGGAACCATCCTCTGTAAACAAAACTCAAATCTTCAATTACCGATCAAAGGTCTAAAACTTTAAATTGTTATCAATGGGATAACAAGATCATGATTATATGATCAATCAATCTGGCAAAAAAGGCTGACTTTTTGGTTCCTCACAAGATCCAACATAAAAAAAAAAAAAAAGATGAAACATGGAGCTTTTTCATCAAAAAAAGTCATATCAAACCCAGAGTAGACATTCGAAAATCTGATTTGATCAATTCATAAATAAAAAAACTGGATCAGATGATGGCAGATTCAGAAAACCGGAGTTTTCAATACGACTAAGAAAATCGAACAGAGATACGATTTTAGCCGGATTCAGAAAAGCAACATCAGGTTTTCATTTGCCCCAGGCGTCATATATATGGAAATCGATGAACCCAATTCCAGCGATACGCAAACGAATCGAAGAATACAAGAAAAAATGAAGATGGGAATGGGAGATAATAATCAGGGGAGAACATACAGAGGGATTAGAAGGATCGGAGGGACGATGTTGACTGAAATTGTGAGGATCGAAGGAAGGCAAATCACCTAGAATAGACGCCATTGGAACTGGAAATTGGAAATGTTTGCTTCTCTTCGGAGAGATGAGATATGATTAAAAAGGACGAAAAAAGGGTTTATGGGCTTCTTCAGCTTTTTCCTTTTTAATATTTTCTCTTACAAAACAATGGTTTTTTTTTTTTTTTTTTGCCTTATTGTACGGTAAACAATACAGACAACAAAAATGTCAGAAATTGAAAAACAAAGATTTTATCTTGTCACGCCTTTTTTTTTTTTTTAACACCGGATTGTGTAATATGAGAACGTGCACCATTATGTGCATAAATTATTAACAAATCGCATCCGCCGGGATTCGAAACTCAGACCTCCTAGTGTAGAAGCATTAAATCCCTTCAACCACTAGACTAAGGGGTTTCCACAATCTTGTCACGCTTTTGTATAAAAACAATTCTGACCTAAGACATTTTTCACTATGATAGGGTTGTTGGATCTTACCCGTTTTTCATTGCTAGAGGAATATTCTACCTACATATCGTGTAATTTTTGTTTTCTTTTTTGTAAAAGGATATTAAATCGTGTAATTTTTGAACTATCATCGATGGATGTATTGGAAATAAAACTGAAAAAATATGAGAAACAATTTGTTATAATAAATGTAAATATGCAATAGGAGTTTGATGATGGGCTTGTGTCTTAACTTTTTGTTTTTCTTCGGAAAAGGATAGGAAAGGAGAAACAAAATACATGCACTCATGTTCGCACAAAAGATATAAAGCTTGTGGTGTAATAACTTGTGTTACTAATAAAACGTATATAAAAGTTCATTATAAGTCACGGGAAACTTCCACGATGTGCGTGTTTTTAGAGTAGAAGAGGGGGTTTGATTAATTTGGGAGTCAAACGAGATTCTTAACCACTACAACTATAAGTTGAATTAGTCGTTTATCCGTTTTAAGATCCACGCCATTTCATTTCCATTAGATACTTAGTTATAGGCTATAGTTTACTCAACGCGAGGTCATTTTGATAATCAATCGTAATCAACAATAACACCACATGTTATTATATTCACCCCTCAATTCATTTTGAGATAAAACTCATCTTAGATCTTGACATAATATTGAGTTAGATAGAGTCGTCAAACCCATATCCGAATAAAAAAAGGTGGTTTGATCCAAATGAATGAACATAAATCACTCTACCGACCAATTATTTGAAATCGACGCTCTTCACATTATATCAGTAAGATTTTGCTTACGGACTTGTGGTGATCCAATGTAGTAGGCTTATCAATATATTGTACACCAAACGATAATACAATTTTGCTATTATTTTCCGCACGTCTGATTTTAAATTTTTATTTTGCCTTAGGTATGCATGTAACTTTAAATTATTCCTAAACATCGATCTCATGCGTGAAAATGATACCCTTAAAAGTTTTATTTGATTAAATGGTTTACTAATGTGGTACGACCGTACGAGCTAACAATATATCTAGATCATGTGTGTACTAAGGGAAAAAAACCACACTTTATCAAATAAAACTGAATCAAGTACAGCCTAATTAATGGTTCTCTTATTAAATATCCTTAGGAATATGTGGGGCCGTCGACTAGAAAAAAGTACTTGGGTACGTATAATCTCAATAAAAGTTTACGAGATGACGACATATGTGCCATAAAATGGAGAAAAAAAAGAAAGAGATAGGAAAAAAGAGGGAGATAATAATAAAAGTTTAATAACACATGCAAGGAACTAAATGGAAGTAAAAGGCAGTTGAACAGAAAATTAGGTGAACTTAGTTGGCCTCAATGCCCTTTTACTCTTACTTCTTCTTTCTCGATCTAACGTTACACATCTCTACATATATAGTGAGAAAGAAAGAGGCTTATAGAACAATATGGAAAGACAAGACATAAACCATATGTTAAGCCTAGATGTCGAAAACAACAACAACAACACCACCTTCTCTTCCTTTGTTGATAAAACCCTAATGATGATGCCTTCATTAACCTTTTCGGGAGAAGTTGAGCCTTCGTCCTCTTCTTGGTATTTAGCAAGCTCCCATATGCATGCGCTGCCTCCTGAAAATGATCAAATAGGAGAGAAAGAGAAGAAGAAAGAGAAGGAGACGAGATCGAGGAAAGTTCCAAGGATTGCGTTTCATACGAGGAGTGATGATGATGTTCTTGATGATGGTTACCGTTGGCGAAAGTATGGTCAGAAATCTGTCAAGAACAATGCCCATCCAAGGTACTTACACATTCATATCATTGTGTTAGCGTGTAGATACTTAAATCTATGACATCGTCAAAGTAGATTTCTAGATATAGAACCGATGAAAACAGTTTAATGGCTAGAAAATATTAGCTTAACAACCGGCAGGATCTAGTTTTGTCACTAACACTTGACATACATAGTCATATAGAAAATATACGTTTTTGATTAGTTCAACGTATTAGCTTACTTCCTAATTTTTCTTTAAGGTTGTGGCTTTCATATAAATCGTATGAATATACATCAGTTTTATAATTATGTCAGACCATATAAATATAAAATATTATACAACTGATCTAAAATTCAAGAGTTACTAATTAAAAAAACCGATATCAGTAGAAAAAAATACATTGATTATTTCACAACTTATAAGTTATTAATTAGTAATAAAAATGTAAATAAATTTCTATAGAAACCCAAATTTGATTTGTTTTTGTATGAAATAATAGATCAAAATACAAAAACAAAAAATAACGGTGTATGTTTTCACAAAACGCAGGAGCTATTACAGATGTACGTACCACACATGCAACGTGAAGAAACAAGTGCAGAGATTAGCAAAAGACCCAAACGTCGTCGTAACAACTTACGAAGGCATTCATAATCATCCTTGTGAGAAACTCATGGAGACTCTTAATCCTCTCCTCAGACAACTGCAGTTCCTCTCCAGTTTTTCCAGTCTCTGATCAATTCATATTGTTGTAATTAACCAAAGCTGATTAAGGTTTTTATCACCCAACTGACCCATAGCTCCCAAGAGACAACTGTATACAACAGATTTGGAACAAATGTAACAGTTATGAAAGTTGTCTGGAAGTTGCGTTGAATTTAGCTAGCTTCGACTAAAGACTTAAAACTCTCAATACTCCAGTGACAAAACAAATTTTTGGGATTGTTTACAAAAACAGCAGTAAGGACAATTTATTTATTTATTGATCAATATTACGTCTACTTTAATAAAAAATTATATTCAAACCAAAAAAGCTTTTTTACAAGCCAAAATGCTCGAAGCATCATTAGTTCATTACATACAAACAGTGGTATGCCGCGTGCAAAATGATAAGTTACTCAAAGTTCATCATGTTAGTATTGTGCCTAAGTACCAACTTCCCTGGTTCTAGTTCTAGCGCCTCTCAAGTTCTCCATGGTGCTGTGGGTCCAGAAGGCCTCGTGACGTTGGGAGGGGCGGTTGAAAACGGCGGCTGAGATGTTTGAACCGGTGGTGTCTGAGCCGGTTGTGAACCGTGGAGCCTAGTTTGAGACTGTTGGGTAGGTCGGATGATCATGTGGTCAAGAGCAGGGGAATATGATCCGGGCGTAAGACTGCCTCGCATCCTCGGGAGCCAGTTGGTTGTATCAGGAGTAGTCGAGTCCACATCCATTAGGTCACTGGTTCGACTGACGGACTGAACAGGGGGGCTACTTGGGCGCTGCCTTTGAGAGCTTACATGGTTACTGTTTAGACTTCGCTTCAAGTAACTGCTAGGCTGGCCAGCGAGTACTCTAGGGATGTGCGGAGACGATACATTCGCAGGAGACTGGCTCGTAACTGGAACTGGATGCCTCCGGCTCTGCAAAGAACACATATCATTTATCAATCAACATATGAACATTCACTCAAAAAGAGAAGAAACTCTTTTTTCTCAGACAGATACACGAACGAACCTGTAATGAAGGTGTCATTGATGGCGCTTGAGATGTATTCCATCTCTGATTAGAGGTTCTACCAAGATATGATGTTCCGCTGGACGTAACAGGCAAAACATGAGCCTGAGACAACTGAGGAGGTGGATTCGGTACAGTGAAAACTGTGGAAATAGGCGCTGGTCTATCTCTTGGGGATGGCGTCTGTGAGATTGGATCTTGGGGCATTGTTAACTGGGTTAAGTTTGGGTACTCTTGATCTATGATCTCCTGATCGAGTGAAATCACATCAGAAATATTAAACAAAGAACTGTAATCTTCGTCTGAAGCATCTTTGCTTGCGTTGTTGTTATTGGATTGACCCTGAGCATCTAACAAGCTGGGCTTTCGGTCCACAACCTTGGTGGTGTCACCAAATAGCTCCATTTCAGCGTCGTCATCATCATCCCCGGTAAGATCCAAAACAACCGGACCAGAGTTTAAGAAGCTATCCGGATCTTCAAGATCATGAATGATAACATCACGCACAGGTTCCTCAGCCGCATTACTTTCCTTTGCAACTTTCCATGTGCCACTAGCCTCGATGATCACATCAACAGCATTCTGTCCCGCATCTTTCAATATCTGAGGATATGAATACGAGACAAGTTCTATATCAAGATGGCAATGCGAAAATGTAGCGGAATTACGACATAGATAGTTACTTGCCTTGACCATATTTTGATCTAAACGGATCTCTGGGTAGCAAACAGATTGATTGCAATGTGGGCAGCGCCAGGATGGGTTTCTCATGTTTATGTGGTAATAGTTCCAGAAATCAAAACACTGCACAAGAAAAGTTACTATATCACTTACAAATATCAAGAGAAAAAGAGGATAACATATACGATGTCTATAGATAAGTATGGAAAAACAGAGAATATCAGAATCAACAAGCAAAGACGATCACCTGAAGATGTTTACACAACTGGCCCTTGACTGGAAGCCTGATCCGGCTGCGACTGTTTTAATGGAGAGTAAATCAACAACCAAAGACAATCATAACATAGCACAGTAGTCCATAGAAAAGCACAAGTGGTACCTTATAGGACATTTGAGAGATACTCGTGATGGCCCCTCGATGACGTCAGAATCTACAGACGGAAAAAGAAGAAGTACAGTGAATGTACAAGTCATTGAATGATTTAAAAACGGAAAAGTACAGCGCCTAAGAGAAAACTTCCTCTGTCTCCTATCTTATGCTCTTGAATTACCTGGATTTGACTCAATGACTTCGGACTGAAGGTAATCTTTCAGCACTGGTTTTGCAGGTGGCAGTATCACTCCCGTAAAAGCAATTACGATGATGTAATGACCTTTGGACAATATTGCACAAGGATTAGAAAACATGAACTACAGAGAAAAGGGTATATGAATAAAACTGAACACATACCCTTGCAATTCCCCATCACTTGTAAGAGGTTCGTTCCGTATTTGAGAATAGCAGTAACATTTGATGGGAGTTGAGGCCCTGTATCCTGGACAAAATAAAGATCGAAAATTAACAAATACACATGCACATAACTAGTTCAGAGAAGCAACATTTCCTCAAAAATCAAATTGCACAAACCATTGTGATATTAACTCTCTTCTCGACCATCTTCCCGTTTAACAAGAAGCTGCGATATACATAAGAAAGCAAGGAAGGTTAAATTGGATCATACTTCGTGTCAGTGATTAAAAGTAGCAACTTCTTTTCTCATACCTGACTTCTGGAGGATTTGTAATACAGGCAGATGTGTCTATGTTGTCTGTCTGGACAACAAATAACAGCTGAAGAGCAAACAAGAATCTGGGGTAAGTGAATCATACGCTAACCAAATGGCACAGAGAGTGGATACATCAACAAGATGAAACAAACATTCAAAATGTACATGAAGGATTGGTAGATATAATGCAAGCAATGGTCGAATTCTCATATTGTATGTAAGAAAAAAAGCATGCACATGGCCTCCTAATTGCACAGATAAAGATAGAATTCAATATGGACAGATTTAGAATGATATCAATGAATAATAGACAAGCCATACATACAATTCTCTCTTGGAGAGAATGCGGCATCTTCTTTGAGATATGGAAATCATGCGCCATCATTGTATAGCCAGTCTGCCATGTAAGGAAAGCCAGCAAAAAGAGAGAATAAGAACCATTAGAGGGTAACAAATCAGAAATAGATGTTTAGACCACAAGACAAGCTCACCTTCACTTCAAGAGAAACAAGAACATGCCCAAGCTTTACAAATGGATAGAACCTGGGATCAGAAAGAAGTAAATTTAAACAAACGTTTAAAGAAGATTTTGCCAGTGAATACTATTCTTTTCAACAAGATTTTGGCACCGCTTAGCTAGCCTATAATAAAATTTAATAAATATTCACGCTCCTTATAAGTTGCTCGAGTAAAATCAAACTGTCGAATAAACAAAGCCGTACGTTATAAGGACGGTGAAAGCAAAACCTACCTCTCAATGATCTGCGATAACGTACCACCGGGACTTTTAACACCAGGGCTAGTGTTTCCGGAGCTCCCAAAACTATTCTTCATCTAGATAAGAAGGAATACATTAGTATCCTCGTAATCAAGATAATCTTCTATCGGAGATTACGCCAGGATTCGGAAGAAGACAGACCTCATCAGCAAGAGCGGTAAGTTCTTGTCTTTCACTCTCCGAAAACCATCCCAGTTGACAAGCATGCTGTACCATTAACACAAGTCAAGAGTTGAAATGACAAAACCATAGATGGCGATAAAGTGGAAACCTTTTGACTTCAAATCATTCTAAATCAAAGTGGCATTCATCGTAAACTAGCGACAAGTAATTAACGGAAAAGTACTTGTTCAGAGAAGAGAAGCATTCTCCAGATTACTAATCCAAAACTAAAAATTGCCATATAACTCTTATTCTGGTGTTACCTTAACTGAGATCAGCAGCACCATAACCGCCGTCTTGGTGTACACATCAGTTTTATGTTGGCTCACCTACACCACATTACACAAGCCACTATCAGTAAAGTAACAAATGGCTTCCACAAATCCAGTCAAAATCCAAATTTGCCTGACCAGAATCAGCCTTGAGCTTCAATAATACAACAACAAACCTGTTTCAGCAACGAGGGAAGCTCTTCAAGCTTCTTTGGAATTTCACTATTCGCTATTGCAAAATCAATGCCTCTGCAACCATCATCAAAATCCAAAAAAAAAAAAAAAAAATCATTCACGGAACGAAACAAGCATTTCATCGAATAAGCAAGGCCAAATCATCAAAAATCGATTAAAATTCGAAAACCCAGAGATTGAGAAACCAAAGACTACTCAAAATTTAGGATTGTTATGTGATTTCTGTTGAGAGAGAGAGAGAGAGCGAGAAATTACTTAGCGAGAGAGATGCAGCAGATCTGGAACTCCTTAGTGTCACACTTAGCTCCGGGTTGAATGTGATAACGTAAGCGTTGCGTGACCGACGCCAATCGGAAGGAATTGACCAGAGCCGCTGCCGCTTTCTCCGGCAAGCCATTTCCAGCCACCGGTCTCGTCGCCGTAGACATCGAGTAGGTGATCACTCTCCTTCGGGTATCAATTGATCCGTCGAAAGTTAATCTCAGCAAATCCAAACGAGTAATAATTAACGTTGCTCAATCGAAAACCCTAAAATTCTCCAACACCTCTCTCTCTGTTCCATGTAACGGACAGGCAAAAAGAAGAACAATAATAATAATAAATGCATTTTAGGACAGATTAATTTTATATTTCGAATTTGCAGTTTTGGGTCATAAATCGGGATAAGATGTTTTGGCCCATTTTAGCTGAGTGTCAAATCTAATAATAGAAACAACAGTGAAAAATAAATTGATGTTGTCTACAGAATTTCCATAAATACCACTTATAACGTTGTATAAATCGAGAGTGACATCAATGTAAAGAATCAAAGCAAAACTCCAGTAGAAATTAAAACTGTCTCTTTGTTGACAGTTTGTTCTCTTCGCAGTATCCAAATTATTTCTACGAATTTTCCATGGTTTAATCTTGTCAAATCTGCAACCTAATTAAAAATTTAAAACAATGAATGGTGACGGTAAATGATTTCCGGATTTCTTCAATGGGAAATTTCAAACTCAACGTCTCTTTTGAATATCCCCTCAATCACACTCGTGTCCAGCCACCTCTCAGCAAAAAAACATTCATAATTTGTAATGAGAAAACACAAACACTATTGTGTAGAAGTTATGTATGTTACAAAATATATATATATATATTAAAAAATATATATATATATATACATTATTTTGATATTTCTTTTAAATTAATGGTGGACTTGGTGTACATTTGACAAAAAGATGTTTTTTATTAGGAGAACATTTTGTCTAATAACAAAACCAAAGCCATTGCCAAACTTGTATCAAAACCAGGACTAACAACCATATCAAAAATATCTGAACCAAACTGAACTCCTTTAGCTCTGCAACATTTTCTTTTGATCTCCACCACTTCCCGGTTCGATGAAACGTACATTATTTTACACGATTTACATTTGTATGATCCTTTGATGACGTAGGAGTTCTTCTTATCAAACGGACTTGAAAATACGTACGCTAAAATGTCGGATTTGGTACTTAGGATATTCATCTTAAGGTTTTTCTTCATGTACCAGATTGGATACTTTGCTGCTTTTGCTTCTCCATTCGTATCAATTGCTTCATATATTCCCCAGCTATCTACTAGCGTAAATTTCTGAAAGATACAAACGGAATTCATTTAATTATATATACATGACCTGACTAAACATTAAAAATAAATTGAACAGATAATAGTCAAAACTTTTGTGCTGAATGGAATTTGTATATATATATATATTCCTGATGAATATGACGGGTTATACGATATTCATGCCAATACAATTGTCCACATGCAGAATACTAATGTACTTTTGACGTGACCGATTGTGGACGCTGGTGTAGTTGGTCCTACTCAATCTTAATTTATATTTGACACTATAATGTAAATATTTTCGACATACATATCTTCTAATTAAGAGTGTCTTTTGCAAAATCGTCACAACATCAACGGAAACAAATATCTAGATTCATGGATTAATGTACAATTCTCTACAGATGGCCGACCTAAACTATTTCATACGCAACTTTATCTGATAATGGTTAGATTAATATGATCACTGTGAGATCCGAATGTAGTAGATATTGATTAGCTTCCAAAATTTTACCATCAGATTCCGGATCTATTTTCCGAATTGCCCGATTATATTAGAGTTTTTCCACAAATATACTCTGGATAAAACTGTTGAACCAAATGGTAAACAATCAAGCAGATATCTATTTGATTCTTAACAATCTGATATAATGTGATAATGTAATCTCCTAAAACTCATTTATACAAGTTCCATCCTGGTTAATGTATAATATAGACTTACCTTTGTACGGTGCATGAGGAGGACGGCGTTGCCATCTTTATCCATGAGGACGAGTTCTTCGGGTCGTGAACGAGCATAATTATCGACCCGGTAAATCAAATCTCCCTTCGAATCTATCACCGTGAATCCTTCGCAACTCACCAGAAGCGATTTTCTCCACACCGTGAGCGTCGTACATGCGCCTCCACTCTCCACGGAGGAGACGGCGACTCTTAGCTCCGGAGGCGACGGGGCATCATCGCCATGGACCGACCTCGAATACCGATGCTTCAAGAAAGGGAACATCTTTCAATTTTCGGTGTTTTTAATTTACTATTTTAAGAGTGTTTAGATCTAATTATTTCTCAACACAAATATGGTAAGGTTTGGTATACACAAGAATATATAGATATGATATATGAGTCATGTGACTGTGGATTGAGGAAATATATTATTTTAATTATGTTGTCTTCTTTAGTGCAACATATAAGGGCTTCTATAGACACTAATTTCATTCTGGCTTCGTAAATAATTATATACTATCCAAAAATAATTAAAATCAAAACGTAACTATCTACAAATCTACAATCTTTCGCAATAAGTTTGGTGCAAAGCTTTGTTGATAAAGGAATATTACTGCTCTCTAGCATAGTATATTCCTGGCATACTCTTTTGGCGAGGCCAGCATCTCCATCGCTGAGACTATAGTATCAATATGTTATAAATATTAAATTAATATAATTTGAAAGAATAATTAAATTTAAATAATTAAAAGAAATCAATTATTTATGTGATACCACTTCATTGTAGAGTCTCTTCTTTTTCTCATACCGTATAGTAAAGGAGAAACGTCTCACACTTTTTCACATCCTCTTTCCTCCTTTTTTATTTGTTTTTATTTTTTTAATGCTATGATATTAAGGTATGAGACCTCTAATATACCCCGTTGGAGATGCTCTTATGTAGCGAAACCGGATTGGGTAGTAATTTGCAGCTAATCAGATTTTAGCTGTGGCAAGCATGTGATTCTTGGCACAGATTTGGATTAGCAGTAGTATTAGGTAAGAACTTTTAGATGATGCGACTATGCAAGGGTACCAAATTTAGCCACGTACTAGATTTGAGGCTCCAAGAATCTTTTCCGTCCGCGAATTATTATTTTATCTGTCCGCGAATCTTTTCTTTTGGAAAAATTAATTAATTTTCCAGCTGTATTATATGTTTAACTCTTAACGAAAATATGATAATGCTTTTGTGGATATGAATAACTATTCAAATCGAAATAATCATTTTTGAATATTCATTGTGGAAAAGTACATAAATAAGTGAGGTTTCATTTTCAAACCTGATTTTGTTGATCTGCGGTTTGCCATTGCTCCAAAAATTCCTCCGAGAGTGATGTAGACACAGTGGAGCACGGTGTTGGACACGTGTCACGACTCAGCAGTAGAAAGGGACCCACTAAGAAGTTAGTTCTCGAAGCCAAGACTAGAGTAATCAAACCCACGTGCGTCAGTCGCGGCATGTTTCTTCAAATTCAGGATATCTTTGGGATATCGTGGCGTGTCAATAGTTTGGGGGCTTAAAATTCACTAAGTTATCAACATGTGCATAAACATCTAGAAGCATTTTTTATCGTTATCAACTTATATATGCTGTGAGATAATGTTGAATTGTTGATAGTGTTGACTCTGTTGAGGCTAGCCTAGCTATATATATATCTAAATATAATAGCAAACTGAATAAATATCTTTTGTGTTCGTATTTTTTTGTTTTTAATCATTTTTTTTTAACTGTTTATCTAAAAGGTTGTATCTTTTTGAGTTACACCTTTTCGCTTATAACCAAACTGGTGAAAAGTCGTAACTTTTGATAATAATGCCTTTTCACTTCTATATATTTTGTGTAAGATTATTTGATTCTTGGGTTACAATATTTTGTTTTTCCTATCCTACTGTTTCTCTGATTTGTTGTTGTTTTCTCACGGTTGTGTATTTCTTTCTATAATCCCTTTCTTACGCTGCAAAGTGTTTCTTATCGATAGTGGTCATGGTGGTGAATTTTGTTCTTGATTAGGCATTTGACTTAATCATGTGATTTGTATGTATACTCATTGTATCTGCCTTGTGTATTTGTGATTGTTATTGCGTTTCTGTTGCAACCATTTTGAATACCAGTTTTACATTCTAATCAAAATTCCTTTGTTTATTTAAAACTCAAACACGGAAATTGGCAGTTTTAAAGTAATCTTGTCTACTCAACTTGCTCGCATTACCAGATTTTCTGATGGTCGCCGTATTGTTTATCTTGTCTGCATTAGAAAGTTTTGGCTTTCTCTTATGTTTTTACTTATTATTTTGCTAAGCCTCGGTTTATAAAGTTGTGACGAAGTCGTTTGTTCAGGTTATAACTGTGATCTCAAACGATCAAAAGTTCTCTTAGAAAGAAATATTTCCTCCTCGGCTTTCAATTTCAGTCTTTGGTGGTTCTAATCTTTGATTTGCAGAATTCCTTACTTTCACTGTGGTTTAATGCCGCATACAATATTAATATGAAGAAAAGAGAAAATGAAAGAGAAAGGGAGTGGCCGGGAGAATGTTGGTTCATGTTTGACAGGTTCGACAATCATACTCTTGAACCATTGCAGAAAAACAATGATCGTCTTCTAGAAAACGAAGCAAACCTTCATATACAATCTTCGTTTTTCTTTACAACCCAAAATGTTGAAATTAATAACCATCAAAATGAAATACAGATTGATGCGGTCAACTCTAGGAGAGTTTTTGTTCATAATAATTTAAACGGTGGAGTTTTATAGTTGTTGGTTTTCTTGGTTAAGAGATGTTTCTGAATGTATCTTAAAGAAAAGAAAAAAATTATTTAAATCAAATACTTTTCAAAAAATCCTGTAAACTATTTATATAGAATAAGAATGTTACAATGGTTTTAAAAGTTGCAAATGTTCATTTGTTTTTTAGAAGTTGCAAATGTTCTAAAGGTTGTAAATTTGTAATGATTCAAAAGTTGCGTTTTTTTATTTCAATGGTTGTGTTTCTTGGTATGTATCTTTACGTTAATAACTGCCTATCATAAAATTTGCATAAATTTTATCTGCGTGCTTGCTAGACATTCTAATGTTTTTAAACAATGAAGGTACGTTCCAATTATATTTGCTACATGACCAATTTCATATATGTTATATACCAACTTATTTTCTTTTGAGATATATACATATAAGATCGTCACACTTGACTGATGATGATAACATATAGTAGTCAATTATTTATCAAACGAGCGTTTTATATTGAAGATTAGAGCCTGTATATAATCTCATATTTTGTTCTGACTTCTCAGTTAATATTTTTTCATAATCCGAAACGAATAAAATATAAATGAATATTGGAGAAGTAATAAAACTGAAAAGTTGTACCCAAATAACCACATGTTTAATTAAAGGTTGTACTTTTGTTTTTTAATACATGGCAAAAATCTTTTAATCTAAGTTACTTACCCAATCTAAACGTACGGTTTATATATAATTTATCTACAGTAATGTGGAAAAAGAACTAAAGTGATTACATTCTAATTTGCTGAGGGTATACGAGTTATGGTTTTGAATAATGATCTGGGAGACTGGGACTTTAGAACAAATAAAATTTACATGACTGCATTCATGTATTATTGATCGTTGAAACTTGTGTATTCCATATGGTTTAAGTTACGTAACAAACGTTGTATACGTAAATGCATTTGCATGATAATTGCATTACATTTTAATATATTTTTTAACAATTTCATCGACCAATGTACTATCGTAATCATTAGAGTCTTATAAATCTGTAATTTGATTAACGAATGGAGGTTCATATTTTTGAGAAGAAAAATGAAGTTATAGGGACATGAATGGAATTCATTATTAATGTGTAGAGAAGTAATTTATCCAAAATATATATATATATATGTGTAGAAGCAGATTCAGTGTGCTCTATAGAAGATTGTATGATTAACTATACTCACGGCTAAACATTAATTGCTAGCCTTTTTCGGATAAAGGCCGTAACCACTGTTAGTTTAAAAACTGAATAGAAATTCAAAAAGATTGTAGTATCAAATTTAAATTGCTTCCATTACTATTGAGTAATACTCTGTGTTTTGAAATATTATCATTTATATGTTTCAGTTGTATATGACATATACGTTCAGGTAACTAAAAGTAATATATTTCTCGAAACGGAAAATTATATGGAAACAAGAAATAGCTCCAAACAACTTTCACCAATTCAGGTTTCATCATTTTTTTATTTTTAATATTTTCTTGTAGAGTTTTGTTTAAGGTGCAATGTGTTAACCGGATAAACATCTGTGGTTAGAGGCTGAAGTTCAAAATAAGTCAAATGATGTCATTGTATGTACCACCCACCACATATCACAAGTAAGTAGTATTGACATGTCATCTTCAAATTTTGTCGATTGTTCATAAATAAGTAAAAAAGATATATGATTAAGATATAATTATTTAGCATGAAAAAGGAAGATCATTTAAATTTAAAAAGAACCGAAAATAACTTAATGCTATGTGGCGGTATAATGCATGTGTCTGGTTTTTAGAAAGCACAGAAAAAGATCGAGTTAGTAAACGGTTTTTGTTCTTAATTTGTTGCAAACAAGGTCGTGTTTTATTACCAATCATGCATGAGCTTCTGTCATTATTAGAGAAACTAAGTGAACCTTTTTTCTACGATATATAAGAGCATATAATTCTACGTCCAGGTGCACAATTGATTATTTAGTTCAGAATACATATGGGATATGGCTTGTATTCTTTTAAGGTGCACATTGATAATTACAATCTTGTAGGGTATTTACTGCCGTGTGATGGTGAGTCGCCAAACTTTTCCCGAATCTTATTGGAGAGTTGTTCTCTCCATCTAGGCTATCCACATCAAAAAAATTCATTAAATTGTTTTTAAGATATTTAATACATGACTATTCATATTTCTTTATATATTTATATTTTTAAATATAAATAAAACTAAGAAAAATACACAACTAAATTACTTAATTAATATAAAGTATGTGATAACTTGATGTTAAAAGTTATCAAAAAGTTTGATATAAGTAAAAATATATTTAACTTGAAATGGTATATATTTACCTTTTTATTAAAAGGATTTATCCTATTTCAAAATGTTATAATGTGTTTACAAGTTAAAAAGTTGAATATAAATTAATTAAGATAATAAAAAACCAATGAGAAATTAGAGTTAGAGTTTGCTTTTTTAAACAAATAGAAGTCGAGTTTTTATATGTAAATTTAATTGCAGTGAAAAACATGAAAATTTTAAGGATTGTGATATGTTTGTTTCCAAATATATTCAATTACAAAACTAACATAATAGAAAATAATCAATGGTCATGAGGCTCATATGCTACCACAACAAAGTAGATATGTATAAAAGTATATATATTATTTTTTCATCTTATTTCGGTGCAAATGCGATTTTACATTATACTTACAAATTTTAACGTTGAGTCAAATACATATGCATGTTTATAGTCTAACAGAAGTAAACAAACATAATATTTATAACATGCTAAAATGTTAGAAATAGAAAATTCGAGATAAAGTGGGGTGTTAACATCCTAATAAAATAAAATAAAAGGACGCGATGTGAGATAAAGTATAAATAAAACTAAACAGAAAACTATTCAAACAACCCCGCGCTTGCGCGGGGCTTCAAACCTAATGTATATATATGATACAATCTACAGAGTAACAGAGGTAACTAATTAAAAAATTGATTCGCTATGATGAATGGATATGATATTGATGAACTAGATAAAAACATGGTTGATGAGCACATCAGTTCAGGATAAAGTAATCCAAAAAGCAAGAAAGATAAATACTATGAGAGAACCAGACATAATAATTTTCGTATTCATTTGATTGGGTATGCTAAAAATTAAAAACAGTATTAATTGCCTTCATCAAATGAAATTTCAGCTTTGATTGTTGGAGATTTTAGTAAAGACATATTCTTGTGTCTCAGAATCCAAATTTCACTTCAATCTGGAGATTTCGGAGTAGACGAAGAAGATCAGACAAATTCGCATATGAAGATTCATATGCAAAGGATTGGGAATGATTGAAACTTCTGGGGAAAACGAATTCGCAAAAGCAAAGTGAGAACGATGATTATTTTTGAAGTGTTAAGTTTATTTTTTTATTAATTTAAAAGATAATAGTAAAATGAATGGATTTTTACGTCACTTAACATTTTAATGTTAATTATCATCACTTTATCTTATTTCCCGTCGGTTCTTAAACTGACTTTAGTTGACTGACGTTAACTCCCGTATTTTTTGTAGTGAGTTATGTTATGTATTGAAAAATATATAAAAAAAAAATATTTATATAAAATGAGTTTTCGCGCGATTTCGCGATTCGCATATGAAGATTCAGATGCAAAGGATCGAGAATGATTGAAACTTCTGGGGAAAACGAATTCGCAAAAGCAAAATGAGAACAATGATTATTTTTGAAGTGTTAAGTTTATTTTTTTATTAATTTAAAAGATAATAGTAAAATGAATGGATTTTTACGTCACTTAACATTTTAATGTTAATTATCATCACTTTATCTTATTTCCCGTTGGTTTTTAAACTGACTTTATTTGACTAACGTTAACTCCCGTATTTTTTGTAGTGAGTTATGTTATGTATTGAAAAATATATAAAAAATAATATTTATATAAAATGAGTTTTTGCGCGATTTCGCGCGGGTTCAATTCCTAGTATATTTAAAAATTCCGATAGTTAATTTAAAAAATTGTGATACTTTATACCAAAAAAAAATCAAAAAAAAAAAAAAATAATAAGTCATGGCTTGTTTGAGAAATCAAATTTTATCATTTACCATTGTTCTACTATCTAAATCTAACAATGCAATGCAAGATGGTAAAATTTGATATTTCTGAGCTAAGACCATCTCCAATATATTCCCTCATTTTTCCCTTACTTTAGTGTTCCCTTATAATAATGTGAAGTTTCTCTCCAATGTGTTCCCTTACTTTTTACACTAAAATAGAATATTCTATGGTATATTCTAAATCAAAATTTATTATAAAAACCTTTTATTTATAAGTTTTACAAAATTAGCCAAAATTATTTCCTATTATTTATTTTGTAATGAATAAACCAGAAATTTAATCCTTTTCTACAATATAAATCATATCATTTCTTTAATATATTGTTTCATGATTAATTATAGTAAAACAAGAAAAATAAAATATTTTGAATAACTTTTTTAAGTTCAAAATAAATAAAAAGTTAAATTTAAAGGATCATAATGCAAATAGAAAACATCAACATCAAAAATAAGGGAGAAGAAAAGTTACACTATATTTGAGGGAAAAAATAGTATTTCCTTATTTTTATGGCAAAAATGAGGGTGGGTTGAAGATAGTTTTTACACTAATGTTTAAAGGGAAAAATAAAAGTGGGTTGGAGACATCCACTTTTGAGGTTTGATATGCAAGGCCATCGAATGGCCCAATAGTTCCTAGTGGATCCTATCTACTGACATCTAACGTTTATTCACATTGATTAACGGCCGTTAGTTACGTGGCAAAAGATGTTACTTCTACGAGAAATTAAATTGTTGACTTCCATAGTGGACCCGGACCCGACTCTACCAACGGACTGGATCGAGTTACAGAAATCGACGGATGAGATTGAATCTCTCTAGTACACGCTCTTATTTTAGAGGCCCCTGTTTTTTTTCTGTCATTGTTCTTTTTTTTTTTCTTTTGTCTATTATCTCACTGTCGTAGCTTTAACTACTAAAAAGTTAGGGTTCTTGAGGAAGGGGTTTCGAGAATCAACAACAAACAGCACAATGGTGGAAGATCACAAGCACGGGGAATCAATCCTGGAAAAGATTGTTGAGAAAATCCATGGCCATGATGACTCATCTTCTTCGCACGATTCCGATGACGATAAGAAATCGTCGTCGTCCTTCAAGTCAAAGATTTACCGACTTTTCGGGAGGGAGAAACCTGTTCATAAGGTTCTCGGCGGCGGAAAACGTATGGATCTGTCTCTCTATCTCTTCATACTCAACTCTGTTTTTGCTGGATTAAGTATCTTATACACTGATTTCTCACTTCAATCCGAGCTCTGTAGCGATTTTAGTTCTCTTGCTGAGTAATCTGATGCTTAGATTAATGTTGGAACTTCTGATTTGGGTAAAAAAAAACCTCAAATTTAATTACCTGCTTGGATAGAACGAATGTTAGATTACAAAAAAAAGAATGTTAGATTTTTGAAAAAAACTCAGATTTTGAATTGAAGGCCCTTTAATCTAACTCTAATCCGAGCTCTTTAGTGATTTGATGCTTAGATTTATGTTGGAACTACTGATTTGGGTAAAAGAGCTCGAGTTCTTAGACATATTTATCTGTATTGGTACAAGGAATGTTATGTTCTTCTGAAAAATCTCAGATATTGAAACGCTTTACTGTTTGCATGTAGCTGCCGATATTTTTCTTTGGAGGAACAAGAAGGTTTCTGGTGGAGTATTTGGTGCTGCAACTGCGTCCTGGATCGTATTCGAGCTCATGGAGTACCATCTCCTCACTTTCCTCTGCCACTTCTCCATTCTTGCTCTTGCCTCACTGTTCTTGTGGTCTAATGCTTGTACCTTCGTCCACAAGTAAGTTTTTCAAACATCCCTTACATGTTGAGTCTTGAGTGTGGGAGAATGATGCATCATATAAACTGATTGTACGTTTATTCTCAGAGCATCTCCTCACATCCCGGAAGTTCACATCCCTGAGGATCCTGTTCTTCAGCTTGCTTCTGGACTAAGGATTGAAGCTAACCGTGGCTTTACCCTTCTTAGGAATATTGCATCAGGAAGAGATCTGAAAAAGTTTATCTTGGTATGCTCTCTGTGATCGATCTAACTCTCTGTTTATAACATTCTCATCTTCCTTGTAAACACCAACACGTGCTTGCACATCTTGTAGGTAGTAGCTGGCCTGTGGGTTTTGTCTATTATTGGCAGCTGCTGCAACTTCATGACATTGTTCTATATTGGTAACGATCTACACGCCTCTTAACTTGCTTAATTGATAGAAATCACACTGTTTGATAACTAGCAAACGTGTTTCTGTTTGCAGCCACTGTGCTTCTCTTCACAATTCCCGTGCTTTACGAGAAGTACGAGGACAAAGTAGATGCATTTGGCGAGAAGGTGATGAAGGAGATGAAGAAGCAATACGCAGTGCTCGATGACAAGGTTTTGAGTAAAGTTTTGAGCAAGATTCCAAGAGGAGCTCTGAACAAGAAGAAGGATTAAGGAAACTTAAGTTGCTCTCATTGGATCATAGTGACGACTGATGAGAGTGGATGTGTTATCTTAGAAGCTGTTGGTTCAGTGTACTTTGGGTTTTATGACCAAATTGGCTAGAGTATGAGAACTCAGATTAATGTTAAATATTGGTGTTGCCATGTTGGTGGTTATATTATTTTTGTTAGCCTCTCATCCAAAAACTGCTCTCCATGATGAATTTCGTGATATTAATATCAGATAAGTAAAGATTGAGGTTGTTTTGTTGGAATTAATTGAGTTTGGTCGTATGATTTAATTAAGTTAGTACATGTTGTATCAGACGGTGCTTGTAAAAGTTGTGACGGTTGGTTTAGGGTGTGTTCAAGACACAAGTAGAAAGACACAACTCTTGTGTTCTTGTCACATAAACTATATAACAAGTTGAAACAATCTTGTTACATTATCAAGTTTCAGATTAATAAAAACCCATTCCTCGTTTATGTTCTTCTTCAAGAGAGAAGAGATAATCTTTTATCTCATTCTTTCTCTCTCTGTTTTGTTAAACACAAATTTAACATGTTTCACCATCTGCATATGCTTCTATATATACTCTATTGAAGACATTATTAACAAAAGTCAGGATGGCCGAGTGGTCTAAGGCGCCAGACTCAAGTTCTGGTCCTCGTAAGAGGGCGTGGGTTCAAACCCCACTTCTGACAATTCACTTTTTTAGTTTTCCCTCATTTGCATTTTTTTGTTTATAAATAATTTAGATAGTACAATTCTTTTCCAATTTCCCACATTTTGTAGATTACAATACTTTTTAAAACAGTAATTGTATGTTGCATATTAAATTGTTTTCAGTTTATAGATTCACACTTGATGGATTATGTTTTAACTTTCAGTTTGTGTTATGTCCTTAAAGATATTTGGTTTACGTTTGGTTTTTGAAATTTAAACAGCAACTATGGACTATAACTAAAATTACTTAGATTTATAAAAAAAAAATTAAAATAAGTTTTGTTATGTTCTAGCTAATGCATTTTGATATCTTTTTTCTTCTTTGTATAAAATGAACACTTATGAAATGACATACCATTATTTTAATGAATGTGCACTTTGTGTACGACAAAATTATCAAAATGCATTACCAAGAACATAACCAATAAGTGCTATAATTGACAAAATGAACCTTTAGTACATTCTCCAATGAATTTCTGATTAATTCTCTTTATTTACTTTTCGAGGCTGCTCTTTCAACTACTAATTGAATTTTTTTGTGTGTACGTAGGCTTCCTATGCGGTGACTATGCTCGCATTATGAGATATTGCCCTCCAACAACATGGGATATACGATCCCTTTTAGAGTTGCTCGATCTTCCAGGACTTGGTTTTCACTTGAGAGATTGTTTTAGAGCAGTTCTAGATGCTCTTAACTCACTTGATAAAACTGTCCGTGGACAAAGAGAGCATAGTAAGGATGAAAGTATTCACACTAGTAAGCGCCCGAGATTATCCCTTGTGGTCATTGCTGATGGAGATGAATGGTAAGACTTGTCGAGTTTGTTTCGTTTTGTTGTGAAATAGCAAAAAAGTCTTCTAAATCTTTTGTTTTGCTTATTTAGGCCACCGAGACTGCGTGAGCATATAGAAGAAGTTTTGGCAAATGCAGATTATCTTAGCGGACCACATGGCTTGATGAAAAAGGATCGAGTCAAGGATTTTATTCTTCGAATGAAGCATGATAGCCCATACGTCAGGCTCTTGCTGACATGTGAGCTAAGGACATTTCTGCATACATCTCAAGGTGCAGGTGAATTGATCTCAGACATGGAGATTTGGAACTCGTTGATTACATCTTTACTACAGGGATGTGCAGAAGATTCAGGAACTAGAGTGGGTCACAGGTTGCAGTTAGCGTGTGCAGAGTGTCTTGGCTCAATAGGTGCTATTGACCCTGCCAAAGTGAGAAGTTCTTCAGCCAATAGTTCTGTGACCAAATTCGACGATGATACTCTTATATTCGAGAGTGGACATGTTATCTTTGGTGCCTCTAGGCTTGGTGCTGAAGTTGGGAACTGTTGGCTTCAATATGCAAAGCTTTGCCGTTTGGCTGGACACTATGAGACAGCTCACATGGCAATTTTGAAAGCGCAGGATTCTGGTGCACCTAATGTTCACATGGAGAAGGCAAAACTTCTTTGGATCACTAGGGATTCGGGCAGTGCCATTGCAGAGCTACGACAGTCTCTCCTGAATATGCCTGAGGGAGTTGTTGACTCCTCTGTAATTTCTTCTATCACAGGCTTATTGATGTCTCCCACAAATACAGAGCCAATAGTTGGTAGTAGCGCACGATCTCTCAGTGACAAAAAAAGATGTAGCGAAGACTCTTCTTTTGTATTCAAAATGGATACATTACAGTGGGCAAAAACAAAAGGAAGATGTTTTAAATCTTTACACCTCCTTAACGATAGAGTAGCTAGTTTTTTTACAGGTGTTACGGATCGATGATGCTTTCTCCGTGCTTCTTTTACTCGATCATTTAGCTTATGATAATCGAATTTATGTTTTGAATCTAAGTTCGCTGGGAATTTCTTGTTCTTTTTTTGCAACAACGTTCATATATATACAAACTGTAATCATTCTTTCAAGGCTTTTGATTATTCTCTAGGAAAATAGAAAAGTTCGAACTATGCATTAAGTTTTGTATTCTCTCATTCTGCATCAACTGCCCGCTCGAATGTCTTGTACCATTTCTGACAACATCTGCTACATGAGGTCGATCTCGGAGCTTCAAAGCAACACAAGCAAAACCTATCTGCAACCTCTCAACCAACTTCTTTCCTTCTAAACATACCCCTCTCATGTACATACTAATACACAAACATAAACAAAACTGAATTTATATAGACAATTTTTTTATTTGATCGTAAATCCAATATCAACAACAAATTTGACCATTTAGAAGCAAACTCAAAATCAATCCACTTATCGAAAGAAAATTAAAGGAGTGAGAACAAAACCCGACTTGATTGAACCGAACTCGTTAACCAACTGTTCTCTAACTATCGTAAACCAACCCCCACAATCGAGCCGAACCGATCGTATTAACCACCGGTTTATTCAGAGTCTTTATCCGGCGAAGAAGTCGATAACTCTGTCCCAGCTGCAGCCAAATCCGGAGCTGTTCCGGTGCCATTATACTGCTGAATCACCAGAACCGATGCTCTCGTCGAAGATTCCGGCGAGATCAACAAGCTTCCGACTGGTCCAAGCTCTGGGCATTCACTGTTTTCCCTAATCGCCAATGCGATTTCTCCACCTGGCATTCTACCCACCAAGAACAGATTGCTCCGCCGCACTTCCTCAATCGCCGATCTAACATCCACGGCAGCGTTTTCCACTCGTTTCTCCACGAACTTGATCGATTCATCCGCCGACGCCTTCTTCCTGATATCAGACATAATCTCCTCATCCGAATTGAGATTTTTCAGACTCTGATTCTCGCTGTTGTTATTATCCACCTCGACACGAGTAATCTCTCCGACTCTCTCCGGCGACAGCACAAACCGGAAAACCGTCAAGGAAATTCCGGGATGCTCCGCCATTCGTAATCCATACGCCAACGCTTCACGATCGTCACGACCACCGAAGAACAAAACAACGACGGAGTAAGAAACGTCCTGAGCGGAGACTTGACTGGAACCACCGAGCCCACGGTCAACGAATATCCCAACGGAGCAAGGAGCCTCAACCAAAACCCGCCTGTTGATCCACCGGTAATCTCCACGCGTCGTCTCCAACGAACCATCAAGCTGCTGATGCTTGTGAAACGGCAGAATCACAATGGCTGCTTTTTTCCTCTCAGCCGTTGTACAGATATCTTCGTGAATATCAGTCATTGAAGAGATCGCCGTCATTGGTCTGACATTGACTCTGCTCAGCTGCTGAAACGCTTGGAAAGCAACCACCACTTGATCTGCGTCTGCTCCTGCGTTGATCCCTCTCCTGTTCCAAAACGGCATTCCGTTTTTGCGAACTTTGTGAACCATTAGGATAGCTGAAGATCTCTCCGAGAGCTCTCTCAAGTGAAGAGCGTAGACGCAGAGTCCTTCGCCTTTCTCTATGCCTCTCGAGGCTTCGAGGAGGTTTATCATCGAAGGAATGCTTCCTGCGCCATGGAAACATGTGAGGATTCGGAGCTGTGTGTTTGTGTTGTCTCGCTCGACCGTCCTGTGTTTGTATTCGCCTTCTTTCTTCGCTCTCCTCGCGGGTTTGTAAACCGCCATCACGATTGGTGTGGTGATGAAGGTTGTGAAGAGAGCCATTAGTACCATTATGGCAAATGTCTGATCATTCAGAACCTGAGGAAAGCAAAAAACCAAAAACAGAGCAATGTTTGTTATTAAAAATTTACATATTTTTCTTGATGATGCAATCATGCAAATGTGATGGAAGAAAGATTGTACCTTTCGATCTTTCCCGATGTTGAGGACGATGAGTTCGACTAATCCTTTAGTGTTCATGAGGAAGCCTAATGCAACAGCTTCACGCATAGGTATCTTGAAGGCGAGGGAAACACCGAGAGTGCCAACAATCTTACCGAAACAAGCAGTGACGGTGACTAGAACCAGAAGGCCCCAAGACTGAGCTCCTTGAATCGTGGCCACGTTCGTTTTCAGACCGCTCGCCACAAAGTAAAGCGGCAGGAAGAGACCGGAAACAAGATCCTCCACCTTCTCAACGAGGGCACCAGCGAAAGGTCCTTCCTTTGGGATCAAAACACCAACCACAAAAGCACCAAACATGGAATGGATCCCAATGGCGTCGGTGATGAATCCGCAGACAAGAACCACAGCTAAAGTGGCGCAGATGTAGGTTTCTTCGATGGGCTCTCCCTCGTGGCACCTCCGGGCGATCCATTTGAAGATTGGAGGAATGATGAAAGAAGCACCGATGATAAACGCACACCCGGAGAGGAAAACCCAAAGAGAGACGAGAGGGGAGGCGTTGGATCCCGAGAGAGCAATGGCTAGAGCAAGGAGAATCCAAGCTGCCACGTCGTTAACCGCAGCTGCTGACATGGCAAGCCGTCCGATCTCAGTGGTGAGGAGCTTGAGCTCAGCTAAGATACGGGCCAAGACAGGGAAGGCAGTGATGGAAAGTGCCACACCCATGAAGATGAGGAACGCAGTGCTGTCTACTCCTTTGTTGATTGTTCCTCTCAGAACAAACGAAGAGCCAATGCCAAGAGCAAACGGGAGGGAGATTCCGGCCAGGGCAATCCCTAAAGCCTTTTTCCCGGTGTGACGGAGGGCTTTGGTGTCGATCTCTAAACCGGCGAGGAAAAGGAAGAAGAGAAGGCCGAGGTTAGCCAGAGTTTCAAGAACAGTGAGGCTCTTCTTTGGGAAGACAGCGTCAAGAAAAACCTTGGAACGGCCAAGAAGAGACGGTCCCAGCATAATCCCACCCTGCAATTCACAACGATTAATCAATCAATCATTCATTCACCAACAAAGAAAAAGCAACCAGTTTTGATCAACGCTTACAATGACTTCTGCAATAACACGAGGTTGTCTCAAAGGTCTTAAGAGGTAAGCAAGAACACGAGTGAGGACCACGACGATGACTATCTGCAGAATCGCAAGTGGTAAAGCGAAGTCTATTGGGTTATCTCCTTGGAAAACTCCATTAGAGGTTGCTTTCATTGGAGCTGGACAAGCTTTTGAAGAATTTGTAGCCATTCTTGCAGACAAAAAAAAAGCTTGTTTCCAGGAGAAGGGAGCAACGAATTCAACTTGTTTCTTCAAAATCCCTACTTAAACAAAAAAGACAAGGAAGCTTTGATCTTAAATCGTAGCAAAAAACATATATCGAAAGGGTTTAGATAAATTTCAAATCCAATAAAAAATCAAAGTAAAAGTCAAAATTAGATCATCCTTGTACCATTAGAAGTATAAATTAATGATATTCAGAATCGTATTATATTTGTTCTTGTTCTTATCAATCAGATTCTCACAGATAATTAAAATGGAATTTTCCAGAGAAGATTCCACCAAACACATACATGCATATATATAGTTGCACCAGGGACGATGGAGAGCGGGGAAATTAGATTCCTAATTGTACATCAAAATCAACACAGGGAAAAGCTACGATTGCGAGAAACCTAGAAATTTCCGAAAACTAAGTGGTCAAATACCATGAATAATCAACGCATTGTTTAGAAATTCAGCGAGAAACCAAGTGAGAAGAGTACCTGAAGGATTCGACAGATTTCGAATTCCACAGTAAACGAAGCGCACTTGTTATGCGCCGAAATAAGCCGACATGTAAGTAGAGATGGACGAGAAATTTAGCCGACGAATCGCAGAAATTATAGGCGACGAAGACGACAAAAGGGAAGAGAAGTTGGATCGAATTAACTTGAAGATTACGACTTAAATAGAGAGAGAAGAAAAGAGAGAAGCAGTGTGTGTTGTGTTTAAACCATCCAATTTTCAAGAGCTTATCAGATGCTTAATGCTTAGTCACTCCTTTATAACTCACCTAATTGCTTTATAATGATAGTTAGTACTTTGTCTTTGTATTTTGTATTTTGTATTTCTTTTAAGGAATTAGCCAGTTTTCCAAATTTTGTTTTTGCTAATCTAAACTTAGCCGGAAAGGAGACGCACCGGAAAGGAAAAGAGGAATCTGAAAAAGTCAACTTTTGTTTCTCGCTGAATTTAATACTAGTATATTGTTTTTGTCATCAATACAACGGAGAAAAAAAAATGAAGTTATTGCTTCTACAATCAAAAATCTTTAGTTAGAGATTTGGAAATTTTGTGTGCTAGTGTGATAGAAATTTAATTTTGTGAACTACTACTAGTTCCTATGGCAGATCAACAACTCTAGTCATCCAAAACATACTTCCACGTGTTAATCTGTCATTGAGAGAAGATTTGCCTTTAATGGATTGTACAATTCCAAAATATTCCCCACAACCATACTTACATGTAGGAGCTATTCATAATTACTTAACAAGAGATAAACTCAATTACTCTCGTTTATGCTTAAGACTATTTAATTGTTTTTCCTTCTGCAACAAATAGAACTTTGATTTGATCTCAAATAATAATAATACCAACTATTATCATAAAGTGTGCGGTGAGTTTACTTTTGAATGCTGCCGTCACATGTTCATGAATATCCATCCCTCTTTACAAGTAAATACCAGCTGGTAAATACGGTTGGCATTTATGTGATCATTTTCTTTGTTAAAAACAAATACAGTATCCCATTTCAATGCTGTTAAGTAAAATCTTTTTACGGTGCCTGCTTCTTGCGATCTAGTTACTTTTAAGTTTTAACTAGTTTTACATGTTATACTAGTTGGAATTTGGTTTTGATTTACACCGTACCATCATTACTTCATTAGTTATATCTTTTTGAAGCAATTATGTAATCTTTTGCAGCCGGAACAGGTCATTATTATTAATATATTGCTAATGTCAATGATGCAATGCAAAATCTATGAACAAATGTTGTTTTTAATATTTTACTCAATCAAATGAATAATTAATTCACTAGACGCAACAACAAAATGATATGATAACGCTTTCCTCGGACAATATGGTGCGATGGTGATGGAGGGTTGGGTGAATCTACACTCTTCACATACAAATGTGAAATGAATCATACGAATATTCTTGTTAGATTCATATTTCATAATATCACGGTAGAAAATCCAAACTACAATTCTTTCGATAAAGTGCAGAACACTACTACTGATTAAGCCCGAGTCATTGAACAATATATTAAAATAAGTTGTGTATATGAAATATCTAGACGTACTAGTTCACGAATCGGACTTCGTCTGCCATTCTCCAGCTACTTCAAATTGAACTTATGGTTTTCTAATAGATATTAGATATCATTTTTTAATAAAAGTATTAAATATATAATTTTGAAGTCTTTCGTGTAAATGCAAAGTCTTATGATTCTTACCAACTGACAAATACATATGATAGCTAATCTTCTTTATGTATTTCACTAGATGGTTCTCATATAGGCGACACTATATATATAATAAAGTTTGTTGCTCTTAATTCTAGTAAATCACAAACATTACAACCCAACAAATTTTCCGCAATCACAATTTATAATATTGTTTAGTACTCCTTTTTTGCGATGTGTGAGGAGATTAGTGCATAGCATCGCCATATTCTTTCTTGATTAAAATCTTACTTGCAAATAAAACAAGGCATTGTATAATATTGAATGGTAATAGTATGAAGTGGCCGACATTACCGACATTATGAAGCTTATTAATAAGCTCTCTCTTATTTTCCCTTGTTAATGGGCTCTCAATTGAGCCAAATGAGCTAGTTAATAAAACGAAACCTGCAAAGGATTTGGTTTTGACTAAAATTCTAAAACACACTTGTTGGCTGTTGCAGACGTGCAGTAGTGGCAGCAACTGGTCAAGTGGGAATGGAAATGCCATAACTCATAAGCATTCTTTTGTATCTTTATCCAACTTTCTTCGGGTTGACTCGTACGTGCCAAAATATAGATAAAAATATTCAGTCAGCTTTGACAAGGTCTTCTTTTTTGTTTTTTTTGGACAATGTCTTCTTGCTCCTATATGGATAAGAAAGTCTTATAATCTCTAGGAGTAGAACTTGTCCAAAATGACTGAATATTCACATGAGTCGTGACAATGGACAAAACAATAACAACTAGTGGTAACTAGTACTCATTTTTTGGTTTGTTTTTGTTTTTTCTTACCGCTTTTCGATTCAACTATTCCAATTTTACTTCCAACATACAAAAGAAATGCTCCAATATTCCAATATTTCGTCAGATGTACTAGTAATACTATAAGAAAGAGTGTTTGATACAAAGAACGAGGAAAATGCCACAATACAAACACACACAAGCTAGCCAACAACGCCAAGTTACGATACACTGTCGGAATATTACAGCATCCCAAGATCCTCACATTTCCACGTGTTAATATTTTTTTTATAGTAGTATGTAGCATTGGTGACGTATAATAATGTGATAGTGATGTGACTCAAACAAACTGATTGTAGCCATCAGAGTAAAGATTAAGAAACCCCACATCAAAAGTATCCAAAGGTCTAAATTTACAGGTGAAACAAATTCTGAATACAATTTGAGAAATGATGGAAGAGGGAAAAAAGGTTTTTCGATTGATTTTTTAAAGAAAAAAGAGGCGAAAAAGTTGAAACTTTGTTTGCTTTTTGCCCTAAAAAGATGGAAAGTAAAGTAAGAGGAGAGGAAGAAGAAGACGGAGAGAGACGGAAAGTGGAGAGATTGGTGGAAAAGTTGAAAAACATCAATAGAAATAAGAAACGGCCTTCAACTCCGGCGCATGTTAGCTTCGTCACTAACCTTTCCTCTAAATTCTCGCCATCAATCGTTTCCTCTCGAAAGCTCGCTGCTGCCTTCTGGGAGTTTCATCACTACTACGAAGATCGCTCCTTCTCTTCCGGTAAAATGCACCACCGCGGCGGAAACGGTTTCGCCGGAGCAAGTAACCATCGACAACGTAACGGCAAGGCGGTGGCGGTTAAGGAGAATGGTCTCGACCTCTCTCAATTCCTCCGTGATCCCTCTCCTGATCATCAGGTCTCTATTCTATGATTCCTGCCACAATTGATCGATTTAGTGCCTAGATTCATTTATGATAACTAAAGTTTGGATTTTGAAACTTTACTCTGTTTTGGTGTTCTGGTTTTAGTTTAGATTTACTCTGTTCTTGGCTTCTTTTGCTCTGTTTCTGCTTAGTGATCGGTCTTGGATCTGGTTCTGCGTGGTGTCTCAGGCAGAGAGTGCGGGAAGTCTAAGGAGGCAGATAGGCCAAGTGCTGATGAAACATCATCAATCAATCGAGAGAAACAACCACGCTCTCCAGCCTGTCTCTCCCGCTAGTTACGGAAGCTCCCTCGAGGTTGCGACATACAACAAAGCAGTGACTCCAAGTAGCTCACTGGAGTTCCGAGGAAGAGAACAGCCTCAACACAGTCTCAAGACATCAACCGAACTTCTCAAAGTATTGAACCGTATCTGGAGCCTCGAGGAGCAGCATGCGGCCAACATGTCGTTGATAAAAGCTCTGAAAACAGAGCTGGCTCATTCGCGTGTTCGCATCAAAGAGCTTCTTCGCTACCAGCAAGCCGACAGGCACGAGCTCGACGCTGTGGTGAAGCAACTCTCCGAGGAGAAGGTGTCGAGGAAGAGTAGAGAAGTTGAGCGGAGGAAAGAGTTGGAAGAAGAGCGGAGACTGAGAAAACGCTCTGAGAGTTTGCATAGGAAACTGGCGAGAGAGCTCGTGGAAGTGAAGTCTACGCTTTCTAAGGAGGTTGAGAGAGGGAATAAAGAGAAGAAAACGATGGAGATGCTCTGCGATGAGTTTGCGAAAGGGATCAAGAGTTACGATGAGGAAGTTCACGGTTTAAAGCAGAAGAATTTGGATAAAGATTGGGCGGATCGGGATCAGATGGATCTTCAGATGGCGGAGTCTTGGCTTGACGAGAGGATGCAAATGAGATTACAAGGTGGAGATGGTAATAATAGCTCAGTAGTGTTGGATAAGCTCGAGGTTGAGATTGAGACATTCCTTGAGGCGAAGCGGAACGAAAACCACCCCAAGAAGCGGAGAAACTCACTTGAGTCGGTCCTCTTGAGTGCACCGCCGAGGGATGTGGAGTGTGAGGAACAAGACTCCGAT